TAAAAATTGGATATACAACTTTGATTCATAAAAAGGGTGAACTGGATCAGATTAAAAATTATAGGCCGATATCATTACTAAATGCTGACTACAAAATTCTAACGAAGATAATGGCAAATAGATTAAAATGTGTTTTACCCAATATATTAGATATCCATTAAACATCTATTCCAGGGAGGATAATATCTGAGGCACTTATATTGTTACGGGATATATGTACACAGAACAAAACAAGACCGGAAATTCTTCAATCATATCATTGGACTTTAATAAAGCTTTCGATAGTGTTGATCTGGACTATCTTTACCATGTACTTCATGAATTTGGGCTCAAAACTAAGTTCATAAATATAATACAGACATTATATATAGAGGCAGAGACCAGAGTATTATTAAATGGATATTTGAGTGAGACTGTCAAGCTTGAATGAGGAATTCGACAAGGGGACCCTTTAAGTCTTTATATGTTCACGATCGCAATCGAACCACTCCTAATCAAAATCAATGTATCTAGTGATATTAATGGAATACTATTACACAAAATAAAGAGATAAAACAGGTAAGTCATGCAGATGACATCACCTTAACTATTCGAAATAAAACATCTATATATTCAGCACTGGATTTAATAAAAAGATTTCAATTAGCAACAGGAATGAACTTAAACATGGATAAGACCAAAATTTTGAAATTAGGAAAATGGAACAACCCCAATTTTTTTCCAGCTTGGATGTAGTCGATACTATAAATATACTTGGAATAAAATTTTCCAACTATGATACATGTATTGTAAACTGGCAGGATTGTTTAATTAATGCGAGAACTGTCATAGAAGAACTGATGAATATTCCTTCATCATTGGATGGAAAATCTCTCCTCATTAAACTGAAAATTTAACCATTATTTTTATATTGTGCTAAACTGTATCCAATACCATTGAACATTGCCAAACAAATCAATAAAGCTATTGAGATGTTTGTCTTTAATGGTAGAAGTGTTTTAAATATTGAAACTTTATACAAAAACAAATCACTAGCCGGATATGATATAATTAATATTCCTCTTTTTACTATGACCTTATATATCAGGGATGGCGAACCTTTTTCAATGAATGGGTCAAAAATTATATTTTTATCGGAAACAGAAGTGAGTGGGTCACATATATTTATTTTTTCAATGTTTGTATCTTTAAGAAACTTCTGAAATCTTATAAACTTCTGTTGGTGTTAGTGTAGTTTTGTGCTTTACCTATGCAGCACTTCTATCAGGGACTTTTTATGGCACTCGATTTCATGAAATTAGAGTACGAAAACAACCATATGAATTACCAAAACCGTTTAGGATGAGGCGGTAAATTATTTTACGATTCCAAAGAGTTTGGAGCGAATCCCACTATGATAGTTTTATATTTTTCAATCAGCTTTCAAGCACATAAAGGCACTTTTACACTTCCCCCATTGTTGTTTCAGATTTCTAGGTTTTTATTTCAAGTCTGAAAGATTTTGTTTTCTCAACGGCCATGTAGGCCAGAAACTAATAAAATTCAAAGTAGCATCTAGTTCTAGTATATATAAGCCCTAAAACAGTCTGCAGATGCACTGCAAGAGACAAGACGTTGCAAGAAATGAACATGAATTGCATTGTTATGTCATAAACGATGTTAGAGCCAATAGCTGAATACCGGTACACAGCGGTGCAGACATGCGTCCAACATCAGGGGTTTAAAAATTACCATACAGGCACAGAAGTGACAATTTGAATACGAGCGATCGCAGCTTTGACTGCCCAACTGACGGTACATTATAATAGTTACTTATCGATCTTGCGGTAAGTACGTTGTTAGGTATTTGTCTGTTTGTTACTTATCGATCTAAAGAGCGGTAAGTATGTTGATAGGTATTTGTCTGTTAGATGCACGCGATATCTCACGAAAGCGAGGTTCAATCTGCTCCTTGCATGTGCATTCATCATAGCTCGGATCAGAAGCCTATTGATTTTGGATGGATTATGTCGTATAATTAGCGAGGTATTAATTAATTAATGATGGGACACACGGTGTCACTATGGAGTAAGACCACTGTTTTGGGGGATCCCCTAACCTTCGATCGATAAGTCTTCGGTTTCCAACCGAATTCTAGTTCTTTTGTTTGTCTGTCTGTTGGACAGACACTTTCGTATGTTACGCGATATCTCATGAATCTGCTTCAAATTTTGCATGTGCATTCATCATATCTCGGACCATAAGCCTATTGATTTTGGATGAATTATGTCGTATAATTAGCGAGTTATTGATTAATTAGTGATAGGACACACGGTGTTGCTATAGAGATGAATCGAAACCGCGGTTTCTGTTTTGGAGGATCTCCTAACTTTCAATCGATAAGTCGTCGGTCTTCGACCGATATTCTCGTTTAGTTATTGTTGGATTAATTTAAGGTCGATTTTATCAATTTTTATCACTGATATGCTAGAATTTTATTTTATTCGTGCCTTGGCGGGTCACGAATAAAACGCGGTGGGTCAGTGGTTCGCCATCCCTGTTATATATCATGACTGCATATGAATATTATTGCAACAGAGTTAGTATTACTATTGATCCAAGTAAACAATCAGTTTTTAATTTTGTTGAACATAACATAGGACAACAGCTTAGTGTGTTTTTTTTAAATTGCCTCCGAATAATAGTGTGTCACATTCATTTTTTCCCAATAAATATTATGCAGCTAATATTAATTTCCTAAGACAGTACAATATCACTGAATCAAATTTATCTCAAGGAAAACATAGACTTTTATATGATATAATTGTGAATAACCTAATGGGTGGGGAAAGAATTGTGTTTCTCAGAGATGGTAATTTGGATAGAGCTTGCTCAAATATACATTCTAAAATTTTGGCCAATAATATCAAAACTTTTAATTACAAATTTTAAAGTAATACCAAGAATAAGACATATCACTGGGGATGATGTATGTATACTGTGTAAACAAGAACCTGAATTTGTATCTCACCTGTTTTGGAACTGTATTTTTACACAAAGTGTATTTGATTATGTTTTTTCTGTTTCATTAAAAATAAATAACTGTGTGTTGAAAAATAATTATAAAACTTGTATCTTATTGGACTTAAATGATCACTGCTATTCACATTTATCCAATGTTGAACGGAATGCCATTATATTATTATTGTGTACAGCAAGGTATAAATTTGGCTAGAACGGAATGCCACCATTTTTCAAAATCATAACCCAAGTGTAAATAATGTAATTATGAAAATTAGAAGCTCAATTTTAGCAAGAAGAAATATTGAAAAATATAGAAAAGAATCTTGTTATGTAAAAGAACTTGACTTAATATGTGATAGCTTATGACTAAATATATTTTTGTTTTTTATGCTCTTTAATTATAAATATACTACATAACTGAAATGACTTGTATTGAAAACAACAAACAAATGAATGGAACTATGGATTATATACAAATTATGTGCCTGATGGAACTATCATGATGATATTGATATATATATGTTTGTTTACCTCATGTCTTTATTTATTATTATTTTATTTATTTAATGGATAATCCACTTTGTGAAACCATAAAAAAAAAAAAAAATAGTCAACCAAGTGGAATGAATAAACGGCGTCAGGAAAAATGGTCCGAGATATGATGAAAGCACATGCAAAACCTGCAGCAGATCCAATCTCACTTTCGTGAGATATCGCGTGCATCTAACAGACAGACAAATACCTATCAACGTACTTACCGATTAAAATCGATAAGTAAAAAGGTAGTAGCGACAAGGAAAACTTTCTAAAATAGCAATCCAAAGACGGAGTCAGAAAAAATAGGACAGCAAAATAAGCAAAGAAAGAAAAAGTAACGGCGGCTGCCAACCAGTGAGAGGAATAAACGGGGTCAGGGAAAATCGAATAGGCAACCAAGTGAGGAGGCAAGGAAGAGGAAGAAGCCTTATGAGAACCATAAAAAAGGTAGTAGCGACAAGGAAACTTGGTATAAAAATGAAATAAAAAATATAGATTGAGTTGGAAGTAGCAGCGAGACAAAAAGACGGAGTTAGAAATAGGATATTGCACAGCAAAATAAGCAAGGGAGACCTATGTATTGTCGTGTCGAGGCAAACAGTGGTTTAAATGCCATCCGTTGCAACGTTTGACAAACTAGTTTCTACACTTGTGTGACCGGAATTAGGAAAGCCTCTGTACGTTGCTCGTCAGTTCCTGAATATACTCAAAAGTCAAAATACACCGAAATCGAACGTCCGGCAATGGTCGAAGAATATAACAAACATATATTTACGAACAAACCCGTAGTAGTATATATTTACGAACAAACATATGGGCGGTGTAGATTTTTGGGATATGATGTTGTCCTTGTATCGAAAAAGAAATTATACCTGTGTACCATTCAATCTCGTATTGCCAAAGCCCTAATGCTATCTGGAAAATATCTACCACAACTTCGTGGAAGACCATTATTACGGAATCACCGACTGAGTCATCACGACGATCCAACAGATGCCATTATACGAATTCCCGACGATGACGTGCGTTTCGATCGATATGGACATTTTCCTGATTTTACGATCAAGCAAAAAAGATGTAGGGTGTTTTCACACATTGTGTGCACAAAGCGTAACGCTACTGGACAATTGTTTTTTGGGGTCCCCTGTAGTTTCCTACGTACTCCGTATTCTAGTGGGCGTAGCATACCAATTTTTTTACGTGTTAATCCTAACCCCCACTTGACCACGCCATCTAAAAATTTTGACGTCCCAATCACGTCATAGAGCTTGCCAAAGTATATCTAAGATCGCTCAAAGTGGCATCTGCGCCGATGATAAAGAACTCACTAACGGCAGCGATTTCTCTCATATCGGGATCGTTGCGACGAGAAAACGAGAGAAATAACTTGATCGATTTCTCGTGATCGACTGCCGTCTTGGATGACAGTTCGTATAGTGTTTGGATGGCGCAGCAGGTGGGGTTAGGATTAACAAACATATGCAAAAATTGTTACGCTACGTCCACTAGAAGTACGTTAGGTACGAAGCTACACGAGACCCGTTTTTTCTGATACTGCGATGGTGCTAGGCCTTTGCGAAACTCAATATTTCAGAAGTTGTAACACAACATCGTCATCATGTCTGCATGTAGGCTACAGTCAGACAATATTCAGATATTGGTATGCTGCGGTACTTCTGTTCTAGATACAGAGATAACTTGGTACGGTGTTCTGGTTTTAGGAATTTATTTGACAAAACAATTTTTTTTCACATCAACTCAATTTAGAAACTTTGAACTACCTACTGATCTAAGATACAGAAAACTTATATCACTGTAAGACAGTAAGAAGATTGTACTTAACCCTTGGGATTTTTGTGCATTCAGCGTTATTACAAACAATATAAATACTACAGGTTTCATAAGATTCGCTGATACTTCCGTACTAGTCGTAGTACTTCTTAACTTTCAAGAACAAACTCAGAACAATGTCTGGCATATTAGACAACTTTCAATGTCCAAGTTGCGAATGTTGTGAATTGGGAGAAAAGCGAAATTTAGTGGCCTCTATAGCTGCTGGAGCTCTATTTTTCACTGGTTGGTGGATCATTATTGATGCTGCCGCTTTCTATGATGCAACCGAGATGGATCATGCAGTACATGCATGTGGTGCAGTTGGAACTGTTGCTTTTTTCATGATAAATTCAATTTCCAATGGACATATTCGTGGAGATACATACAATGAAGGATGTTTTGGTACACTAGCAGGAAGAATATGGTTGCTTAATGGTTTTCTTCTTGGATTTGGGGCACTCATTTCTTCTATGTGGATTCTTTTTGGAGTGTATGTTGTTCCAGGTGCAGCTAATCCTTACCCAGGTATTGCAGTTTTTCTTCAGAATGCTTTAATTTTTTTTGCAACCATGCTTTTCAAATTTGGACGAACAGAAGATCTTTGGGATTAGATTAAATACGCTGTGATACTTTTATTAAATACAACGGTACCTGTTACAAATCGTGCAAAATGAACAATATGTCCCCAAAGTGAATTTATGAAAGATGAAAACAAATAGACAATGCTGATCCAGCTTTGGAAGGTTAAACTTTGTATTCTTGATTCGCTTTTAAATTTTTATACAGCATTTTTCCACACAATGCCTAGTCTGCTTGTATCTCTTGCAAATTAAATTGTAATATTATCAATGAAATTTACTTTTAGATTGGGGTAGGTTGGTAGGTGAAAGTAACACTTGGTACTTTGAACAAAATTTGTGTATAAAGTTTCAATTATCATATATTTATGCCTTGTCTTAAAACTGTTAGCACCCCATCCTTAACTTCAGCTTCTCTCAATTTTCTCATACAAAGAATAACTATTTCAGGCAGGTAGTAACAGTTCATTTGTTTATTACTGTGTGAGTATTGTCAGTGTACGTTTTGTCAAAGTTTGTGAGTATAAACCACATTATAACATTTTGTTTTCTTGTAGTTGTTATTAGTTTTATGTGTTGCAATATTATTTCTGATCTATATATCTTAAAAATATTGTTCAAACTTGTGAATTTATCTATCTTTATTAATCTGGGGTTCAACTTTCCTCAATCAATTTCCTCTTCCCTGAGCGTATGATACCGTTTACTTCAATCCCAATTTATTAAATGGAATTACCGGTAGAAACCTATCGGTATAGTCTATAGACCTTTTGTGTGGGTTGAAAAGATAGATTCGTTTGTGCTGATACCACAATTTTGACAAATTTTTATACAAATACCAGTATCATTTTCTAAAGATATCACTAAATGTAGCCAAGCCCCGAATATGACCATTTCTAAGTTAATTTACTTACTATCCAAAACTTTTTCAATGCTGAGCACAATTTTGGTAGTTTTATGAGTTTTTGCCTAAAAATGTAATGGGCCATATTTCTGTTTCTATGTTATTAGAGACAATGAAACACTAAAACTCTGAATATTGTAGAGAACCCAACTATGAAACATTTGAAATCTCATTTTATTAATTTCGATAATAAATAATTGTTGCATGAATGGCATTTGTATCCTATATCTTTATGCAATTGATTGTAAAAGCGTTTTTGTAATTATTACATAAGTCATAAACAATGACCCAAAAGTTCATCTGTTCAAAATTATGATGCATAAATACACCTTGGATATTTTGTTATTTGTTGCAAAGTATTTTCATGTGTTATTAGTCCTGGGCCATACAAATCATCTCATTAATTATTTGTTGTGAAACTGGAAACCGGCAGCCATAATAGTGATAGGTGTCTGCTAAGGTTTGATACAATTTGTATGTTTTAATTTGGTATGGCATTCTCAATCTCTATTACTTTTGGTGTGATTAGCTCTACCTTACTGTTGGGCATGAACCTATGGTGAAACATAGTTAGGCAAACCTGGCACATTCAAATGTGAAAAGATTACTCTTGGTAACAGATGTGTCTGCAATCTTTAAATTGCATGATTTATATTATTACTTATTTATTCTTGTTTTTGCATCACTACTATTACACTCACACTACAATGCAGCCATTGCTGCAGAAATTATCATCAATAACAGGATTCCTGTTCTATGTCTGCCATTGGTGTGAATAAGGAGACAGTAATTTTAGATCTAGTCTCTGACAACTAAATCCTGTTCTCATGGCAATTTTATCCTATTACCAATTTACCACAGAAGTTAGCCAATGTGTTTTATTGGACTTTCAATGTTTCAGGAAGAAAAGGAAATGCTGTAGGTATACCAGTTTGGTGATAATATGTCATATATATACATATAAATGTTTGTTATGATTGTGATATTATATATATGCTGTTTTGCACTTTCAATAAATGTGGTTGATAATTATTGTCTATAACTTAAGATTTGCGACGACTAAGCAGTTCGGTTAACAGTATTTTTTGGCAGTCTATCAAGTATGCAATTTTGGAGAAACAGTTCAGTGCGTTACAACAATCCTAAACTGGTGATATGTTGAAAATCTGGCCTGATTTTCTTTTCCACTACTATGTTAAGTCACCATCTCCTTCCGTTAGTGGGATCGATTTCGCCCACATACGAAATATTTAGTTTAAGAATTGAATATGATATCGTTCAATATTGGTTTGGTTAAAAGGCGTTGGGTTTGCTGTCCTCGACGCTAACTATATTTTAGAAGCTACTATTTAAGTTACAAATCGGCATGTTACCATTTTTCACGTATCATTAAAATATATTGAATCGTACCCGCTATCTAGCATGAGGTTTCTTTTCTTGCTCCAAACAAGGCACGGTTCAAGCAACCATTAATGTCTACTAGACTCTAAGGCAGTGTTTCCAACCCGAGTCCACGGGGCGTTTGAATGAGTCCGCAACGAGCCAGAAATTCACTGCGGGCCGCAAAACGTTTATGCGAAGCTATCTTTTTTTTTTTTTTTTTTTTTTTTTTTTTTTTGCCAAATAAATTCCAATGCCAAACGGAATTTTCGTATATTAATTTTATTGTCGAATTAGTATAATTTGCACCCAATTAAAACAATTTCATAATTTCAAAACACATTGCCCACAAGTTCAATAATATATGTAACAATTAAAATATAAAATCATACCATTACCGGAGTTTTGTATCATATATAGTCCAATTTATATCCATTGAATATAGGTTAATCCATATTATCAGTCGTCATCCAATTCGTGCACACATTTTATATATAGTTACCAATAATTAATCGATTTAGTTAGTTTTTGCATGGAAATTAGAAAATAGAAAATTAGACAGAAAATCAGAAAACAGCCAAAGTGGGTTTTTTGGCATTTCTCTATTCACTATCTTGGTATGAATTAAATTAAAATGATGCATAAATTTGGACATGCGAAGCTATCAGCCAAGTTACGATTTACGTTAGAATTTACATAAAACATAAATAGCAAGTTTATTCACACAACATTAATCGAGTCAATAATTACTGGTTAATTAGTAGGGCTGGGCATATATTCAACAATTAGAAAAGCAATTTACTATTCGAAAATTTGGTAACAAGTCACTTGCGTGTCGCTCAATCAAACGATTGGATTTTCGACGAAAACACGAGTCGGCAGACGCGGCGATGGATACCTATAAGTGGTGTTTCTCGCGAGTTCGAACAACCAGGAATCTTTTTTTTTTTGGTGGGTGATAATGGTGGCAAGCCTAATTTTCTAAATTTAAAAGTGGCAATACAAAATACTGGAAATAAAACGGAGGATACCATAAGTTTAATTTATGATGGTCCTTGACCGATTAAAATCGCTGTTTTAGACATTGCAAATCGCAAAATTTCGGGTGCTACCGCAGTGTACGTACGAGGGCATTTTCCCTTAGGATTCTTTGCTTTACAGCCTCCACATTGGTACGTACAGTACCGGAGCGCCGTAAGTGTTTTACGAACAGCTCAGATTTGTCGAATTCACAAAAATACGAATCGAAAAAAAATATATAATTGGGCTTCGCCACGCATTTTTGTGTCCACGGATTGTCATGATATTTTCTGAGTTGTATTGCTTTTATTTCGTCAACACAACCGCAGATTAAAATGATCACAATTAAATTTATAATAAAGCAAGGCGATGAATATGTATTTTTGATTCACTGTCAGTGGCGTAGCAAGACTCTCGTGGGCCCCCCGCAAAAATATTTCGTGGAAATGACCCTAAAAACTCTTGGACATAAGCTAAAACAACGCTTTTTTTATTTCGTCAAAAAGCATAACATGTCGCTATAAAAAGGCAATGGTAGCCTAAAATTTGCTGTTTATCTCGGTTACTTTGATTTTTTTCATACGTTCTCCATCTTCTGCCCTTTTTCTGCGTTTCTGTGCGCCACTGAGAGGTTTTGCTTTCGACATCATTCTGACAGCCTTCGCAGTTTTGCAAGTGCCATCAACCCACGAGACGCCGAAAATCGACGACTCCCTGGCATTGTTACGTAACAAAACGATTTGAGCAGAACTAACATCAACGTTTAAGATGTGCATTACTTGGTTTGCACCGTAGCTTTTCGTTTGTGGCTTAAATTTCTAAATTCTAATCGCTTGGGCCCCTTTGAGCTGTGGGCGCGACCGCGGGGGTGGATGCTACGCCACTGTTCACTGATATATATAAATATGAACACAATTTCGCACGCAGGCCAGCCACACATATGTTCAGTATATATACTCTGTTAAACTAAAAATAGAATTATTTATCGTTACACTACATGAATGAACTTCGAATATTTAATTCGACCACTTTACTCCATCACTAGTTAGGGACCCAAAATGACATGCTGGAAAGGTAAAGCAAATTTTAGCCTCGACCAATCGGTCAAAAATATTGTTTTGCCCAATAGTTTTCAAAAATTAGACCTATATCAAAACTGGTTCCCGTACATTTGAACTCATGTACATTTGAACCCACGACTATTGCACCTATGGGATATTTTTTGCGGATACTAACCCTAACCCATGGGTTTTAGCACCCGCATATACACATGGGTTCAAATGTACGGTAACCATCAAAACTACATGACTGCTACACAGTAGCGTTGTTAGGTCAATACGTGATATCGTAGGAAGAATGATAAAAAACCAAGCTCAGCCTAGGACTTCTGTCGCTTTTCATATAGAATTATAGCATATTAAACAAATCATCCGAGTGTGTATCATGCGGTTAATACAGAAAAGAATGCTGACTCCTCGCTGTTGTATGATGCATCAGGTAACTGGTAAGTAACATTAGACTGAGGCTGATGTAAGATCGAAAATTTTGCAAAGGCAAATAAAGTAGCGCTAAATTATTATTTATTTCTAAATAATTAATTTATTAAAATATAATTTAAACCAGTGTTTAGTAAAATATTGAAACTTCAAATTATGATTTAACTATTGTTAACTTGTTGTTCGGATTTAGTGAAAAAAAAATGTATATTTGGGGGTAACGATCAGTAATAGGATTAAAAAATTAAAAACGGGTTCTCTTTTGTATCGAACTTACTAACAACAGGCTCCTTCAACAACATGCCATACCTGCTCCCCAAAAAGCTGTCAATCCAAATGTATTGACGTTGCTAATTCATCAGCAACATTCGATGGCCAAAATGTGAGCTTTTGTCTTCGAATATTCATTTATCCTTAATAACAGTCAGTTAGTATTTATTAAATAAACAACTGCACAATGACAAGTATTTGAGCGCTTACAGATCATAGACCACTTCAGAAATATTTATATATATATATAATAGCTATCAAGAAGCTCAAGAATGAATTGTGACAGTGATTCTTTTATAAATCTGGACTGTAAAGTAGAGGTTTCATCGGGTTCATCATATCAATCCCTCTGCAGTTGATCGACGCCCCAAACAAAATGAAATTATATTACAATGATAAAGTCGTTGCTAACTTTGCACCAGGCTCAAAATTCGGGCACAATATCACGGCGTTCTGTGGACATAAATTGTGAGGCAAACTCGCGATTGATATTAATTTTTGATTCCTATTTTAGTATTTACAAAATACAACGGTGATCTGTGGACATTGAATGTGTGGTAAACTACCCGATTATAAATAGTTTTTGAACCCTATTTTCGTATTTATAAAATAATAAAAGTATTATTACACAAACATACAACGGCGATCTGCGGACTTAAAATGTGTGGTAAAGTTCCCGAATATATTTACTTTTTGATCCGTATTTTTGTACTCACGAAAAAATTGTCACAAGTCTGAAAAAGAACTCAAACTTTATCCCGCTTTTTGACAAATAATTTGGATAATGGTTGGTATTTAAAAGTATGGGCGTTTTACTAGGATGATTTTGTGTTACGCAAGCATTCAAATCCATCACCGATACCACTATTTAAAATGCCTTGTCGTATTATTTTAATTCTGTTAATTAACACAACTCATGTTATATAAAATATATATCGCAATAATCTGCAAACATGAAATGCCTGGTAATATAGCCAGGTTGTAGATAGAAGTTAGTCCATTGTTTATTGTATGAAAATTCCTTCATACACTTAGATTCTAGTACTGGATTTTATTTTCGAAGTATTCGAAATTTCATATTCGAAAATAATAATTTCGAATGTATTCGAAATAGTGAACTATTCGGTATTGGCCATCCCTGAGTCCTCAGCCGCCCCCGGTTTTGTTACGCGTCTCGTAAGCACCTGCAGGGTCGCAACAAGTTCATATTTCGCTGGGTGTCATGGTGAAGCTCTGGAATATCTACTGTTCTTGACAGTTTTCTGGTTTAAACAATGAGAAGAAATATTAAAACAATGAAATATTCATAACCTTTTATTTAAATGATAATATCAATCAAGAAAAGCATACAGAGCGGGAAAAACACGCATGCCGATTTCCAGGTTTCTGAATCTTGCGAGATTTGACCGAGCGCTTTCGCGATGAATCGAAAGCGAAAAGTGTGATTGCTCGGCGCCAAAACGTAACCGGTTCATCCCGCACGTATCCAACTCCATAGTTGTATATATTTACGATCAAACAGCAATAAGACGGCGGAAGAGAAATTGCGCAATAAAAGCGATTGAGACGGTAAAAAAACAACAAAATAAAATTTTCTGCGGACCGGCAAAAAGCTTCGTGGACCGGCGGTTGGGAACCACTATGTTAGAGCATGCCTTTAGTGCCGTGACTGTGCTTATTCACAGATAGAACGAGAAATTGCATTAGTATGGTCAGACGAAGAGACTCATATATATCTGTTTCTGACTAAAATAAAGCCGGATCTTTACAATCTGATGGCATTGCTCTGATCTCATCCTCCTCATTAGATAATGACCAACGACTAACATACCGATAATGACGGATGGAAAATGGAGTTGTTTGTGTGTCGGGTAGGGTTGCCAACTATGAAAAGTCTCAATAAAGGACATAGATTACCGTCACCATTTAATTTGTAACTTGCAGGAAACAATATAAAACAATGTTAGCCCTAAAAATACCATCATTTAGTGTGCGAACATTAGTATAAAGAAAATGTATTTCTACAAAGTTGCAATTTGCGTTATCTGCACTTAAACAAGAAACCCTTTTCCAGTCAAGTTGTAAATTGTCCATAGTTTTTTCAAACAAGTAAACATTCCATCCGCACTTTCATCTGCATTCTCGAAGAAATCAATAATATAAGTAAATATGCCATGTTCCAAGCTAAAATACTGAACACAGACTGGAAACATTTTCATGTTTTTGTGATTTGAAGCATCAGATTGAATGCCAAAATTAACACAGGATCATGTTGTTTCAAATCGTACATGATCACGGATAATGCCTTCTCACCTAGCACATTTGTGACGATTGCCTCGTATTTGCTTCGACTATTAGATACTTTGGTAGCAACTTCTGAATCCTTGTAACTTTTCGAATTCAATTTCAATCCGCAATCCAGCGAGTTATATGAATGACTATGTTTAATTACGTGATATATTTGAGCTATTTCTAAAGCAACTACAATATCGTCTTCTTCTGAATTTTTTCACCAAAAATTTATCCATTACAGAAAATGAAGCAAAATCCATGGTTCTAATTTTGTGACAGGCTGATTTTGCATGTTGTGCTACTGCTAAAGCACCCATGTATGCAATAGTAAAAACACTTTCACAAGTGATACATTTTGCCTTTTGTGGATTACTAGTTTCTCTCAACCAATCATAGTCATTTTCCAGTCTTAATTAAATGAACACACGCGCTTCTTTATCTTTATTGGGGGTTCCATGATTTTCATTAAAAAATTGATATTGAAATACTGAACAAAGCATTTAATGAAGTTATTACTAAAACAATAAACGTAAATTTAATTTTAATTAAAAGACAATTTTACTTTAATTACATTTAGCTGAAACTGAACTGAGAATTTTATTCCTCAGTGAATTCCATACATTTGTTTTAAATTCATTTATATCTGTTACTTCCGCAAGAAATAATTTGAAATTAATCGAAATTTGTTCTTCTTTTTTCGACGCTTCTTGGAGTGTTGACACTTGCCATCTTCGGAAAATTAATGTAAAATATTTAAAATGTTAAAAAAATTGGTATATCTTTGGCTATCTGAGCCGGACCAAAGCGAAATTAAAAAGAATAATTAAAAGCTTGCAAATACATGAACGAAGGCGATTAAAGAACGGAACAATATCAAACACAGTTATATATAACTATCGCGCAAAACGACGTTGGAAAAAATAAGGGACATTTATCATCTTAAAAAGGACAAGGACAAAAATCTCAAATAAAGGATTGTTCTTTGAAATAAAGGACGATTGGCAACCCTAGTGTCGGGCGTTTGGTAGTCTCTTGGTTGTCTTAGCGGGCGATGCCAGATAAAAGTTCGGGAAACACTACTCTAAACGAAACAATCTAGTTAGATGAATTTGCGCTCTTGTAGGCTATAATTTGGACAGCGGAGATAAAAAATTAAAAAAAAAAATAAATAAAATAAGTCGATGAGAGCTTCTTTGAGCTATCTTTAGAACTGTCTGTATGCACTACAGGTATGAGGGACCATATTATACATATTTGATTTATTGTTTTTTATACTTATCAAAAGAGGTGCATGTCGCACTTTTGTGCTTAAGACCTCGTTTATATTGCTTTTACGAGCCGAATAAACATGTGTAGCCTACAACTTATCCCCGCCATCGCCAAAGAGTTGTGTGCAACTTGCACAGACTTGAATGGAGTAGAAAGTTATAACGGACCTGTGGTGACGTGATCCACCCCGCGGCGACGTGGATTATTCAATCTTTTTGCATATTATTATACTGTACTCAGAACATCGAACTTGCGAATCATGCAGAGTAATTATCGGTACTATAGTGAGTATAATTGTTACGCTATGTAGGCCACGATAAAAATTTGAAACCGCCGGAGTCTTGCAGCTGTTAAAAAGGGAAAAAAAATCTGGGAAATTGATGGATTCATGCAGCGCCATGAAACTAGGTTCAGCAATTAAACTCAGGTTGGAATAAAATATAACATGCTCAAAAATTGTTTTGGTCAATGAGCTTTGTACGGTTCGAGAAACGTTAAGTCTTGAAGTTCGAAACCTTATGTATGGACAAGACCTCAATCTAATCAATTTATTGACGAATCGCCTAATAAATCGAGGGTCCTCATGGTCCATAAAATATGGTAATACTAATAACTTTCTCTACCTCCTCGGCTATTGCATTGCCACAACAATTTCAACAAAATCAATTTTTATGTTTTCTAAAATGTATACCTTCCCTTTTTTAAATATTATGTATGGAGGAGAAACTATATTTTTAAAGGATCAATTTTGGTCTACAATTTTGAATATTGTAAATGTTTACTTTAGCTTTACTGATGTTGTTCATTTGTGACCAGTAATTAATTTACTTTTTCAACATACTCTGAATACACTTTGTACGAACAGAATATAAAAAAAAAAATAACGCAAAAATGTTATTTTAGGGCGAAGGGAGGCGCGAGAACCCAATACTGTTAATCGAGCATCTATATCACTCTTTTAAACTTATCGCACAGTAATCTAAATGCCATGGTACATCGTTTCATTTCGAAAACAATCTGCAACGTATTACTGTAGAATGGATCATGAAGTAAGCGCAAAAGCGAAAGATCATTGCCAACTAAATCAGGCTTCTTTGAGATTATCCATCACGTGTCGATCTTCCCACCGCAAATTGACCAAAACGGCACAATCTTCGTGCCGGCATCGTTTGAAATAGGCCCTTCGATTGGCGGTTGCGTCATTGGTTCGCGCTGTGCTTTTTCTTCTTTGTCAGTCAGGTTAGGCCGCGTCGAAATTGTTATTTTTTAAATTTATATTTGATGAAGTAGACTATGTTCCTGAACATCTACTATCTAAATTCCGATCAGACAGTCAAGATTATTTTATTTCATTTTAGAAATACTGAAATAGATTCTGATTTTAAATTAAACCACGCTCAGGATTAAATTTGCAAAATAATGGCCGACGCTGATCAAGATTTGTTAGATTACGAAGAGGAAGAAAATGAAACTACTACTGAAACTACACAAGATAAAAAAGAACAGAAAAAAGATGTGAAGGGAACATATGTTTCCATACACAGTTCTGGTTTCAGAGATTTTCTTCTCAAACCAGAACTCCTTAGGGCGATTGTGGATTGTGGTTTTGAACATCCGTCAGAAGGTATAAATGAATGTTTATTTAATTCAATTCCTGAATTCAGTAATTACTGAATTATACTATATTCAGATATTCAATACAGCAATATAAACAATACTATCATTTTTGCCAGCCAATTCTAAATGACTGAATTAAGACATGCAATATGATAATTATGTCTGTATGTGTAGAAAACAATACTGATTCCTGGAAAATAGTGTATTAAATATTCTATCACGTTCTTATAGTTTAAAAAGTCTGGTGTCATATGTATATCAGGTCTTCAATTATGATCGGAGTTTCATACTAATCTTCAATTTTTTGTCATATGTTGTTTACTAACTTGTGTTTTTTTACAGTTCAGAATGAATGCATTCCGCAGGCAGTCTTGGGAATGGATGTCGTTTGCCAGGCAAAATCTGGTATGGGAAAGACTGCTGTCTTTGTACTGGCGACATTGCAACAGTTGGAACCAGTTGATGGCCAGGTATAAATAATCCCATTTTTATCAAGCATTTTCAAGCCGCAAGTCACGTGTGATCTCAGTGTTAAAGTGCAGACATTATAAAATGTATTTGTTAACGTGAATATCTCCGTAAACTGTGAGAAGGCCTGGTCCTGTAGTCTATTGCCTTGTTGCACACTGTTTAATATTATTATATTTGATTTTCAGGTTTCAGTTTTGGTTATGTGTCACACAAGAGAATTGGCTTTCCAGATCAGTAAAGAGTATGAACGGTTTTCAAAATACATGCCAACAATTAAGGTTTGCTGAATTTAATATCCTAAGTAATGTTTTGTATCTGGATAGTTTGGTAGAGCAAAAATTGTCAAAATACAAATCAGTTTTATTATTTTTCCTCGAGTGACATTACAAATTTTGTTTTATCAATCACTGTAATAAAATTGATAATACCTGTATAATGTTTCAACACTAAAGTGTATTCTCGCAAAGTACTATTTTGAATATTTTCTGATATTTCAGGTTGGAGTATTTTTCGGAGGACTTCCAATCACCAAAGATCAGTCGACGCTTAGCAGCAATTGCCCGCACATTGTGGTTGGCACACCAGGTCGACTGCTTGCGCTCATCAGAAGCAAATCTTTGTCACTCAAAAATATCAAACATTTCATTTTGGATGAATGTGACAAAATGCTCGAACAACTAGGTAAGGCTTTTTATAACATTGTTTATTTTTGTTTTTATGGCTTTGTATCTTTCCATTCAGTAACTTTTGCTTTCATTTGCATTTTTTTCAGATATGCGTCGTGATGTACAAGATATATTCCGACTGACTCCACACGAAAAGCAAGTTATGATGTTCAGTGCCACCCTGAGCAAGGAAATTCGTCCAGTCTGCAAAAAGTTTATGCAAGATGTAATGATCAAAAGTCCTTCATCAAAAATATCTCCTGTTTTACCAATATGCTGCCTGTCGTCGTCCATTAATCTTCCACTAATCCACTGCCTTAGTAGTTAGAATCAGTAGTCTATGTGTCTTATCACTCATTGCCGTGTTTAGTTTTCCCAACCTTATATGATATGTCACAAATATGAGCTTGGTCCAAAATGGGGTTCATCTACTCTAAAGTTGGGTTGAGGGTCCTCAGCATGCGGTTTCCATTGTTCCTGATTTGCTATACCCCTGGGATTGGGTCATCTGCAATTTTTGCCCACTGGGTTGAGGGTCCTCTGCATGTCATTCCCACTGTTGCTGAATCGCCACTATCCTGAGATTAGGTCATCTGCTATATTGAAGTTTGGTTTATCCGTCTTCAAGTCATCAACCAGGAAGTTGAACAGATGGATGGAAGTTTTTAAATGGAGGCTGCCATTGATTGCATGTTCAAGTTCTATGATTGAAGATGAATTTCTTTTCATTCTTTCAAGCGGAAGAGCACCAACTGATCAGATGTGATGTGGACATTTCATCAATCTGAATCTACATTTAGAGTTACATTTTTTTACACTTGTTAGGGGCAACCAGGATGTTGTTTTGGTTTGTATTTGGCTGAAATCTTTCACACATTTAAATAAATAAGTAGTAGTTAAGCTTGTACCAGAATCTGTATGATTTTTGTTGTACTTGATTACTAAGTTTATCACAATCTGTTTGTGTGTGAATAAATATGTGGTCGCTTTCCTGGTCAGCCCCACTTTCGTTAGACACAATAAATAAAAGTTAACTTTTGTTTTTAGCCAATGGAAGTATATGTGGACGATGAAGCAAAACTTACCCTACATGGTCTAAGGCAGCACTATGTTAAATTGAGGGATAATGAAAAGAACCGCAAACTTTTTGATCTATTGGATGCACTTGAGTTTAACCAGGTTTCCCTACTTTCTATTCTATTTTCAATAATGTACTAGTGTTAGTATATTATCTCTAATAATTCCTTATTTTGTTGTTAAGGTTGTCATTTTTGTCAAATCTGTCCAAAGGTGCATTGCTCTTGCTCAACTACTGAAGGATCAAAACTTCCCAGCAATTGATATACATAGAGCGATGAATCAAGAAGAGCGTCTTACTCGTTACCAACTTTTCAAGGTAAAAATGATGCATAATTTTATCTAATAACTATATGATTTTATAATTAAAATATTCGGATCGAGTGGATATATTGTACTTTTACAGAACTTTCAGAAACGTATCCTGGTTGCAACCAATTTATTCGGACGTGGTATGGATATTGAGAGAGTCAACATTGTTTTTAACTATGATATGCCAGAGGATTCAGACACTTATTTGCACAGGGTATGTGTGGTCAATTTATTTCATAATTCATGTTGCTTTATTGTATATTTGACTTATGTGTTTTTGATTAGGTGGCTCGTGCTGGTCGTTTTGGCACCAAAGGTTTGGCAATCACATTTGTATCTGATGAGACTGATGCCAAAACCCTGAATGATGTACAAGACAGATTTGAAGTGAATGTGACTGAACTGCCAGATGAAATCGATATCTCCGCCTACAGTGAGTGTTTACAATAATCCTTCTATTTGTCCTTGTCAATTTATTGGGTTATCGTGTTTGGTTTTTGTGTTAATTTGTGAATGTTCTTCCCACATTTTGTTGACATTTATGCTTCTATATTCAATGTAATCGTATTTTTTCACAGTTGAAGGACGCTGAGATTCTAAAGAAACTGCATGGTTTTATTGAAGTAGAAGAAACTACAAATAGTTGTGGAATGGACTGATGTCCATTGTATTTTATTCGTTTCATGTTGTACGTGATGATTTCTAGCTTGTTAACCAATCATTTCTTTGTGTACTGTAGATTCTGACGCCTACCATCTTTTTTAAAAAACTTGTAAATTTTGTCAATAAAAGTGCAGGCTGATTCTTTAATCTATTTTGAGTGCTCCTAGCAATTGGGTGTGGGGTATGTGCATGGCGTTACAGGATGATCTGAAAATGTTTTTGCCTATTCAGTTGAGCGATTTAGGAAATGGTTGTGGCCAGGACTGGAGGTTGGGAAAATTTGAATATGAGGTACAATTCAAAAAAACTTCAGCTCGGGATTCCTAGAAAGCCAAATTTTGATAACACTATTCTGCGTTTTTTTAATTTGTATTCTCTATTCCAAGGCCTGGGCTAGGTCGGTCGATATTCTGATCTTCCGTTTGGTCGCACTGTTATCAACAAATCTTTTGTAAGTTGGCTTCGATATTCTGATTTCCAGATCTTCCGTTTGGTCGCACCGTTATCAACAAATCTTTTGTAAGGTGGCTTACGGGAATAGTTAAATACTGATAATTTGATCCGTGCTTCGTAATCGTGATTCTTAAAGTCTACCGTCGAGAATGCTACCATAGAGTCCACGTAATGCTTGCCGAACCGTTACTAAAATTTCCTGAGAATAATATAAATACAATCAGTAGTCTGCGGCGTATGAACGTAGGGGAGAGGTGCGGTTGGGAGGGTATGTGCTAATTCTAGGATGGCGTCGTATGATACATTTATAGAATTTGCGAAAGATGTGAATGAAAAAATATTCTATGGCGACAAGAACCATGGCTGAATCGAATGATACAGATTTTAGGAACTTGATCATAGCGGTGGTCGATTACTTCGGGAAACTTTAAGTATATATTGGCCGACGCAGTACAAAACGTTAAACATTATGAGAATTTCACTTATTTGATGCAGTTTTATATCTATTGCTCTTTGACACATCGTCCCTGTAATGTCATGTCATCGTCCGTTAAACATTTCCTTCGATTGATTTGGTGGGGCTTATTAGCTGCTGTGCGTGGTATTAGCATCAGGTATTGGAAATACGGGGGTCATTACAGCTGATAAGTCTTTTACAGTCCTAAGGCCACACAAGGCTGTTAACGCTATTAGAAAAGATTAAACTTAATTCTGACAACACGCAAATGTACGAACGGTTTCCCAATTGTTGACTCACCCTGATAAAGTAAGTATGTTTATAATAATGAAATCGTTCATGTAGATTTCTAATCGCGTACGGTTTAATATCACGTACAAATCTATGCCCGTGATGTTTCTCGCCAACAAATTCTCCAATGGTACATGATATATGTTTCAACTTTGTTTCGTAATCGCCTAAACGCTGGCACAAAGCATCAGACGTATTTCAAGCTTGGCGAGGTATCCTTTCTTCTTCTGAGAATTAAGTGGGGAACTTGACGGCCGATTTTAACCCGTTAACCACGAGACGACTACGTAATTGCACAAGATTGTCATTCATAAGGCTGCCATTTTATTCTTCAGGCGAAGAGGTTCTGAAATTAGCAAGTCTTGGCGTCCCTTCGCGATGGAATCGTGACTAACGTAACGGCGATGGTGTGTTTGTACAGATAGACATTCATTTAATAGTGAGGCAGCAGACTGAGATCCGAATCATTCCTGCCGATGCAACCATTTATTGCATGCTTACACCCCATTCCATAGTAGGATATTGTTTCCAGTATGTTTTTCTCGCAGCTTTCTCCGTGTTTGTACTTTTTTTCAAATCGTATTTTGAGAGATGAGACGAAGCTTACGTGCTTTGCGGCTACAGATATTCATGGCATATTTCGTGTAGTGTCTTGATAATGTGACGCTCGTGCAGTGTACAGTTGTTGAGTGCGTTGGCCGGGCGCTTTTCGGGCAATTTAGTTGTTTTCACCAATGCGAAATCGAATATTTTTAAATAATTACATACCCTTTGCGTATGAATATAATCTTTGGGCGAGAAATAAAATATACTCCGCATAAAAGGCCGAGGTTCATATTGCAAATTGGCCGACTCAACTTCCTCCTACCCCTCGGCGAGTAGATGTTTCAGCGTAAATGCGGGCAAATGATGTATCTGTTACGCACGATGTATTTATCGGGTCGCCTTGACATTTATTTGGAAAGGAAAAATAGAGAATAGCCTAATGTATTTAGTATATTCTTTATTTTTGGTTTGAGCGAATTACACGTTTACTGGGGCGATAAGTGAACAAAATGGCGATGCTAGTCTGCAGTACCCGATCGCCCTCAAAACACTGATACTACAGTACTGTACTACAGACGTACAGTCGACTCATATCATTTCAGATTTCCGCCAACAAAACAGTCGAAAAATATTCGTTTAACAGCCGATGTGTAGCAAAGTTTACACAGTCACAGTTGTACTGGTTGTATGATACAGTGAATTGAAAATATCTTTCAGAATACTGGAATACTAGTACTAAAACAATCGTTTCCTACAAATCATGGGTAAAAGTTGTTAGTTGAAGGCCTTAGTTGAATAGCCCAATACTGCTAGACTATATAAGTTGAAACTTGAAAGACATGACTGTAAGTTGAGTGTCGAAAGAATATTGCTGGGTTGTAAGATTATTACTGTAAAACTGTCCATATATTAATCTATATTAATATTATTACTGTATTGATTAAGCTATTTACAATCGGTATGAGTTTGTCTGCTTATGGCATATGGCTGTATGGAAAGCAATCTGATTGTTAGAATCACAGAATTAACTTTATATGACTGCTGGAAAAATTATAACTCAGTAACTGACAAACTGAAAATTAAAATAGTCAAATTTCAGAATTTTTGTTCATGTTGGTGGTTTCCAATACCAAACAAACTGGATACTTGATAAATAATATTCATTCACATGAGTGTGACATACTGGGAAGTATATCATAAATACTGAAATTATATAATATCAAATTTTTGCTGTCGTCTGTGTGAAGTGGAGAAAATATGTAAATGAATCAGCACTTATTGGATATAATATGAATATTTGGGGAATGTTTTGGAAATATGTAGTGATTGCTGGTAATACAGTAATAGCATATATATAACAGCTATCAGGTAACACATGGCAGGTGTGAGTTTACTTTGTGTTTGCTTGGAAAATAAAATATTCACAAAATAAGAAGTCAATTTTGATTTATATTCAGAATTTTGTTATGAAAAGTTCAATATGATACTTCTGTACTTAGATTGAATAAAATGAAATTTCACGCGAACAGGATTTGACTATATCTGTTTTTGAAACCCATTGTGGCATTCAAAGTCAAACTGAAATAATATCAGTCAATTCTAAACAATGTATTTTTGTTATACATTATATATTTACTGTATTAGGATCATATCAGTGTCCAACTATGAAAATTTGAAAATTATCATATTATGCCCTTTTCCTTATTATTTATAAACTTTAAACTTTTGGGGAGGTCTGCTTTCCAAAATGTGCCGGACATTCCTACTCACCCTCTAGAACAGTGGTTCTCAAACTTTTCAAGCTGTACCCCCTTTTTAGAATTTGACGAGTCTCGTCTCCCTACCTCAAAAATAACTAGCTATCAATAAGCTACAAATAACAGATATCATGGCGAAAGTATGATATATTCAAAAAACACATTGAAAATATGTGAATGATACTAAATATCCAAAATAAAAAAATGTAAATATCCAAAATAAGTCGTACAAGATCAAATCTAATAAATGTTTTTATTGTTAATAAACTTCGCACCCCCCTTCCCTTGTGGGTTGTGGCTCTAGAAACTTGTTTTCTTGAATATCTTGGATGAAATCTCCAATATAATCAGCCATTTTGTTTTAATTTCTTATTTTAAATAAGTTACTATCATATTTTAAATATTAAAAAATATTGTATTTGTTTCAAACAAAAATGCCCAGTTCAAAATTTTTGCACTCAAAATTTGAATTGTGAAAATATTTCAGAGAGTTGACTTGCTACTCAAAACAATGCCGAAAAAATCATAGTACTTGACTCTAAAAGTAAAAAATAATGTTGTTTATGAAAATTGATTTGATGGTTTAAATTCATCTGAAGTTTTAGAATATTTTTGTTATTACACACAACAGCATAGAAATTACACACTAAATGATTTTGCTAAAAAAACAAAATGGCCGACAGCAAAAAAGGAGCAATATTGGGATAAGGACTGCACTGTGAATGTCTTCATTTTATGGCGTATATCAATGCAAGTTCGTATTTCTCAGAATCCAAGTGCCATTTGAAATGACCATTTCATGAGTTTTTAGTCCAATTTCGCCATAACTTTCTCGAAATATTTATATATCCTAATAAATATTGGGCTGAAGTCTGAATTTAAAAGACAAATATTATTTTTTACCTATAAAGTAAAATGATACATTTATTGTGAAATTAAATAATGATTGTGACTTGCGAGCCTAATGGGTTAAAAGTTTGTTGTATTGTATACTTGTAAGTTAGAAGAGTTTTATTGCTTAGTTTTGAACATGTGGGTAAAATTTGCAGAATAAGAGATATTTCAATGTTCAAATATATAAATGTAACATTACCAAAATGGTGGATTGTTATTTAAAGGCGGATGGAAACAGCGTTTGTTAGTAACACATTACAAATATATTCATAATAGTGATTTTGCTTGGAGTTAGTAATAGCTTTGATTTTGAAATTAATTTTAAATTTTATGCCTCAATTTACACTTTTCTATCATTGAAAATAGAGAATAATATTAAATGTCATTAAATGCAATTTATAACTTTATATATATATGTATATTATATATAATGGCGTTATAGCTAACTTATAGAAATTCAAAAACTTCTAAATAATTGGCCATTGATTTCAGAAACTTTTTGTCACTCTTTTATTATGTATGGAAATGAATAAAACATTGTAATTGTCACATGACTCATTACCGTGCAAATGCGTAATATACTATTTTGAGAATTCATATCCTAAATTTTAATATGTCTGTAGTTTGTACATTATAGTCATGTAAACACTTTTAAAACATTTCAATTTAGGCAATAATTTCTATAGAATTTTATGTGTAGTAAACTATTTATAAACATAAAATCAGTGGGACACCAGATTTTCTGTCCTCCATTTTGTGTTTGCTTACAGACTTACAGAACATTAAATAACCAATAATAAAATCTATTTTCACATCAGATGAATGTTTTTGTGTAAATAGACCTCAATGAAAATGGATGCTGTTTTATTAAGTAGGCTTGACGTATTGGCGACCTAAACTGTAAACTAATCCTGTATGGAGCCGAAAGAAAAACAACGTATTTATGCCCAGACGTTTGTGCCGCGCGTGGAACGTTTCGATGATAATCCGAGTCTCATTCAACTCGCCTCCAAGGCTAAGGACAGTAAATCAAATGACGATGATTCTTTAAATAGAGTTCTAACATCATCTGTAAGAAAATTTCCGGAAGCTCTACAGACATTTGCTTTAAAAGCGGGAAATTTATCTGAAGTTGGTAATATTGTGAACGTACGACCTGATTTGCGCCAAAATGGTGGACTTGTTTCACCTAAAAATCAGGATGCTTTAATGAAAAGTGACTCTATAAACTTGGCATACAAAGATAAGAGATTTACTGATAACGTCTCACCAAAAGGTTTGCATGACGTTAAACAAGGTTTGTACATTTCAGCAAAGCAAAAATCTCCATTTAGCAAGGCTATTTCACCACATAAAGAACAGAGACAAATCACTTCTATTAGTGCTTGTACTTGGACGCCGGGATCTTCTAATCAGGATATAAGGGACCATTTACACAATCAGGTAACGAAAGTAAATTAACTTTATGATTATTTATATAAAACCTATGTTATTTCAAAGATTGTAACAAAATTTGAAACAAAATATTGAAATTATTTTATGATAATGTCAAGTTTATTTTTACCACTATTGTCCAGATGATACATTTTATTTAGTGTAACAGTTTATTATTATTTATGTCTCACGAATTTTATTTTGCGTCATTTTTGCCTAATTTACTCTGAAAGTTAACGGAAGCTCTTGCACTGGTTTTAGTTTAGTTTATAATAGTATAACTGTGTACAACTAATGATGCTATCAAAAAACAGGGCTTTGCAGCTGACTTACCTGACATTGTAGATGTATGATAATTGTTGTTATATTTAACATCTCCTAAATATAGAGTCATTTGCGTTGAGAGTGATGTTGTGCGTAGACACATGGGCGCATTAGGTTTTGGAATTTGTTTGAATAAAGCATGAGCAATTTGAAATCTTTTTGTGAGGAATTGATTAATCGTCAATCATACTTGAATAATAGATAGCAGTGCTCATGTATGAACCATGCTTGGGAAGTGCTATTATATTTGGCATTTACAATTTTCATATTTTCAGATGTCAGTTTTATAGGTAATTTATGTAATTTTTTATTCAATATTTTGTTTTGAAATAGATTTTAGTTTAATTGATGATCAAAGAATAATATTGATTTTACCTGTCAAAACAAACTGCTTTATCAAGGCAGACAATTTCAAATTACTTAATCGGGCCCACTTGATATTGAAAGGTCTAAAATTGGGGTGATGGATAATTTTTGTATAGACAATCATTTAACTATGTCTTGTATATAAAATTTGTTGAATTATTCAAAAGATTATTTCAAGAATTGTAACTGGGGCTAGTATCCATTGAGATCATAAATGAATGAATAATTCAGTAAAATATATGTAATTTTGCAGTGAATAAATATAAGTATATCAGGTTCATTTAAGGTAAACATGAATCGTGTGGCGTAGTTATGCATCTATTATCCATGCTTGATACATGAGTAATTTGTCTTCGTGGTGAATTTCCAACTTTATAACTTTTATTGTAGTATTGGTATACAATATTTCTCAAGCTTGACCAAGTGACTGCGTTAAGTATCTGAAATAGATTTTATTTATTATTTATAAATCCGCATGAGGGGTTGTACTATATTACGGTACTTGTAATTGTAACAATGGTTCAGGAAAGGCTTTATTTTTATTAGCTCCAGGTGTTGTTAAATATGGCACGTATCCGGAATTGCCTACAAAACCATCATAACAAATTAGAATAGGAAACTTCCTTCTCATACGCGCAACTGATTTCGGAAAACAATATAATATGATTTGTGTGGTTCACTAAAATTCAGTTTCGCATCAAAATATAGTGATGGTAGTAAAAGTTCAATAGGCCTATATGCTTAATTTTATTCTGAGTCATCAAAGTGTTAGCAATTTCTGGTTTATTGTTGGCTACGTAAAATTTTAACCAAAACAGCAATGCATTTATTCAATATTAGTTTCTGATAACGTTTCAATCAATTGTTAATATACCAAACCATAATATTTTATATTATTAGAAGGTCATAGTGGTAATTTACTCGTTTATTCAGGACCAACATACTTTTCTTTTCTCTTTTTTTTATTTTTTTTTCATTTTATTTTTTTCATTATCACTTTAGGTGACCACATTTGAGAGGAGTAAATAAACGTTACGCTTTCTGGTATATTTTTCAGAAATAGTATTTACCAAGCATATTCCAAAGGCAAAATATAATTCTTCTTTTAAACATAGACTGACCGAATTTTACAATAGATTTCTGAAAAATTACTAGTTCTCAGAATTATTTTTAATCTTTATGATTAATCATGTATGTATGCGACATAGTTGTGCAATTATAAGTACTTTTTACTACCAATATTGTATGATTGGACAGGAGATTGTTCATTAATTCTTTACATTTTTAATCTCCTATTTTCGGTCTCATGACTGACAATTAGTGTTTGTTTACCAATGTAAGATACGACACGAAAAACTAGGGGTTCAAATAGACTGTGACGTTAGTCCGGATGTTTTGTAGAATATTGTATTACACATCGATTTTATTTAACAAATGCGTATTTAACTTTATGACGTGATATGTCAACTACATTTATGATTATATTCATTGAATAAGCAGTTCAGTGTTTAAATGGGTCTTTTGTTCAAATTTTTTGTCAAGCTATATTTTATTCAAGAATGATATAATAACTATTATTTAATAAAACAAATGAGCAGATAGCAAAAGTTACAGGTTATTTCACAATCGACTTGATTTTTAGTGATACGTTCGGTGCTTTTTGATCAAGGTATTTTGCATGTAATTTTTTCTGAAAGGTGAAGTAAGGTTATAAATATTCTTTCCTCCCATGAGGTTTACTTCAAAGTATGCAAGTGCATAAAGTGATTTTCTAATAATCGCCAACATCATTATGTCTTACCAGGGCCAATAAGCGACACGTAATTGGGATAAGATCGAGTAAACTAAAGTCTCGAAGTTGATATTTAAATGTTAAACCGTTGCCATAGCTGATGGTATAGAATGTCCTGGGGACAAATTGACTCGCGAATAGCTGTTTTACTTTCATTATAATAGTGTTAATCTGACAGCTTGCCTATTTATAAGAGTTGAGATTTTAATTTAACTGATTTAATCTGTGTCAACAGAAATTTAAGGCAATTAGTTCTAAGGATTTTGTGAAATTATTATTTTAGTTTGTGTGCCTTTAAAAAGTTTATACTCTGACGTGTTTTGCTTTCTGAATATTTACAGAAGTGTGGTCCATATATGATGTTGACTGAGGTTTTTTTTTTATTTTATGCCTGGCATTGTTAAGCCAAGTAAAAATTTCTTTAAATCTAGAAATGTTCTGGATAACCATAATTGGAATTAGTTTGGTGTTGCACAAAATTAACGAACTAGTAATTGCATTAAAATTGCTTGGCTTTAGGCAAAAGAACTGTAAGAACTATATAAATTTGTTGAGGGAAAATATTTTGTTCATATTTTGAATATTAGCTTCATTCCTAAGGTCTTGAAATTGTTTTAAAAAGGGCATATATGTGTAATAGTTTTTATGAGGAACACTTTTTATTTAATCATTACAGAATATTTCCCGATATGATTCAATTGTGCAAATTTATCTACCCTTATCCTATTTTTCACAATCTTAGCGTGACAATTTCTGTTTACTACCCTAATTATGCATAAACAGTTCTGGCGTTCTGGTACATTTCAGTTAAGTAGGTAGAACCGACTTATCATGATAAGTATTTAAAATAGAAGGATGTGGCAACAACGGAAATTCCCTATTACAGTAAGTCATTTTCTTTTCAACGTTTGGTATCAAGTTTCGTCTCTCGGTAGTTTTCGTCTCTGAAGGGTCAATTCGAATCTTAATTAATCAAACTAGGAAATGGCCGTTTCTAATACAAACATACAAGTGATTCAAGACAAGTAGGTTATTATTAGTTTTAAAAATTTATTTTTTTTAAAAATATAGAAGAATTTTAAATTTTATTTTATGAATATAATTATCAACCTTCATATTAATGAAGTTTTCGATAAAAATTTGTTTTTTAATATTTTTTCAAATTGTCGTGTCGTGAATTCACGTTCAATAGGAATTGTCTTTTATTCAAACACGAACCCATAAAATAAATTTTTACTGTGTAGTCGTAATATGAATTGTACAAATAAACGTCTACTTGCTATTGAAAGGGTGGATTATATTGTTTGCGCACTATGACGTCTTGATGTTGATAGCATCAGATTTGTAAGTTTACACCTCACTGAGATTTGACTTATTTGAGTAAATTCTATGCGAAAGACGTCAAACGATCCACAACATAATTTGAGGATTGTGTGAAGGATTTATTTTAGCGCCATTATACCTGGTGTTTGCAGACTTGTAGCTTATGAATAGATGCAAGAAATTATATTCATATTTATTCATTTTTTTCTGAAAATTTAATATGGCAAGAAATCAAAATAGTTGTATTCTTTTAAAATACGAAATGTGGTGTTGTAAAAGGTAATGTTCATTTGCAAAATATATGCTGAAGTTTTATGAGGAAATTTAAATTTGTGCGTTAGACATGGCTATATTTTAGAATCTGACTTGATAAACTGTTTACAGATATCCGGAATATTTTGAATTAATGTTTAAGGTAGAGTTTTTTCATTGTTTTCTCCAATTTCTAAATTAAATGACAATTTGGTAGTAAATTACACAGTTATTCATTTACGATAGAGTGTTTGTTATGAAATTGTCAAAGTTTTACTAAAATTTGGGAAAAAACTGAAAAAAAAAACTAGTCGTTTCAAGATTGTCACATCTTGATTGATGTTTGGAGTAATTTATTTCAATAACTTTTAGTATTTTCATTCGTAAGTTTCTTTGCAAAAATATCTATTATCTTAATAAAGTTGTTATCTACAAATTTGCATTTTAAGAGATTTATTCATTGAAATGTAAATTAGAATGGTCAAATGGGTTTCTTCGAATTTTGCAACCACTTAGATGAATGTTCTTTTGTCATGTATAATCAAGTGTAATTTCAAATTTAGCCATGTTTTATTATAGACATACCAATGGCCCACACAAATCATGATACTATATCACTTCCATTTTGTCAGTTTACAAAATAAACAATTCAAACAGGTTTTGAGATAGCGAGATATATATCTCATTCTATCAATCGATTAAAAATGCCCTATCCTACAATAAAAAAATTCATTACTCTTTGTGCTCGTTAAGAATTTTACAATGCACGGCAAGGTTTTTGCGATTGTGTTAGGAGGGATAATAATTTTTTTGTCATTGCATTACAAAAGCAATAATGGTAAAATTATACTTTCCAACCTTAAAAATTTAAATAATTATGGTTTGATTTTAAATTTCTCTATAATTACATCTATAATTATCCTGTTTATATATAATTTCTTTTTAGCCTTAAATTGCTTCAATTATTTTCACTTTTGAAACAGTTTTTCTGTTATTATAGACAGTACTATTATACAATAGATACTTGTTGTTTATTGGCATTGAAATCGAAAAACAAAATGGCGTCTTGTCAATGAGATCAATAAGATTATTGTGTTTTGTTCTAGCCACAACCTAAAGATAACACAACAAGTCCTCAACCACAAACAAGAAGTGATACGCTATCGTCGTTGTCAGAAGATAAATTAGATTTAAAAGACGTAAAACAATCGCCGTCATCATCATCATTCTTCCGTACTTTTCCTACACAGTCAGGACGTCCTCCAATGAAACTTGAAAGTAAGTGAATGGCCATATCTTTGTCCTATAAAAAAATATTGGATTTTGATAACGTATACGTTAGACACCGAGGCAATTATTCAATCATACCTTATTGTTTAAACTTTTGAGTGCGTGATTGAATGGCGCGTTATTCGGACTATCATACACATACATATCAAGAACATAAATTTCTTTTAACTCTATATATCTATGCTTATTTGAATCCCTACATTTATATACAATTTCGTACATTGTACTACTTTATTGCAAAATACATATTAATTTACTTTTTATCAATACTTTTGAAAGGTTATTAAATATACTGGTATATTAAATATGTACGCTCCATTGTCAATAAAATTTAGATATGAAATTGATTATAATATACGGTATTATTTTTGTACATTATTTGGTGATGTTTATCATATATTTACACCAATGTGTCTTTCAAGACGTGTTTCACTCATAATATACTGGATTCATCTTGCTGATGTTAAATTTTTCATATCTTACGCTACAACATAACAGTGGTTTCCATGAAATTTGAGATATTATAAAACTAATTCCAACATAAATATGTGTGGGTGTATCGTGTATATTTGCAGATAAGCTTTTTACCTTGTTGAGTCTTATAAAGCATATGTTTTTGAATTTTATCGGTCAATTGTATAAGCGTACTGTGTTGTTTGTCAAGTAACGATACCCAAAGTATAACATTGATAACATCAGTCCACCTGCGATAGGATATTCATTATTTAGAACTTAAAATTTATAGTAATGCGATATTGTTAGAAGTATAATAGGCATATTTTTGTTTTTAAAGTTATTAGAATTAAAATAAATTTTTACGTAATTTTGACCTATATCAGGTCAATGTACTATTTGTTAATGCAGGACGATAAAATAATGGCAGCCAATTTTGAATATCTGATTTTGCTTATTATCAAAATGTTTAATAATTATTCAAATAAGTTCTGTATCGCCTCACAATTAAAATATACGATTGTGTTTAATGCTGATGCCATGTACATGTTGGCCATAAAAATTTCAAGGTAGCTTAAACAAGATTTCTTTATTCCTATGGGATTAGCAACAATTTTTTTTAATTTATTCTACAGGAAATAGAGGAAACCAGAAGCTGCCTGTTGGCATCGCTGTGGCACGGCAGAGGCAACATGCCACTCCTTCTGCAGCCACTGCCAAGACCAGAACATCTGCTAAAAATACATCACCAGGTAAAATTATCTATGACCCCCCTTAGTTTTCACCATGTCTGCTATATAATATTTTAGTGTTTCAATATGGTGCTTCTTCCTATATACTTTCTGTGAAAAAATTTTTTTTTTCCATGTTATAGGTATCCATTCCTATTGATTTGAGGTCAAACTAGTTATGACCATGTATGGGACAGTAATACGGCACTCGCCTGATTATTGTACCAAGCATGATCTATACATTTTCTTTCATCATATCAAATTAATATTTTATCTAATGAGAAATTTGATTAGAATTCTTGCACTAGGTTCTATTTTGTTAGATTTTCCTACAAAATCTTTTTTGCAATTTTTATACTTTGATAAGCGCAACAAATTCATTGACACGCAAAACTTTATTATCTTCCATTTACGCTGTTTTGTTTATTTTGTGACCTTCCTCGCATAGAGGGTTGTGACCGGTACAGATGTTATCACTAATATGACAACATTTCTACACATTAATTTACATGTATTTACTTTAAATTCTATTTGACAGATCTTGATAGAAGATTCAATGAACATGCTTTAAATCAAGAAAGAGAAGTTTTATTAAGGTATTTATATAAAGATTAATACTTTTTGAATGAAAACAGTATGAATTGAAATTTGCATCTTAAAAATAACGTACCGGTAATGTACCATTATATGATTTGAAACGATTTCTTTTTTTGTTGGGACAATCTACAGTTGCACTTGCACATTAGGATATCAAATTCATTTATGTTTCGTTAAATAATTCTGAACATCTCTTTCGCATTGAACATTTACATGACCCATGTTTAATGTGTGAATATTGTGTGAGATTAAATACATATTATAGAAAATTAGAAATTTGAGTTATTTTATAAACAAAATATGTTACTAATACGTTTTATTAAAGTTTGGTATAAATAACATGTTGCTATATGCTCACTGCCACAGCACACTTATGCACTCATAGTCTCAATCCAAAGATTTTAGGCATATACACCTAATTTGCAATACAGATATTTGACATAAGTTTAGGTCACAAACACTTTTGGCTTATGATTTTTACATACAAAATTCATCACAAAATTTATCATTGCCTATACGATCCTTATATTTAATAGAAATTATAGTATGATGAAGAAACTGATGTATTCATTTTTAGTCATTAATTTTCTGTAATGGCGCGTTTGTTATGATAATTTAATATAATTGAATTGAATTTAAACTTGGTACGTCTTTCTGTAGTGAGAAAATATTCTTTGCAAAACATTAATACATGCATATTTAAATAAGTTGAACTGTAACAAAAATCATTTTCTCTTTAGTTTTGAAATTAAATTTTAGTGGTTAGAATACAATTTGTTCGTTATTCTTACTCAGTCTCATTTAAATTTACACGTGCATAAATATTTGTCTTTGGTTGAAATCTTACTCTATTCATCAATTTGAAAAAGGAACTCTCGCTATTGCAAACAATTATGTTAAATTTAATAGTATTTCCATGTAATTAAATATTACGCTATTCACTCAACTTTTATATGAAGCTTGGGCCATTGATGAGGCGTGTTACTGAGAAATGATTTTATTTTTAATTTGGCAATTTTTGTCTTGAATTTAAACCCAATAAAATTAGAATTTATTTGAAATAAATAATATTATTCATGATTTACTTATTCTTTATTCATATCTCGCTGTAAGGGTGAATTTACTTCGTTTTTTTGAATATTTATGAAGTATATGTAATGACCAATAACATGATTAATTGATGTATAGATCATAAAAATCAGGTGATATCTTATTTAAAATGCAGAACTGTTATTAACAGATCAATTTTGTGCGAGTATTATCAGATTTGGCACATACTTATTCCATCTCATTTTTCTGCTCCTATCAAGTCAGTATTCTCATATTTCAAATTAAATTTGATTGAAAAGACTTCAATCACAACAGAAATTGACGTAAATTGCGTTCTCCGATACTGAAGAAACCAATTTTATTGATATTCTCATTGCTGTGTTTGGATTGTTAATTTTGTTTGCATATTGCGCTTGATTTACTCTATAGCTTTATCAAGCTCGTGCTGGTGATAAATAGAGTGTGTCAATTGTTAATAATGATCTATCCATGCTTGATGAAGCGTCAGTTGTTATTTTTTCGACTAGTACTGTTTGAAAAATGCGGTTGATGTTGTTTTTAGGGAAAATAAAGAGTTGTCAAATTACACATCGAGATTGCAGACTAGCGGTTCAGCCACATCACTTCCAATGCTCAATCTACCCGGTGCTATGTTACCAGGAAGTAAGTATATTACTTAGCAATGAATATATTGATTTGATTCCGTAATTTTGAATTATTATGTTGCTTGTTAAGGCTGGTTATATGTGAAAACATATCTTATTTATTCCATTTTTTATCTAACAGATAGGGACAGCTAAACTAAATAATTTATTATTTAGAGAATATAATGAAATAATATTTTTCAATACCGCCATTATGTTTTCTTTCAATATTTGGACTAGGTTTGATGAGAAATCGAGCACATTTATATAGTTCCTATGAGAAATTAATATTGCTTTTTTTACGTTATTAGCCATTAATAACTGAAACATGTTCCGTTGAGCCTTTATGGCAATAATTTTCGGAGTAAGTTACAAATTTACAACTGTATAGAATTCATTTATATTATAAAAATATATTACATTCTTCATTGAATTTGGAGTATATTCATATAGGAGGTCTTCCTATGCGGTGGTATAATACGGTACATTTATTCAGAATTATTCATTGCTTAATCAATAGGTATTATATGATAGTTAATAGCTTCAACACTTGTGATATGAATAAGCTGGTTGGGTTTGGGCTCGATACATTTTGTTTCAAATGCTGAAACAGCCAATAGGTAGTTTTCATTTTATTTCATATGTTCTTTTGAAAGCTAGAAAATGCTTTAAAAAGGACTTATTGAAAATGAGGAGATTTTTATATTAGAAGAATAGTTTTTTGCAGGATTGGCATTACGTGATTCCTTAATTTTGCGATGAAACCAACGCCAAACACAAATTTTTAACCCGTGGTTGGAACATAGTCAGGCCTGCTATATATTTCACCACAAAATATTTCATATAAAAAATACACTATATATTATTTATTGTCTTTAACAAGGTTTAAAAAACTGCCTGAAAATCCATTTTTCACCCAACAATTTGTCATCGACGAACCTTACTATATCTTTCTATTATCATTTCTGTAGGTTGGGAAAGAGAACAAGCACTGATGGCATCTTCTTTATTACAATGGCAAGCAGCTCAGCAACAATCATCAGCATTATTAAACAGTAGTTTACAGCATCAATCTATGTGGTTTGGTGGTGCATCACCCTACCATCTACCTGGTACTCAGGCAGGAACTTCTCTTCCAGTGAGCCAGGCTTCTGCATCTGGATATCCTTTGCTTGGGAGTGGGATTCCAAGCGGATTTGTTATTATGCCGCGTAAGTACTCATTGTTTTGAAAATTTGTGCCTGGGATTAAAGAACATAAATTAGTATTTTTCTTGTCATATTTGAAAGTGATGAATTTTTCAGAAGTCTAAATAATTGATAATTATGCCACATTTTTAAACTGAATTTCTGCTAAAATAACATGTTGAAGTTTTTGTATCTTCACTTTTAAAGTACAATCACCCAATTAGATTTCTATACTGGGTGAACTGCTATCATTTTGATTCGCAATAGACTTCTCTTGATGAGCTGGTATTGAAGTTTAAAACTTTAGACCAGCGGTTTTCAACTGGAGGTCACAGAGTGTTGGAGAGGGGTCACAATGTTAGTCTCAGAAGTGATTTTACCTTTCCATTTACAAGAAAACTCTCCATTCTTTCTATTTTCATTGATTGACAAGATTATTTCACAGGATGTTTTCGCTTCAGTGAGCATGAATTGTTTGAACATAATGGGATTTGGAATCTACCATTCATAATAACACTCTAAATATCACTGGAATAATAAACAGGGCCATAAGTGCTAAAACCCTACAGAAGTGGGCCACAAGCCATAAAAGGTTGGGAACCACTGCTTTAGACAATGGTAGAGCCCCTAACCTACGACAACAGAGACCAAAGCATGAGTTGCACAATATTTTATGAGTGGAAATTCCAAAGAACTTCAGTTTCTTTCTTTTAAAGTCTTAATGTTTATGCTGATTTATGACCTTCTAAATGTTCCTATTTCAGAATTTTTACAAGAAGGCAATGCTGCTGCTGCAGCAGCGGCTGCAAGTATGTGGCCATCACTTGCTCTTTATGGCAACTCACATCCTGCAATGAGAAATCTACCACATACATATCAAGATATAATATCTCGACAGGTACATTGAACAAATTGTTACTCAAATATCGAGCAGAACTACTGTTAGTTAAATATGATTCAAAATTTTGCTGCAACCCAGACTTTTTTTAGGCGACTAATTTTTCCAGTTTACCATGGCATATCCCAGCGGTCCCAAAACTTTTTGTTGGTACGTTGCCAAACTCGCACTTGCACGAAAAAAATACTGCTTTTAAATAAAACTCAATTTTGTAATCTTTAATGTGTAATTTATGATTTGTAATGTTTGTAAACATGTAGGCCTAAGGAATAATAGCAAAAGGTCAACTCTTCTTTCTCATCTCTGCCTGATTTTTCTTTGAAATGCGGAAAAAATCACTCATGTTCGCTAAACTTGGTTCAGTGGAAAAATAAACTGCAGCTCTCGAAATTGCAGCATGTAGTGTCTATCTATATTGTCACATAACAATAGAAGCTGACACTACGGAACAGAAAGTAAACAACATAGAAAGGTAGAATGAAGCTTTGAGAACTGCTGAGCTATTCAATTTATTATGGGATTACTTATAAAGCTACTAAGTTGTGATTTATACTCTGTGGATGTAAAAAAAAGTTTGTTTGACGTGCTGCGCGGGTGCAAAGGAGTTGTGTCAAACTGAAACTCTAGTACATTCTGAATCTATTATTTAGTTACATATTTCCTTATTCTATATACTGAAAGTCAATATTGAAACATTCATATGTATATTTTAGTTGCAGAATCTTCAGCATCATGAATTGCAAGCTTTACATCAGCAAGCTATGCAAGGAATACCAATCTCATTACCAAAAGTAAGTGTTTTTTCAACTTGTTGCATTCACTTTTAGCACATCATCAATGGTGTGAATCAAGGAAATCTAAAAATACAAGTTGATTTGAAATACTGCATTGGCCTTTCTCAAGCATGGTATTTTTTATATTGTGATCCTAAACGAATTGAGTAAGTAAGGCCGCTATGGCGCTATTGAGCCAGTATGCTATGTGACTGTGGATGCCTTGCTTTAGAATTAACAGTAGGAGGGGAACAGATACTAAGACTGGTGATGAGTACAAATATTATTTATTCAAATATTTCAGAATGAGTCACAATTACAAGATGAGCGTCGTCAAACTCCGTCAGCACATTTTCCTCGGAAACGCAGGAGCTCAGATAGTGGACGTTCGTCACCTTCCCCATACAGGTATTTTAGTTATCGTTGGCTGAGTCCTTTCAAGTTAAATTATCAGTTTTTTAGTCTGTTTTGTATATATAAAGGCTGGCTTGACGGTTGGCATGATGTGTTGAGTGTTAGGCACATGCTTGCCATTGTATCATTGATACCTTTGCAAGTTTGCGAAGTCAAATTCTGTGAAAGATAATAATGTGCCAGGAAATTGCTGGACACCTCCCAATTGTAGGTTCACATAGCTAGGTACTCCATGCATCTGAAACAAATAATTGGTCAACTATCCCCATATCCAAATGGAGCAGTAACCAGATAAAAAGTGCAGTAGTTCAGCATATGAATGAGCCATTTCATCAGTTTTCATCTTTTCAAGATTAAATACAAAAAACTGTTATCTCTTATCCTGTTTCTGATTTTTTTTAACTCTTGAAAACTCTTTTTTGAAATACATTAAATTTAGATCTCATATTGAACCAAATTATGTAAAAAAAAAACTTTTGTAACTATTGTTATTCTCAACCTGTGTATTATTAATTTGATCAGATATTCTGCTTCTCCAAAACACGCACGAAGAGAAGTTTGGCAGCCTCACGAACCACCCCGTCGATCTCCGATGGTTTCACCACCTGCTCGTCCACCGTCTTATACTCATAAATCAACGATGCGTGAAGAGACGTCGAGACCAGGAAGTGCAAAATATCGAGATCGTTCTAACACAGCAGGATCAGACAATATTTTATTAATGCGGAGACAAAATCGAAACGAAAATTTTCCACCTTCCATGAAATGTTCCAACCAAGCAGATACGCCACATCCAACAGTTACACAAGTTCTGGATTTAACTGCTTCCTCACCTGAAACTGTTCCATCGGAATCGCAGCCTCAAACAAAAACTGAAAAACCGGATTATATTAGAGAACCATCAGGCCCTATATTTCATGTTCCACATCCTGTTTCTGAAGATGACCAAAAAGCCATTCCTAGTGTTATTAAAATGAAAAGTCCACCGAACCCAGATTCATCGCACCAAACTGCCATTGACACCCATACTGTAAAATTTAACAACAAAGTGCCAATTCATATACAAACCACAACACAATCAACAATTGTGGACAATAATAAAGAAATTGTCAATCTCCATAAACTGCATGATAGCAGAGGAGTCGAATTACTCACGAGAGCAGTAGATATCCATCTCAAACATATGAGTAACAAAACGACGAATTTTCATGTAACGAAAAAACAAAGACTACTGGACAGACCACCTTCACAGCAATCAACTTTGTTTGATAACAAAACAGTTCCTTTTAAAAAAAATGTTTCTTTGAATGTCAAGAATAATGATTGTGTAAATACCAAAGATTCCCTCGACCAAAATACAAATGCAAATATTGATATCACGTCTATTGATCCCGAGATATTGGAAGCCGTACGTGGAATAACACTTCTCAGTCAAGTGAGTGATATGTTATAATAAAGTTGAGTGAATAATCTTTATTTATCCCACTCAAAAGTAAGTCATTCATCTTGAAGCAACCTCTCATCTTTAAATATTTGACGATGAGTCTTCCAAAATGAATTTTTGCTTGTCTATCTCTATTTTATCGGGTAAAATTAAGTCTGATATCAACGCAAAACTTCCCAATTGAAATTTCTCAAAAGATAGTTTTAATTTGTGTCATTTCCTCTTAGAATCACAATTTTTTAACATATGATCTCTGCTATTAAATAGGAATTCAATGGCATCAGTAGTATCAGTATATTTTGTATTGACATTTTCTGTAAAGCCTGTTATTCTGAATAAATAGAATAAGAAATGAAGCATTCTTAAATATGCCAAGCTGCCAACTCTTGCAATTTTATTTTTAGTTCTTGAAAACACATACCTGACAGAAACATGGAAAACCAGTAACAATGCCCGCAATAAAATTTTATGAAACACTCATTAATTAATTACTAATTTGCCAATTATTGGCAGTGCATTTCACTTTCATTTTTATTTTTTTCAGTCATATAATCAGAAACGAGACACAACTCCTACCGCCACTGATGTTCCTGATGGTAGTCCATTTGAACCAGAGCATTTATCAGAACGACAACGACATTCCCAACCTTCTACAAGTGACTGTAATGATGACGTTCAATCCACTGTTTCATTTAGTTCAATGGCAGATTCAGTCATTTTTTCTGGAGGTATGAAAAGATGGTGTCTTTCTATTTGAACAGTTTTGCTAGATTTTGATTGTGCCTGAACTAATGGTAGAGTTCCAAAACTAAGATTCTGCCTACAGTTTTAAACATAAGTAATTTGAATTGTTATTTCATATTAAACATCATAATGTGTTGCTGTAATACGCATTGGGAAGATAATTTCACTTTATCAAGGTTTAACTACGACAGGGGCCAAAATTTTGCCCACCTAGACTGGCGGACTATGTTAGTGCATTGTTACAAGTTACATTCGACCGCACACAACAAGCGCATAAGGCTAAAAAAAAGGTGTGAAAAGCACGCTAAGGGTTCGCTTGAGCGTTAAAACGTAAACTTTTGATAACGGCCCATACCATGAAAATCTGTGACAACCTAAAATACAACTTACACAGACTATGATCCTAATCTAACAAGCCCATTGCAGGGCCAGATTGAATAACCCAATGGGCCATATTTGATCCGCGTGCCGTAGTTTACTCATGTGAGATCGAAATGATCATGGTGCATTACCAGTTGTAGTTTTGCCTCTTCATTTTAATCACAAAGTAACTTTTTACAAAATGACAGGAAATTTGAAACGTTTCCGCACGTATCCTGTGATGCACATAAGCTCTTGGAATAATGCATGAGAACTTTTCCTTTGACCAGTTTTTAGGGCATTTATTTTTGCTCTACTCAAATTTATTGGATATATCTGTCAATTTTTCGAATTGATTTTATTTTTTATTTAGATTGCATGTCAAGCAGTGAAATGAAAGAGAATGAATCTGGTGAAAAGATTAGACTCAGAAGAAGATTGAAGAAACCGATTTCTTCCAAATTAAAATTTACAAAGGAAGATGAAGTGACAGCAGGTAGGATTAAATTGACAGAATAATTAATTGCCAATACTTTCTACAACAATTACTAATATGTTTTAGAATAGGATTTTAATATTTATCCCGGGAAAGGAAAGTCGATATTTAGTCCTGTTAAAAGTTCGGGCGGGGACTGTCTGTGTTAGCCATAGGTTTCAGTCCTTTTACACAACTTGATTTGAAGTAGGCGAACAAAATTAGTTATCGGTACATCCATATTGAAACACACACTTCTGGAGCACCGTTTGTTATATGGACTTATTAACATCTAGCTTTTATTTCTCATTGTTGGAATGTCAACAATATTTATGTGTTAAAAAACTTGTTATCTGTAACTATATGAATGTTGCATGCGTTGGTTTAATCAGAAATAAATTTTTTTTTGTAGTAACTGGAATAAAATTGGACAGTATGGATGGAGGTGCATTGGAGATTGATATGAAAATGAGGATGGCTGATCTACAGAGAAGATATAAGGAAAAACAAAAAGAACTCGCTAAAATACAGAGAAGAAATAAAAAAGAAAAACACGATCCTATTCATACAATGACAAGGTACATTGTCATCATTGCAAAGCAATGATTGGGCTTACTTAATATAAGATCTAATTCAAAATACAGATACAAATAACTGAGTGAAACCGGGGGCCGCATCTTTATTTAACATAGGCTTTCCAGTAGTTGCAAGGCACAAAAATTCCGGTATAGGCTTTGCAACGAAAAAGGGATTGGAAGTACTCGCACGTACCAGATTAAACTAAATCGAAAACTCTTTTCGTGGGGCGCACACCATTCAAAATTGGCACTTCTCTGCAGGCCGCAAAATTTTTACCTGTAGGTCGTGTTTGGCCAGCGGGCCGAAGGTTGCACACCCCTGTATTATGGGATGCGCCATGACGCCATATGTTCCACATCTCTTGTATTGCCGCATCCATATGTGACCTGTGACACAGATTAATGAAATGTGATCACTAATTCTGACAAAGCTGGACAAAACCATAGTAATTGCTTGGATAAGATTTGTGTATTGACTCGACTTTTGTTACCTTATTTGTTATTTTCTCATTTAGTTCCACCATCACCAGCTTGGCCACTGCTAGCACCAACATGAACACTGTTTTATCGACTCATCCTCCATATCCAGCACCTCTTAAATTTCGATTTGCTGAACTTCCATCGTCAACACCAATTCAATTTACTCCGAAAAAACCTGCTGCTCCTAAATTACCAAAACCCACTGTGAATATTACTGGGTTGTTTTCATCCAACAAGAGAGAGAAATCTTCAGATAGTGACAAAGTTTGTAAATTATTGGCTTTATAATTTCTTACTATTTAGCAGTTTTCCTGATTCATTTATTGGACTGTCTCAAAGCATCTGTCCACCTATCGTGCTACACTGAAATGACCACAACAGGATAGCTTACTACTTTGAATATAGGATAGGATTTACATATTTATATCGGGGAGAGGAAAGCCGCTAAGACGGTTTAATCATATGGCGAATTACAGCCTCTCGTCCGATTACCGGTCCATGTCAAGTATCGGAACAGTTAGCCAGTTGTTTGTTTCAGATGCATAGACATGATGGTGGAGGAAGCCGTAACTGACCAGCGGTTATGTGAACCACCCTACGGCGGCGATGAGTTCAGCAATCCTCTCGCATATAAATATCCTCCATGGGATTTGAATCTGCAAACCCACATAATTGGAGGTGTAGTGGTGAGCGTATTTCTAACGCTTAGCACGATCCGCCACACTGTCGAGCTGAATACATTTTTAATTAAATAATATTTTTAAAAATGGAATATTGAATTAAAAAATTGTTCTATGGGATGTTTGGAAGGGCTCTTTGTTTTCTATGGCCCCCAGAGTTTAGGCTATTTTGGTCATACTGTGAGTTGCTGCTGCTGTGAGACCTCAATTGCTCAAAATGTTACTTTTTAAAAGTATTTCTAAAATTAAGAATATGGAATGTAATTAATACAGATTCTATTCCGACTTTACTGATTGAAGAAGAATTTTTTTGTATATTGACATATTTCAGTTGGAAAATCATAATTATTGAAATTTTCACATTTTTGATGTAAAAATTTTTTTTTAGGATCATTCAAAACCAAAATCGAAAGTTATCATCAAGCAATCAAATAATAAACAAGATACGACAAGATCGATATTTGAAAAATTTGCTTCAGATGTTTTAGCAGCAGAAAAAATAACTGAAGAAACAACAAGCAGAAAAGGTAAAAACATAAAAATATTAATAAACTTCAAATACAGGCGTTTTGATTTTTGCTATAGTATCCTGGCAGTCGGTGCATATTGATCCACTAACATAACAGCAGAAAAAAGAAGAAATGGTTAAATACTTCAATGCTATCATTTTGTCTGTATTGCTTTATTCATGTACTTCTTTTTAATTTTTCACATTGTAGAATACATCAGCTTTTATTAATTTATATGTACTTTATTTTTTTAATACAAAATTGATAACATAAATTGTTAAATTTAGACTGAAGTTTAGACTGAAACTGCTTTTCTAGAGCCATTTGGGTTTTCATTTTATTCCCGTTTTTTAATTCTTAATTTCATCAATTTGGTATCAGTTTAACGCTACAATTGTATTTTCGTCACTTATCATTATCCTATTCTTTTGTGCCATTGTATGTTCAATAATATCTGTGAAAGTTCTTAAAACTCTTTTTCTTCAAATGCAGTTTCATCAGAAGATCATGAAATAGAATTAGTATTGTCAGCAGATCAACATCAGATACCATCGGGAAGTAGAAAACGTAAACCTGATAAACCAAAAAGGATTTGTTTACCACCCGGGGAAACTTCAACTGTACCTCTTGTGGATCCAGCTCAGAAAACGGTAAGAAGATATTTTTAATGATATTTTGGTATTGTTTAGAAGGCTAAGCGGTAAATGATAGGTTTGTCCCGACTTAATAAATCTTTATAAGGGTTATTTCTCTATAGCCTGATATCTAAAACTTATAGAAATAAATTATTTCTGTATTCTACTATAATTTGGTATTAAATATTTCAAAATGCTTTTTGGTACTTGTAAGTTTATGTGAAAATAATGAATGTTCTATCTATAGAAAATGTCACATGTTACTACAAATGGTGGTTGAATTCATTTGAATGGATTTTTTTCACAGGTTTGACTGTAAATATTGGTATATTTTTTCCTGTCTTCGATAAAAAAAATCATATTTAGAAGCAATCCATTTCCATTTAAACATTTCAAGTATTTACCATTTGAGCAACTTTCCGAGGCGGAAAGTAAAACAGTTTATAAATTTTTAAAATAGTAATTTCTTACTCTGTTGTTTCATTGTTGTCACAGCATACGTCATTCTCCAATATTCACGATGATCGAAAATCATCCAGCTTTGAGACAACAACTAACACTGAAAAAAAGACAAAGAGAAAAATGAAACAAGCAACAAAGAAAATGAAACGAGATACGGAAGGAGGGGATTCAAACATGAGTTCTTGGGTAAGTAAAACAATAGTTTAAAAAAACTGGATCAAGTTTTCTCTATAGGTGGTATTTATCATTAAAATTTGAATCTCATTTTCTGTAAATGTGTGTAAATCAAGTAGTTTTACTGTAAATTTATTTGACCATTTGTCAATACAAATTATTATGTCTGAATTTTTTCAATTTTTTGTTTTTTGGCAAATAGATTGATAATATTTTAAATTTATACAAATGAAAATGCACAATTACAAATTAGGTATGTAAATACATGGATACTCCAATCTCTTATAATTTCAAGATTACTCTGTTTTGAATTGCTTTATGTTGTTCGAAGTGTTTATACCATTTTCACAAACATGTAGCATTGATTCTTGATTTTAAATTATTCAAAATACTTTGCAAAGTATAAGTTAAATATATGCTGTGTGCAACTGTTGAATTTTTTGTCATATATATAATTTTTTATTCCATTTCAGGTCTTCAAATCTGCCAGCAAAACTGAAAAGCATGAAAAGAAACAAAAACATAATCACAAATTGCATGACGTCGATAAAGTTAAACAAAGCAAATCTCAAGTAAGGACTTTTTTCATATTCTAACATTCGCGGGTATCAGTATTGGTATTGTGAGGCCAATATTACTATTTCTATTTCAGAGTGCTTGAATCTGAAAATATTAAAATCTCATATCGTCTCAAGATATCTTGAATTGTGTTTTTAATTTTAATATTAGAGTGCTATTACCAATAGACAAAATGATGAGATTGACATACTTGGAAGTCTCAATTGTCTGTGATCATTTAGCCTTGTCATATTGTAATTAGCAATAATTTGAGAATGGTACAACTATTATAGAAAAGAATTAAGGTCATGTATAATTTATAATTGGTCTACTATGTAACATACGGCCCACCAAAATAATTTTTTCAGCGTTTTTGATGTCTTCAACTCTAAATAAGGCTTCGATCAAGCAGCTACTGTTATGAGAGGACCAGAATCTTCACTGTTTAAGTGGTGTTGTGTGCATAACGTTCGAGCCCAGGACCATTAAGTTCTTCAATTAGTTGAAGAAAAAGATCTTGGGAAATCTGCGAAAGGGGACATTTTTAAATGTTTACCTCTTATTTTCAGAAATCTCAAAATCCTAACTTGAGTAACAATAACAACAAAAGAAAAAAATCGAGGAGTGTTTCGAAAGAACAAGTTGAAATTAAACAGGAGGAAAAACCTCTCATTGAACTACCAAGACCCTCAACTCCTCGTCTCGAGTGAGTACATTATTGTAATAGTAGAATGATTACATTCAAAATTTGAGAATGTTGTTCAACTATCTTAGAACATTGTTGACTTTAAATTATTTCAAAAGAATTCATAAGTTATGTTTCTAATATTTTTTTATGAGGAAAATTTTTATTGTCTTGCAAATTCACACATTTTCCATTAAAGTTACTTGTGTTTTTTTGACTTTTTCATACAGACTAAAAGAAGAAGATTTAGTGAAAGGTCTTCAGGTTCTTGTTCCTCTGGAGGATAAGTTATTATACCTTTGTCAAGTAAATCCAATTCAGCCACCTGACATGTAAGTGTTATTACTTATCGATTTTAATCGGTATTTGTTTGTCTGTCTGTCTGTTAGATGCACGCGATATCTCACGAAAGCAAGATTGAATCTGCTCCAGATTTTACATGTGCATTCATCATATGTCGTACCAGAAGCCGATTTTGGATGAATTATATAGTATAATTAGCGAGTTATTGATTAATTAGTGATGGGACACAAGGTGTCACTATGGAGTAAGAGCGCTGTTTTGGGGGGTCCCCTAACTTTCGATCGATAAGTCTTTGGTCTCCTACCGATATTCTCGTTTAATCAATTATCTACAATAATTTTGCTGCAATCTCAATTTAGTTTTTTCAAAATATCAGCCCAAAAGTCTTTATGGGTATTTCCTCCTTAAGAATAAGCTCTTGTCTTTTTTAGTTATGAGGTCACAGTTGAAGGAGAGAGACATCGTCATCGTCCCATTGTGATGTGTCTTGAACAAATCCTAAAAGAAGCTGTTCCCGATGTGAAACCAAAATCAAGAATGGAAATATGTGAAGGATCAAGAGTTGCTGCCTATTGGAGTCATAAGATGCATTGCTTATATACTGGAACCATTGCTTTTGGTGAGAGTTTTTGCAGTTTTTTTGTGGTTGGGTACAGGCATAGACTCTCACTATATAGAACCTCATGATTCCGAAAAATGTAACCCCAGTCGAGTCGATGACTCTAGCCTCCTCAACATTGTCATTTGTATTGTAAAGACTTTTAATTTATTATTCCAGATGATTCTGATGATGAAGAGGACGAGACAGGAGAAGAAAATGTGCAAGTTGAATTTGATGATGGAGATTCAAGTATGATTCCATTAGAAGATATCAGATTGTTACCAAGGAATTATCCGGTCATGCAACCTGACGCTCCTTTCATGATGCATTATACTCACAGAAGAAGAACTACTTCAGGTGAGAGATTATCTTATTATGTTGTATTATTACACCAATTGTGTTGGTTAGTAATGCAGTATGAGATTTAGTTTAAGATGTTTACATGCCTTTATAAATACAGCCTTAATATTGCCGGCATCAGAACTTTTTTCGGTACTCCAGAAGTATGTGCACCAAGATGGCGGACACCGAAACGTCGTATGTGTTAGGGTTGGGCCATAATTTTAGGTACATATACTACGGGAGTCACTTTGCTAGTCACTGATCTCGTAATAGGACTGAAATAAGGAAAATTGGAATAAATTTGTGGCCTAACCCTAACCTGGTACACATACGACGTTCCAGTGTCCGCCATCTTGGTGAACATACTTCTGGAGTGTCCTTTTTTCTAAAGTGCTATAACCAGTAGTTTGGTGTTCTTACACAAGAAAACTTTTGAAAATTATTTTATTTGCCTTGAACCCTCACTTATTCTGACAATTACTATTTGGGTACAGTTGTATATGTGTGCTCCAAAGTCTAAGTAGAATTTTGGAATTATTTACCGGTAAGTCTGTAGTGTCAGTCAGTATTTTAGACTTCCAATGGGGGTACGTGAAGGCAAAATTCTGTTGGAAACTGGAAACCGTTAAATTGACTGATTGAAATTTTGTACAATACAAGTCACAATTTTTATTGATCAAGATTTATCGCATGCCTCGGAGTTTGAATGAAGTTTTCCTCGGTTCCTCATCTCTGGTAAATTCCTATTTACCAAGGGGCACATGCTTTTGATTGGTAGATAAATTGGTGTTGGTCTTTTTTATTTTTATCCGCAAATCAAGAAACATTGGGAATTACTGCAATAACCCATGCCTAATATACACTTTATTTTACCTCAATTTTAGTCCATATTACACCAATCTTTTCTCACAGATTTGTCAGGCAAAGAAAACAAAACAACCCAAGCAAGCAAGGTTAAGAAAACTGTTCAATCATCTGAAAAGAAAGTAAAGGTTGAAGAGAAATCACGACGCAAATCTGAGAAATTACCAAAGCATAAAAGTTCTCTAGATCTTAGTGCTTATGACTACCCATCTAATGACGACGTCGACCAAGCGTTACAAATGCCAAGAAAACGAGCGGCATCGTTAAAAGTCAAACTCAAATCTACCGATTCATCGAAGAAAACAAGTAACAGGGATAACAATGCAGATACTTCGTCATCTTCTGTGTCATCTGCTGAAGATGATGATAGTGACACTGTGTTGTCAGATAGGTAAGTTTTTATGCTGCAGTTTGATTTACATTTGATGTTTTGATATATTTTAGAACAGTAGTAACAAAACTACAGAATTTTGGGTTTGAACCACATCCTACGAATATTTACAAATATAAAATGTTTCATAATCAAAAATGGGACTAAATGGCAGCCCAATGGACCTTTCCGCGACCTTTGACCCCCGAAAAATTTTTCCTATACTTTACCATTGCAAAATTTTCGGGCCTTATTTTAAGAGTGGTTTTGCGAGTTGGCGCCTGTAAAATGAGGAATGTGTTTCAAACCATCATTATGATTCATCGAATACAACAATCTGTTTTTTAAAGTACCGGTAAAGAATTTTAGCCTAGTTTATCACAGCTATTTCTACACTAATTTTTTAATACTGCAATTAAATTAAAACTCCCAGGAAGACAGAGTGATCATTGAATTATCTGATTTATATTTAAATTTCCGAAACAAAACTGAAAACTAACGAATAGAGTTCAAAAACGCAAAAACGAGATAATGTTTACGACCACGCCTGAAAATCTGTCTGAGTGAGAAAAGTGTCTGAGCGGATGCGAAAAGGGTGCATTGTTACGTCACTTTTTGCCTCTTGCTGATTGGCCAATGTCACGATGTAAACGGGAAAGTCGATGCTCGGGGAATGGTCCATAGCCCTCAATGGATGTAGCCATTGAAATGACAATTAAAACCTGATATAGTACATCCCAACTCCTAGCTGGCGTTTTTAAATGTAATTCTCTATTCTAACTGTTAAACTTCTTTTATATGATTCAGGCCTAATGGTGGCTTTTATTAAAGTACTATTCACTGCTAAATATACTTAAAAAATTGATGTTTTATTCTAAACTTTCAAACTTGCAGTAGTGATGACACATATGATGGAGATGATGGACCTGTGTCTCGTATTGAAGATAAACGACTTCCTCCTAAGTATCATAGAAGTCGGCCAAGCATGGGAAATCAATGTAAGTTTATTCTAATTCGTAGTGGAACTAATTTTTAGTAATCTATAGATGTATTTATATTACTTGTGAATATCTTGATACCGAAAGTTACAAGATCTTAAATTTTGAGACCTGGTTGTTCATTGATCACATTAGTCCATCGTCACTTTACATGCATATTTAACTATTCTGATAGTGTATGCCTAATAGAAAAGATTCTGTCAATTCAAAATCTAAGTAGCTCTGTACTTATAAATGGCTGTTGGTTTGGGCTTGACAATAGGATAGTCCTTATATTTTTACATACTCATTTTTCTGCATTCTAGCCAATGAACCTTGGGTGTGGTATGACAAAGATGTGCAAAAGAAGACAGTGAAAGGAAAGGCAAGAAAAATTTATCATAAATCTATAAGCAGAGGAGAAGAAGTTATATCTGTGAGTTGTTCATTGTTCACTCTCTTTAACTTAACAATTACTAATTCTTATTGAACATGCTTTCCTGAGAGAAATTCTTACTGAATGGATATTTTTCTGAAAAAAAAAAAAAAAAGTTGTTCATTGGTTCAATCAATGGTACACGATCTTATGAAACTTATGTGCGAGAATATGGAATATGTATATTAATTAGCATTTTCTTTTTCCATAGGACTTCCTATTTCACAAAGAAGATTCAGAAACAATGATTGTGTTTTAATTAGAAAATTAAATAAAATTCTGATTAATGGGTTAGTTTACTAGCACTGGATAATAGACCTTATGAATGATAAATTTTTTATTAGGGTGAGCGAACAGCTAATCATATATTATAATCCTGTATATGATTGTCATGCTTTCTTGTATTTATACAGTTCAAATATTTTATTTTTACAAGAACATACCTAAAAAATTGTGTTTCAATATTCTCAGTGTGGTGACTCTGCTGTATTTCTCTCTGCTGGACGACCATATCTTCCATACATTGGTCGCATAGAATCTATGTGGGAGTCATGGGGAAATAATATGGTCGTCAAGGTAAGGTGGTTCTATCATCCAGAGGAAACTAAAAGAGGAAGACTGAAATCACATGGAAAAGTAAGTTGAATTTACCAATTTGTTCCAAAAACTGCAGTTACTTTGTAAATTGGTTATCAACCTCTGTTCCGTGGCACCCTAGGGCTAAGATATATGAAACCCCGTTCCGAGGCACCCTAGGGTTAGAATAAAAGAAACCTCTGTTCTGTGTCACCCTAGGGTTAAGATAATAGAAACCCCTGTTCCGAGGCACCCTAGGCTTAGAATAAAAGAAAGCTCTGTTCTGTGTCACCCTAGGGTTAAGATAATAGAAACCCCTGTTCCGAGGCACCCTAGGGTTAGAATGAAAGAAACCTCTGTTCTGTGTCACCCTAGGGTTAAGATAATAGAAACCCCTGTTCCGAGGCACCCTAGGGTTAGAATAAAAGAAACCTCTGTTCTGTGTCACCCTAGGGTTAAGATAATAGAAACCTCTGTTCTGTGTCACCCTAGGGTTAAGATAATAGAAACCCCTGTTCCGAGGCACCCTAGGGTTAGGATAAAAGAAAGCTCTGTTCTGTGTCACCCTAGGGTTAAGATAATAGAAACCCCTGTTCCGAGGCACCCTAGGGTTAGAATGAAAGAAACCTCTGTTCTGTGTCACCCTAGGGTTAAGATAATAGAAACCCCTGTTCCGAGGCACCCTAGGGTTAGAATAAAAGAAACCTCTGTTCTGTGTCACCCTAGGGTTAAGATAATAGAAACCCCTGTTCCGAGGCACCCTAGGGTTAGAATAAAAGAAATTCCTGTTCTGTGTCACCCTAGGGTTAAGATAATAGATACCCCTGTTCCGAGACATCCTAGGGTTAAGATAAAGAAAAAGTATGGCCAAATGAACAAGTTTTCTTTTTACAGCATCCTTTGTATAAATCTTCTCATATTGATGAAAACGATGTTCAAACGATTTCACACAAATGCGAGGTTGTGTCGTTTAAAGAATACAACAGAAGAATAAGAAATGATGAACAAAATGTTTTTTACTGTACTGGCATTTACGATCCTGCGACAGGTCAAGTCCTCCAAGAACATTCTGATAAGCGCAAACACCAAAAATCATAGAACAATTTTGTAGCTTTCATGATTATGACTTTATTCTGTACAGTTCATGTGCTTGAACCGTGCTAATTTTTGTTCTGTTTAGCCTTATCTGGGATGGATACAACGGGTTTTCGAGTTTTGGAATATCAAATTTGTACTGTTGATTTTATTGCTATGAAATTTTTTTGCATATCTCTTTCGAGAAGAATGGTTATCACTTGTCACCCACAAATTTGTGATCAATAATAGGGTATTGTTTTTTTGTAGTTCGATCTCACTTTCATAAGGCGTTGTTGTTGCTATTCGTTTTTGTGTTTGAACTCCCTTTTAGTTGCACTACTCACATATACCGCACATTTTGTAAATAGTTTTATCATGTACTGTCGTACTAAAGTATAAATATTTGCTTTTACTGTATATTACTTACTGACAGTTTTATCTATGCTTCTTTATTGATTACTTAATCTAGTACTAACACGCATTCATTGTATTTTTGTCACTTTGCTTATTTGTATATTCACCAGCACTCACCCATTTTTCATGTATCGTATATTTTCGAAGCTTTTATTGAATTTTTATTATCATGAAAAGTTCCACATTAATGAAATTTTGAATTTTTCTTATGCTGTTGCAATTCTTTTATGCCATTCAATTGTATAAAATGCTATTACATAACTTGCTGTTTATTGTTTTAATGGCAAGGATCAATGAGGGTAGTTGAATGCTTATTGAAATTGTGATGTGTGTGGATGGAAGAGAAGGCTGGGACATTACTGTGGTTCGCTGTTGCAAGGTGGTTCACACAAGTCTTTCATGTATTTCACAATCCTGGTCTTATTCGCCGAATGAAGGGCGTTTACCATATGTTTAAGCTGCTTTGGTGGGAAAAATAACAGTCCATGATGACATGCGGTTAGACTGCAGAAAAATATCAAAATTTCATTTCACCTTTGGGAAGTTCAAGTATACCATTGATATGAACAGGTGGTTAGGAGTAAGTTTATTGAAAACATGCTAAACATCACGAACAATCTCTTTCCTATCTGCGTGGATTCATCTGTTCGAAATAGCCGAGGAATAATTATGAGCTAGAAGTTTGCGGGACCTTTTTCACGGGTGGTTCGCATAATTGGTTACCACTTCCTCCGCCCTCAAGTGTCTATGAATAAAGTGGTTGTGGTGCTCAGTATTTCCATCAGATTCGCTCCTCCATAATAATTTCTAAAATCACATACCGGTACCTAGTCACTGAAATTTTGTTCATTGATGATTGAAACCTTATTTTATGTAATCTTGAATCGCGGATAATTTCATAGCTGATAGGAATATTCCTTAGCGAATCTTTGTATAATTGTTAGATGAAAGAATCCATGTATATCTTCGCCACCATACATCGGGATAAGGCCAGGTATCACTAAAATAGATACAACTTGGTACAAGGATTGTACCTGGGCACTGGGCAGTCGATCGACTGACGGTAGATCCGTGTCGTTCATACATGCAGCGCCATCCTGCGAAAATTCTCGTTTTGTCTAGCAACCCACCCTAACGAGAGCCGGGTGGTCGAATGGTCTTTGTGCGATTTATTCGCAATGCTAAAGCTTCCTACAGTCTGGTAGTGCTGTCTGTACTCTGTAGTGTCTTTAAAATGGTTCAATCGTTTATTGCAGGCTTTGCTACGGTAGTCTAAATTATAACATTATAAGTTACGATACTATTAGATGTGCTTAGCGTAACGAGAAATATGGTGACGGTACAGGTACTTATAATGTCTGTATGTCAGTGGAGACGAACAGCTGGTTTTCAATTTTCCGATCTTTGTAAATGAGTTTTACGGTTTCTGAGTTTTAATTACCGTTTTACAGATATACCGGTGCCTGCATATAGCAATAGGCCTAAACGAAAAGGTCCCGAAATCTCAAATAGAAATTTAATTTTTTGATCTATCATTACAGCATTACATGCATTACAGCATTATTACAGTATTAATTGAAAGGTTTGGGTATTGCCGTACTGTATCAAGGTATCAGTGTATTGAATACCGGTACCGTATCTGCATATTCTCCTTGTCCTATTTTCCTAGCCAAATCATTTTTTGCATAGTACGGTAATGTCTGGATCTTATGTCTCTTGGATCTTTATTTTCATTCATTAAAACTCATACCTGTATGTTAAAACTTGATTCAATGTAATTTTCTTGATGTCATTGATGAAGTGTCAATCCATTATGCCTTTGGTTTAATTGCTTTCTATATCTGTATATAGGGATCAGAACTAGTAAACTTCAACAAGTTCATATCAAGTCAAAATCATAAAAGCTCAGAAATTATTCCTTGTAGTGGTGTTGTTGTATTACTTCATTAGAGAAAGAATAATAATTTGTATATGTAAATTATGACAGATGGATGGTGATTATTAATTTAATTGATTTATATAATAAGAAAAGATGGCATAGCCTAAATAGCGCCCTTTCGTTAGATATTACTTTTTTAGCAGCTCCATGATGATGATATAATTTAATTAATCATGCCTGTGATGGATTATCTCAATAAAAAGTCATTTTGATATCTTAATTTACGTTTCTATAGCTTGGGTTGAAATAAGGATGTTGATTCAAAATTTACAATCATAATTTTTTTCGATATAGAACAGGACTATGGAGTCTGAGTTTGGCGTGTTTTCATTGTCCGTGTTGAGTCGGAGCTACATTTTGAAACACTCTGTGGGAGTTGGGTGTCCGAGTCAAAATTTTGAATTCTTTTGAGTCAGAATTTCAGACTTTAAGGGTGACAGCCGAAGCCAATTTTTTCTACAAAAACTAAAAAAAGGCGTTTCTAACAGTTTATGAATATGCCACAAAGTTTTATTGATGAAATTTGATTTCCTCGGAAATTTGGAGCTGGAGTTGGAATCAAAATTTCCATCAAGCATAAGTCAAAATATTTTTCAATATAGAGTCTATTTTAAATTTCACAGCCCTGCTATTTTGTTATTCCTTATTAAAATCATATTAAACACAGAAATATACTCTATGGAATTCGATAGAAATAATAACTTCAGTTAAGTTTTACTGATTACATGATAAAAAAAATATTGTGCCTATTTAAATTCACGATGAAAGGCTTGAAAGACATACCGTAACTTACATACTTTGGCACACTGTGGTAAGCTAGAGTCCGAGATATGTAATTCCAACATAATTTGGTAGGCTATTCATGCCTATATAGATATATTTAACCCAATTTCTGTTTTCGATTTCAGCTCCTATAATTTCTATATCACTCTAACAATGAAATTTTTCTGATCACTATTCCAGTTTTGTATAATAAAAGTAGAAATTGTTAATACATGGAGTGAAATAAAGTATCACAAGTAATTCAATACTCCCAGAATATAAGATGGAATTAAGAGTGGGAAATAAATACAGACTGGGACGGAAGATTGGGAGTGGATCTTTCGGCGACATCTACCTCGGTATGATACTATTGTTATGATTATGTTGAACCTATTTACTATCAGTATTTTTCAATTTTTTGCATTGAGCGATTTCATAGTCCTTTATCATATTATGGAGATTAATGGGAATGATAGACCTGAGTATTTTCCATAATTTCGCAATCCATTTACATGGAACATTCCTGTTTCGATAAACTTTTTTTGGACAAAATTAAAACACCATTTTTTTTAATGTTGTTTATGCTGCTACCAGATCCTTTCCATCACTGAGACAGATATAGCTAGTTTGGATACTAGATAGATCATCTAAAAGTACAATAGAAAAATGTTGTGAAAGGAAATTTTATTGTTGAAGTTTGGCATAAATAATACAAATTGACTAGACGGGGCAATAAAGTATTGGATACCAATATCTAAAAATGGTTTTGTTTGCCTGCCATGTTATCTTGATTCGATCCCGCCTTATGTTTGAGTTGTACTTGAGGAAAGTTAGAGAGCCAAATATAACTGGAAATATGCAAATTCTATTATAATTTACTAAACCGTGATTAGAAAAATGTCACTATTTGTCTTTCCTTCTCTAGACACTTGTGAGGTGAACTTAAATCTTGCTTGCTTTCTGTGATTGTGTGATTTTATAATATATCCATACTTTATCAGGTACGAATATTTCCACTGGAGAGGAAGTAGCCATCAAATTAGAATGTGTGAAGACCAAACATCCACAACTTCACATAGAAAGCAAGTTTTATAAAATGATGCAAGGAGGAGGTGATATCAAGTTTCTTCAATCTAGTGTTTTTATTGTTTCTTATGTCATCTAATACTCTCATCGCTTATTAAGGATTTTATTAGTTTTATTATTATGGTACCGGTAATTGTTAGAGAGGCACTGTTTATTTCAAAGCCAGAGGCTTTAAATCTCTTTTGAATACTCTCACGGATCCCTCAAAATGTGTTAAAAAAGTTACAAATCTGAGATAAGTTTGGTAGCGTTCGGCAAAGCATGTATGAATTTGATTATGAAATCAAAATTGTTGTATTGTATTTATGTTGGGTTTGCTTGGTTCCGAAATAATATTTTAATAGTTTGTCTAACAGAGGGGTAATAAAAGGGCTTTCTATACCCCCAAAATAACTTCTGACCCAGTCGGATATGAAATTATTTCTACCAAGTAGATGCCATGTATGTTACACACTTAAACAGAAAATTTTATCGGAGACAGACATATGGCTGACTGAACATAAATAGAGTAGATTTTCAGTTGGTTAAAGCAGTCGAGTACTTCCTGTGTCTAATGTGTTTCCTAATAATAAATTGAAACGAGTGATTTCCCTTGAGTAAGTCTTTATCATTGTTTGGGATGACCTTATCTGGTATTGTCAAGTTTGTTTATTGATAATATGAGAAGTGTGCATTGTTCACGTACAATGTTTCAACTTTGATTAATGTTGTCAATTGTCATATACCTGTGAATGATTCAATTGGCTTTGTTATTTGGCAAAATAAATGTTATTCATACTATTCAATATCAAAGTCAAGAATTGCCAAGCGTAAGAATTCCATATTTTTAAATAACATATTTTGAAATTAGCTTTTATGTAGTAGGGGGGAAACTAACACAGATTTGTGACTTTGAGGTAAAAAGTTGCGAAACAATTTCATTCTGATTGGTGGTCTATTTACATCTTCAATAAGGGGATAATTTATGATTTATCATCCTTCTAGTTAGTCATACCTACGGTAGTTTAGTTTTTCAATTTACAATTTATACGGATACTTGTGTGCGGAAATAACCTAATCTTTCAAGTTTCAACCATTCAAAGTTATTTTTAAAGTAGGCTACTCATTTAGATTTTATTATGCTATGTCCTGTCTTTGATGACGTGTTGCAATGAATAGCCATTTGTATTGGACTGTGTAAATTGTAATTTATAATATCCCAAAATGTATCAGTTTTAAACAATGCCTCTATATTTGACTTGAAGTCACCTAGAAAGTAGAAAAGGATTAGGTTGTTAACAATTCATATGACGACGAAAGCAAATGACACAGCACAAACCTGATGACCCCACTAATCCTGCTGTCATATTGTCATACAAGACATTGTGTACAATTTGGGTTCATTGTATTCCCTTGTGGAATTGTTTTGAGGATTTTAAACATAAGCCTTTATGGATTAGAATCAATTTAGGGTTAAAGTAAACAGGAAATTTTTATTCGCAGAATCAAGAATCGCATTGTCCTCGATCGATTCATCTTTACCACAATTTGAACCCACTTTTGTTGGAAGAGAAAAAAAATTACATTTGGGTCAATGGGTCTCAACACTTTTTTCACCCATTGCCCCTCTGAGTTTAACCAGAAAATTTGAATGAACGAATCAAACCATTTGCTAATGCTGCCTATTAATCTGAAATTTTTTATTAAATTTAAATTAATAGTGCTATTCTAACTAAAATGTGGCAATATTTTGTAATTCAAATAAGGAGCAGCATCTAACTCAGAAAAAAAACTGTTGTTTCTTGCAATTATTACTAAAATATTTTATAACAGATTTCCACTCTTAATTGAACATAAAGTCGATAATTTGCTTTTTAAAACTGATTTGTTGATCCATATAAATAAACAATTGACCAAAACAAAGATTTGTTTTGTTCCAATAAATCGCAAGCCATTTGGGCTGTGTGAAAGAATGACAGATGTTAACAACATGCTGTTAATGGTTTTGTTATCACTGTTATCAATTGATTTTTGAGGTCGGGTGATCTTATCTACCCAATTGCAACCTATCTTTTGTAATGTACTACTAGCTTTGAAAACAACAAAATTGCAATACTTTTCAGGATGTATTTTTACTTGACTATAGTGGAAGTCATTCCAATCACATTAGAAAAAATTGAGAAATTTAAATTTTTACCTTCGATTCCAAAGCAGATATGTGATCAAGTGCTTCCATATTGAACTGAAACTTCCCTGTTTAGAGCTCATGACATCGGACCATTATTATCCTCAGGCTTTTTTAATTTTTCCAGCAATTTTGTTTTTATTTAATGGCATCAACTATCCTTCATTTTGATTTTTGTGTTTTATAATGGCAACTGTATGTTTTGAGAACTTTCTGAAATCTGACCATCAATTTCAAGAGTTCAGGCTCAAATAATTTTTTGTTCGAAATTACTTACAACAATAGGCCTAAGCTTTCAATTGGATACTATTGGTCAATAACGGTCAGTAATATTCCTGGATACTATTGGTCAATAACGGTCAGTAATATTTTCAAATTTTACAGTTGGGATACCCACTGTGAAGTGGTGCGGTGCCGAAGGAGATTATAACGTACTGGTGATGGAATTACTGGGACCAAGTCTTGAAGATTTATTCAATTTCTGTTCAAGGAAATTCAGTTTAAAAACAGTTTTACTTCTAGCTGATCAACTGGTTAGTCATGGTTTTATTATGTTTCCTTCATTATTTGGTCATTTAAACGTTTGATTACTAGATGCATACAATTCTATCTGAATTAATTTTGTAATTTCTGGATTAAAAAATATTTTTACGAATATGGTTACTTAAAATTGCATATACAGTAGTTCTGTGTTATTTGCTCTTTTCTTTGTTAAATTTGAAATATCACAATTGCTCTTGTATAACCTTGTTATTTTCTTAGAATTTAAAATTTTTGTTTTAATATAATTCTTCGTATTTATAGATTACAAGGCTTAAATAGTGATATACTGGCACCCACAAGATTGTGGAATATTTTATATCAGATTTGACGTATTTTAATGAACCTTTCTAGCGCATTACAACAACTACTCAAATTTTTGTTTATTTTTTGTGTCATCACCATTTATGACATTATAAAACTGTATTGTTTGCATAAATATTGCTTTCTCATATTTTTATTTGCTGATAAACAGAGGATACCAGAGCATTGTGTATTGAACTGCCAGTCCTTCCTCCTGGTAAAATACACATACAAATACATTTAACGTTTCAAGGGAAAAGATGATATTATTCTTGTTTATATTTCTTTAAGTCACAGAAAAATCAAGAGCTTGTATATTTACCATACAAAGAAAATTTTTAACGCAGCCAATTCATTTTGTTGTATTAAATTAGTCCTGAATTATGTAGACCAGGGATCCTTGAACTGGGCCCCTAACCCCCCCCCAAAGGGAACACACCGCGGATTTCTAAGGGATACGAGCAAATGTCATCACAAAGTACCATTCGTGATAAAAGCGTTAATTTAAACTAGATTAACTGTGGTTTATTCAATTCTTTGACTGTATTTATTCTTTCGCTCTGTTTATTGACTGTTTTATTATTAAAGATGGCACATAAAATAACTGATTGAAACGTTTTAGAAGTAAAACTAGGAAACACGTGTTAATAAGGGTCTTTGAAAGCGGACCAACACATCACGAAAAATCATCTTAAATATCATGGTACAACTTAGTAGGTTTCCTCAGATAATTATAAATTTTTAGTTTGTTCTGGTTTTGAGAAATTGTTAGCCTACTATTTATGATTTACAAATAACTTTTCTTGGTTCTGGATTTATTTTTGGTCGCTTTTGGCACTCTCAAAATATTTTGTACACTAATTAAAATTCATTATACAAAGCTTTCCATAATTTATCTGTAAAAAAATGAAACACTATGGTCATTTAATTTGGGTGGAGTATGTAGGTTTACAGGTAAAACTTTTCACTGTCATAATTTGTTTTTTTATTTACTCCAACATCTCATTATTGTAGTTTGGTAAACAATTTATGGTTTATTGATATCCTCTCCATAACAGTTATTAAAGTAAACGTGCCATTTTGATTTGTGCCCAGAGCAATTATAACATCTAAAGGAATGGATGTCTTTACTTCAAGATAGCCAGTCTAAGACATCTATCAATAGAAAAAATGTTGCGCCTATATTCAGTTTTTGATGGCCTATGCCTATCCATTAGGATATAATAGTAACGTATATTACGATAATTTGAAAATTTTTACAATATAATTCATTTTTGTATTATTGAAATGTGACATGAATTTGCTGGTAACAATATTATTTCGTGAATCATCACAGCCCACTCTAATATTCTTTTGTCCTTTATATCATTGTGGAATTATGTTTTTCCCTCCACACATATAATTATTATTGAAAATATGATTCATAGCACATCTCTCTTGAGACTACTTATTCAATATAGGGATGTGTGCTGTGCATTATGTGTGCAATAAGATGAATAACATTTTACATCTGCAATAATTGATTTTGTTACTGGATTTAGATACTCACTTGTGATTGAAAGTATTACTTTGCCCAGAATTGGCCTTATCTAAAGCAGAGTTTCGTTTGTCATTATTTTACATCCAACTATTGTTGGATTAATTTAACGTTATGTGGAATCATATTGCGTTGTGGCATAAATTACTATCTCATGGAATTTCCGAACGAATCATTCATTAGGATGAAAATTTAAAATCAATTCAATATGAGAAAAAAGGTCTATAAAATATTAAAACGAGTGTTAGTTTTTGTTTTATATTTAGTTTTGAAATCTGTCAAATCCCAATTTTTCTAAATTTAATTAAATTAACGAACTATTTGTATTTGGATATCCGGGGCACAGCAGCACAATACAGTAGTTTTTGTGTAATTATGTACCAACACAGGAGAAAACTCTTAATCTTTCCTAATTGCTTATTATAGTCACTTTTATATTTTGAATTTTGAAGTGAATAAGTAATAAGTTAACTTTCGAGAAATACAGATGTGGTATTTATATTCTGTGTTAAAAAAAAATTTTTTCTAATTGTTATTGAAATTCTCTATTTCAGATCAGTCGGATCGAATACATTCACAGCAAGAATTTTATTCATCGAGACGTAAAGCCGGATAATTTTCTAATGGGACTTGGCAAGAAAGGAAATCTCGTTTATATCATTGATTTTGGTCTTGCTAAGAAATACAGAGACGCGAGGACACACCAGCACATTCCTTATAGGGAAAACAAAAACCTCACAGGCACGGCACGATACGCCTCCATCAACACACATCTTGGTATAGGTGGGTAAACTTGAATTTTACTTCATTGTATTTTTGGTGATGAGAGCTGTGAAGTGAAGTAGAAAAATTTTGTTTTTGTAAATTTTTAGAGAACTAAGATTTCTGTATTGATACCTTTACCAATGTACACTGCTTTCAATATAGTGGTTTATGTTTAATTTTGTTCATAGATAATATTATATGCCTCCAAACACTGTGCTAATAGGGCAAATTGGGCACTGTTTTCCAAAGAGTCATGGTTCGTAGAAAAGAATTTGTGACATTAGAATGATATGCCTATTTAATTCTCATATCTAGCATTATGTTTAAATGTGATAATCTGCACACCAGAAGCTATATTCTCACAGACCAAAAAGATAATCCTTTAATTGTTATTATATTATAGGATATTTTTTGAAAGAATGCTCAACTGTGAATTCAATAGATAGCCAAATATTTTCATATTTAATACAATAAGAAAAATTTGAAGAGAAAATACATAATTTACATTTATCACAATTCGCTTTATCCAAAGGTATTATTATCTATTAATGTGTTTGGCAGGACTATTAATTTTATCAAATAATTTCCTATTGACATTTCATGTTTCAATCAATTAAAAATCTTATGACATATCTGTTAATATTTACACTTCTCAAGTGTTTATCTATGACATGATAAAAGGATAGATAATTTATTTCAAACACTTATAATAGAACAAAAGATATCGGCATATTTTTAAAATCAACATGGTGACAAGGAATGTCTATGGTGACATACTAGATGACAATTTTTGAAACAATTCTAGCGTTTTTATTATGGGTACGTTAGCCAGAAACGCTGGTGCTGGTGCTGGTCTATCCGCACTCAGGGGGCAATTATTCATGAATATGAATAAGATTTTAACCGCAATACTCCCAAGATTTAACTAGATGAATAAAATTAGTAAAAAAGAATATATTTTATTAGGCTGTGATAAAAGATGAAATTGTATAATTTGGAATAATATAGAATATTTAAATTTATTTTCATTGAATGTCTTTTTATCAGAAGTGTTCTTGAATTTAATTTATCTTGCATTGCAACCTCAATAGCCTCTGGCTGTAAAATTTTACAACCCTGAATTTCTTTTATTACTCTGCCAAAGAGCTAATTAAAGTGCCATTCCAGTGTAGTCTAGTTTAAAAGCCTGTAATTTATTTCACTTTTCAGTAATTCAATATAAACACATATACAGATGGGCATTATGCTGATATACATAATATATTCGGTGAAAAAAACGGGGTACCACGATTATAAAGACATTGGCAGTCAATGGTTGTGGTTTTATCATTTTCATTCTTCTGTAACGGGAACCTAATAACATGTTGGTAATTTGATTAACTATACCAAGGATTACTTTCAACAGCTTATTTGTATTGCTTCAGGCTGTGATTGACTTTAGGTTCAATGTTTTACATAATTGGATATCATATTTATGAGAATTTCTGTTGCTTGAAACTGCAATTTTTGTAGATGATGTTAAATAGCCAAATGCTATCTGTTTGTCTCCATCGCTGTCCACTATTTAGAATAATACCAAACCCTGGTAGATGTAGTGTTTTCATTTTAACAACTATCACATATTTATTCTAAACTGTTTAGACAAGCCAATCCCAACTAAAAAACATTTTTGTGCAAAGTAAGTTAATTATTTGATGGGCACTTCGATTAGAACGATGTCAATAGATTACTCAGATGTTTTTTTTTATTCATACATAAGGCACACAGGGCTATATGGCGGTACTGGTACTGCTGATTTTGAGTGCAGGCAATAAAGCACAGGGCACTTCATGGTCCATACATTAGCGAACAATTTTTGAGAAAAAGGGTATTTGAAGAGTGTCTTATGGCCTGTAAAATGCGGTATCCTAACTGTGCAATGCAAATCAGAGTAAAAATGGAAAAATCATAAAAGGCATTTAGTTGATAACATCATAGAATTAGCTTTTGAACCACCGGAAATGTTATCAGCGATATCAAATCTAATGAAGCCACCAACAAGTGCTTTCGAAACCACAATCACTTCCATTTAGCATTAGTGGTATTCTGTAATTTCATGAATTTTGTTTTCATTTTGACATTCAAATACTCTAAACATGAAATCTTTACATCAAAGGCCGGGAGGTATAATGTAGAGAATGAATCGAAAATCATGATGTTTTATTCATCCTTATGGAAGATAATCCACATTGTACTGAAGACAATTCTTTATTATTTATTATTAGGCAAGCAAATCATATATGAGACTTTCTGTTTTCTTTACAATGTCTTGGTTAACACCAGTAATTCAAGGACAACCATTATGACAGTATTTTATTATGACTAAATCTAAACAAAACAATGTTGACAATGGTTTCTACAGTGTGTTAGACATAGAATATATGAAAACACTAATTTTTTTGAAGCCTACTGAAACTGTAAAAGTAAGAATAAGTATGCTTTAGTTGTGATAACTACCGTATATGGAATATAATTTCCTTGATTCTTATCAGTGTTTTCTTGAAATAAAATTGATTATCAGGACTATCTTCTTCATAACAATAACTTGGTGATTATAACATTCAAAATAATAATAATATGGTTGTTGTTTGAATTTGCCTGTTTACTGGAGTTTGCTTACTTGGTAGTTATTTTCTCGTTTCCCATTCTCTTTAAAAAATTGACATGCGATTTCATAATGTGGGCAAATACGCCATTTCCTACCTTTCTACATCCGCATGATGACCGAATAAATTATGTTTGGTTTAAATCATTTAGATGTTTTATATTATGGTGCTACTGTATATAAATCATCATTGTATAGCCTGATTTACGTCATGAATTGTGGTGTTCTTGTCAATAAAATCAGTTTGTTTATACTTACAAATGACTAAAGGCTGACCTATGATTGCCGATGACGTCAATCTAACTCTGTTGGGATGTTGTAATAGGTTTAAAACATAAACTGCTAATTCGAATAATTTTGTTGAAAAGCATAAGTATTGAATAATTTTGATTTAGCATAATTTTTGAAATTGTTTTTGTTATGTTTTGTTTTATGTATTTGTTATATAAGAGTAAGTTGAAATCTGTACCTCTGCCTCGACTGTGAATTTGATTTGATTGTTTGAATTTGTTGATTTGAATTAAATTCATTAGATTACCTCATACAACAGAAAACAACCTCATTGGGTATCCTAAGTTACACAATGTGCTTTAATGAGTTTAGTCTTGAAGAAAGTTTATTTACACCATTACTGACTTTTTGTAGACCCAATATAATGTAATATATTCTGTCAAGGTTTGATAAACAAACCTCAAATAATTTGTAATATAATTTCATCATTTTGTTCCTAAAATGATGCCATTGTATATTTTATAATATTTCTCAATTTGACTTGAATAACTCCAAAATTCTAGTGAATCATTCTTTACTAGTGTGTAATGCACTAACACTATATAGTTTCAATTGTTCTTGGCATTTTTGTGGTCTCAACAAATTTACACCGAGATGAGTTTTCTTTATTTTTGAGTGAGTGTGCGGACTTGACCTTGGATAAATCTCTTTAATAAAAGAGATATGTTAAAAACAAAGTTTATAATATTTTCCTGAAGAAAATGAATCTCAATATTCTTGTTGAACAGCAACTTTTTGATTATTTTGAATCGTAATTCCCATTGAGTTTCCATAAACCTATTTATGTGATTGTAGATTTTATTTCTAGCCGGTCAACTAATACAATGGGTATCTCCTTGCCAACTAGGTATCTCCTAATTTCTACTTTTTGTTCGATGAATTGATACAACATTCTTTGTCAAGTAATTGATGTTCTGAAATGACCTGACGAGTACTAGACATTATTGTCTGTCCAGTTTTGTTTGCTTAGTGAAATCCATCGGTCCACTTAGGATGAATAAGAGTAGATAGAAATGTCGATATCAAAATTTTTTATTTTTTCGTTCTTATATTATATTGTGACTTATGTACGGGTCTAACACAAATACCCTCTTTGACAACACAACTAGGGGTGCAAATGCCTAAACAATTTTTATGAATTTGATTCACGATTTTTTTTCACATAATTTCACACTTTTTATAAGAATTTCATTTTTTTATATCCACCAGTTATCAGCTAGCGTTGTATTTGAACCATGGTCATCTTTTCATTACATTATGAGCAAACTACTAAACATCCTACTTAGCTGGGAATTTTAATTTGCTAATTTTATGTATAAATCAATCCAGATGTTGTCAGTCAGTTCTCTTACAAGTTACAATTCACTGATCAATGAACTTTGATTTGATCTGAGTTGTCTTATTAATAATGAAACAGGTAGCAGAAGGGAATACATCAAATTCAATTAGGACATTTGTTACCTCTGTTATAAATTGTAATTTAACAAAGAATGTTTGATTTATAATGTAGAATTTCTAATCCAACATGTTGTGAGAGACATGATAATGCGTATTGAATTAAGTAACGGCTGTCTTAGTAAAGGATGTCTATATGGTTAATAAAGAAACAGTTTTATGGTAATGTCATTCCATAAATTTAATTATATTATGACAACTCCAAATCACAATGAAAGCATGGTATTTCGTATCAATAGGTATATCCTAAAATTATTTTCTAAACAAGATATTTCATATTTATTTATGCTTCACACAAGACCCTAGATAAGAAGAAAAGAAAATATTGAATATTTATACAAAATTACAGCGGTTTCCAAAGAGTGTGCCATGGCGAGTTGCTAAGTGTGCCGCTGAAATTAACTGAATAACTAAAATATGAGTTAATCATGTACATATTGTATTTATTATAAATGTTTATCATATTCTAAATGAATGGATACCAACTACGGAATTGTTGTGATGATTAAAAAACAGCCAAAATGGTTTTCAAGTTAGAAGCCAATTAGACAAAATCAAAATTGTGCATTATTAATCATCCAACTTTTAAATACTTTCAGTACTTTCAATTATACTGGACTTGGAACTACGAACATGCTCTATTGCTCACTCAAGGGCTTAAGTTTTTTATGAGATGTCTCGCAAGGTTATAAGTACCATCAGTTTCATAGGCTATAAATATTTTTACAAAGATATGATTTGACTCTTTGGCACACTTGAGCTTATTACGACAAAGGTGGATATTTCGGACATTTTGTTAAAGTTGGCCACTTGTTGCCCGTAGTTAAATTATTCTCTATTTTAATGTTCCCTATTAAATGAAATTGTTCAATTATGCCTGTAAACATTTTCTGGTATGTAACATTTTCAGAGCATCGCACAATTTGTTCAAATGCTGATACAGTATTAGCAAGGCATCTGTCTATGGTCAACAAAACCGTACACATGCTCAATTTTTCCGATACTTTCATAAGTTCCATTCTTTGAAAATTGTGTGAATTATTTTTTTCCTAAAATGGCATCGTTGTTTTTACTCGTTTTTATAGGTCATAATACTGTAGATTGAGAAGGTGGTTGAAAATTCTTTTTTCATCAAATTTTTACACTCGAATTAATCGTATAAAAGTGTGGATAGAAAGTGGTGGATTGTTGTAGGTTTTCGTAGCACAGAAGAACAATTACAGAATGTAAAAAAATCTGACATTTTTTCGTCATTCTTTTACTTGATTTTCAATTTTTTTCAAAATATCACGAAAGTTTTTTAAAGGCTATAGAATGTTCATTTTTTCGAGACACTCTCAATTAAATTTTCAATAATCATAACACCAATTGTTTTTCTTCCCAGAACAAAGCCGGCGAGATGATCTGGAATCACTCGGTTATGTTCTCATGTATTTCAATCTTGGTAATTTACCGTGGCAAGGATTGAAAGCAGCAACAAAAAGACAGAAATATGAGAGGATCAGCGAAAAGAAAATGTCGACACCCATCGAAATGTTATGCAAGGGATTTCCATGTTAGTATTTTTACTCTATATTAGTATGTTCTGATTTCCTCCCATTCTGGTATTAAAGCTGAACATAGAGCTACCTTTATCTTTATCATACATGTTTTATATCAATTTCATGTGTTCGACAAAGAGTAAGAATTTGTAAATTCTGCTGTTTGGCAATTTTTAAAACAAAAGTCAGTTTTCTTACTACAACATACTCATTTGTTTACATGCACGAGTTCAGGCATTAAATGCCAGTGTTGGTCACTGAAGGTCCCTAAAGTTGCAAGGCAAGTGGAGTCGTGGGTTATCCAAGAGTCGAGTCAATCGCTGAGATTAGTTTGGCAATTGATTGAGTATGAGCCCTACTCATTTCGTTTAGACCAGGGGTGTGCAACATGCGGCCCGTGGGCCACAACGCGGTCCCCCAAGCCATTTAGTGTGGCTCTTGTCAAAAGTTGGTTATTTGGCCCACCGACAAAAAATGTGCCCTGATTTAGATGCTTCGAGTCGCTTGGAGTCTTTGATAAATAGTGACTCGAGTTCTACTCCAGTTGAGTCAATTACTCGAGTCCTACCAACATTGTTCAATGCTCATCTTGAAAAAGAGGGAATATGCGGGAATAACACTTTTTGAATTATCGCAATACTTAGTATATTTTTAATCAATTTAATGTGACATCCACTTATAGGTATTTATACATTTATTGAAACTTCTAACCTTTATATTTATTAATTCACATTTATTTTCTTTTAAAGCGGAATTTGCAACATACTTGAACTACTGTCGATCTCTTCGATTTGATGATAAACCAGATTATTCTTACTTGAGACAATTATTTCGAAATTTATTCCATAGGCAAGGATTTTCATACGATTACGTCTTCGATTGGAATATGTTAAAATTTGTAAGTTATTTGTTTAATTGCTCTATCATTTGACACTTTGTCACATTATGTTCCAGATTTATGTGTCACAATATATATTTAGCATGACTGGGGATGGGGTTGATTATTGTGGGAGTTATAGAAGTGGAAAGGGGGTGCTCCAGAAGTGTGAGTACCAATATGGAGGTAACTAATTTTGTTCGCCTACTTCATATCAAGTTGTGCGGGGGTATATTCACTTGGCTAACACACTCGTAATAGAATCAAAATAGGGAAAATCGGAATAAAATTATGGCCTAACCCTAACCTGGTACACACACTACGGGAGTACGGAATGGACAATAGTTAAAATTACCTTGGTCGTCCTAGTTTCGTACTACTTGGTTGACCTAGTTGGAAAAAAGACCTACCGTAATAGGGCACATTATGGCATAGTTGGTACTTGGTAATACTTCCTTTTGCCATGTCCTTCTGATGCTTTTCACATTTTTTTTTTGCCTACAAACCGACTTTAATGCCATATTTGAATAATTTGAACTTTAAAATTGTTGTCTAAATGAATTTCAACTACAAATTCTAAATCTTATCTGTTTTGCAGTAAAATCAAGATTTGTGATATTTTTATGGTTGATGTAAATGATTTATTGTGAAAATAACAAAATTTACTGAAAAAAATACTGAAATCTCGTTTCTCAAGAAAAAATTGTTCAAAATGGATTTTTTCTCGTTCACTATACATGGGTGGTTCCCTTTAAATTAGTGTATTTAAATAAAATCTTGATCAATAAAAATTGGGACTGTGATTGAACAAAGCTCTTAATATATATCAATATAGCGGTCTAGAATAATAATAATAACAATGAAAGTACAGAATCTTTATAAATATCAATGTTCCGAAGCCAGTTTGGAATCTGTTTGAAAACTTCCTTCAAACTTCAACAAACTTCAAACCAGTATAATGTTATTACTAACTTCAAACAGTCATGACTTGTGAATTAAGTTGATTTAGGGGACTTTCATCAACATGTGTTGAAATGTGTATTCAGTCTGTATTTCTTTGTGTTTTCAAACTGTAATTTTATTTAGTGTTGTCGTCATCGTCATAATATTTTTTCCATGGTTTGTCACTCATTTATGCTTGATCGAAGGGACCTCGGGCCGAATTTTTTAAAATATAATTACTGTCATCATGCAGTAATTACGAAATCAGATAATATTTTAATATCAGTTTTGTTCATTTTAAAAGGTCAGACCCCTCTTTGTCATTCATTTAAATTGTTGGTTTTACAATAAACTTTGCAACGTCTTTGTTGCAAGCCTTTTAACTGAATGACGTGACTAACTAGCAAGCAACAGCTTAGTCATTGATATTGCATGAATCATAACAACGACACGTAAGAGTAACCGGAAGTGATTGCTAATATGTTTGCTGATGATACTAGACTTATTATTACCGTTTATTAACCAATTTGCATACTCCCATACCACCTCCATCATATGGGTACAACATTTTCTACTTTATACTACACAATATATTTGCAATTCAATTGGGCCAATATGAAAAAAATGATATATTTGAATGATATAAAAATACTTCGACACATTTCCAGCACCAAATCTCTTCCTAATTTTAATGGAATCTTGAATGTGTGAAGACGGCTCGAATCCTTCAAGAGCCATATATTAGACAAGTGGTTTCTCTAACTCAGCGGTTCCCAAACTATAGGTCGCAAAAGGAATCCTAGTGGGTCGTGAAAAGCTTTGGTTAATTATACTGGTTATTAGGATCGGTGGCGACTCGAATACGTAAATCTTCAAAAAATAAATTAAATTGAATTGAAATTCCAATCCGTGGAAGTTTCTTTTTACGATCTTCTCAAAGCAACAAAAATTTGCTACACAAAGAATGACCATGTGACTTTTTTACGCATAGCAGTTTTGTACACTGTACAAGCACTTCTTACCGCGTTTCCCCGAAATTTAGACAGGATTTAGATTTATTTCTTTTGAAGAATAACAGTATGGTTTTTTTTTTTGAAAGAGGTCTTTTGTGTTCATTTATCAAAAATAAAATTACATTATAGAAAATCACAAAATTTTTTATCAAACATTATATAAAAACCGACATCCATTTTTTTTATTTATATTTCCTATACAAAAATCAAGTGACAAATATCACAATTGTGATATCACACAATCTTGAATAGTTGTGTGATTCTCACCTTACCTCAGGCCAATGAACCTTTCCTCTCCCACACATATAAATTTATTTCAAGAGTAGGGTTTAATTAAAATCATTTTGAAAATTCAAATTATCATCTTATTTTCAGGCGAAGTCCTCTTTTCGAGGAAACACGGTAGTTTTGCGATGATTAGCCATTGCTGTGTTCTGTGTTATGTCATCAAAAAACAAAATTGAATTAAAGTTAAATGGGTCGCCATAAGCTGTGGTAATAAATAGTGGGTCCCAACTCTAAAAAGTTTGGGAACCACTGCTCTAACCTTTTTGATACCATAAATCCTTTCAATAATTTGACTGAAAACTGAGGACTCCTTAAAATGAAGCCAGTCAATACTGTTATGCACACATTGTCTCTACCAGACGCAATGTCTGTCATCAAACACACCTTGAAACTCGCCTTGAATTCGAAGGGTGATTTACAATATCCTCTTCCAGAAACTGAATGTTTCGTTGTAAACCATTTGTTTTCATTACATCTACGGACCTTCGGCTGAGAACCACTTGATCAGGGTCCATACATTTATAATGTTCCAATGCTCATCTAATTATGCATTACCTCAACTTCTGGTTCTCTGTCTAATTATTGGTGAAATTTATACCTTCCTTTTTTAATATAGAGTAATAGAAGCAATGCAGATAGTGCAGACAAAGAGAGGAAGGAAAGAGAAGACAGAACGCAACATACTCGATCATCAACAACTAGAGCACTTGGTGGAACAAACACAACTGGAGGTCGACAGTTACAGGGATCTGCTGCTCATCATGGACAAAGTATTATTTCTGATTTTTTTTTTTAGAAAATTAGGGATTTATTAGGAAACTCAGGGAGTATTGATTTCAATATGATACAGAAAGGTGTTCTAGATTTCAGAAATGTTTAGGTTCCAGCCAGAGGTAGATTTAGATTTTTTTGTGAGGAAGCATTATTAAATAGCTGTACTTCAAGCTCAGTAGCGAATGACTATGAATCGATGCAAACTATATACATTACTTTCTTGTGTCCATTGTGTCTGCTCACATTTCAATTTCATCCTTTGTCAAAATTAGTGTATCTAGAGAGCAATAGCTGTATGTGGATGAGGTCTTTCAATAGCAACATATATTTTTATGTCAAAATTTGTCCAATCCAAGGTATGAGAAATTTTTTCATATTATCTTAGTATACGGTTGATTGTTTACTCATGTTGCCACAGTTATTAAAGTAGGTTTTCAACTTGAAAGATTATAGTTTATAACATGATGTAATATATTCTTTATTGAATGGAGCCATTCTTGAAAAATAATACTTCAATTAGTAATATATATATAAATATATGATGCTCATCTTGATTTTGGTCTACTGTATTCCAACTATTTGGTCAGCCTTGGTTAACAGTTTCAATCCTGCATAATATGGTTTTCTGTTACCACACAGTTCATCATCATTAGGAGGTGAGCTTTGGTGCATGTACTTCTATGTGTCATGTCAATTAACAAGCTAATTTACATTTATGTATAGTTGCTGATTGGTTGTCATACCACCATGAAAACAATTAGACTATTGGATGTTGTCATATTGACGTCACACTATACAACGAAGTATCTTTTGGTCGATCAGTTTTGGTTTCTGTGTCGGGTCACGCAGTGTTTTAAACAGTGTACTTGATGTCTGGATCATACTTGATCCTTTTTATCTGTATTATATCAGTGGCGCACAGTTTTGATGCTTGATGCACAGTTTTTCGAATAATCAAAATCTTTTTATCCATTTTGTATTATTATTTCATTTTATAATCTCATTTATAATTTGCATATAGAAAGTAATATTGGCTGTTAGAACTCTTTAAATACTCCTTTTTTGATTTAGAATAACTTAATTAAAAATTTCATAACGAAATTTTTTTTTTAAAACCATTTCGTACACGAAATATGTCATATTTATATAGCAGAGCAGAAAATTTTAGTTCGTGCCATGAAAACAAGGCAGTGCCATAACCTTGTGATGTATCTGCCATTGATCTGGGATTTCCTGATTCACCGGCAATCATAATGGGATCATATAGGTTTTATGGTTGAACCTACATGACCTCTCACTTGTCTTGGTCAGCATTGACATTTCATTAATTAGTATTAATAACATAGATTTTTATACAATTACAGTCTTTGTTTGATTGTCTCTATATGCAAATTATTTGATAGTAATCTTGAAATTCTGTTTTTTCTTCTCTTGGAAAACTGAATTATATTTGTCCTCAATTTAAGAATAGAAAAAAAAATACAAACTAGCTAACATCAAACAATTCTCATATACAATGAAAAACCCATTCAAACATTTCTATTTCTTGAAGGTATTTTTTCAAACTATGTTTTTTTTTAATGCTCCTATCATTGTTAAAAATTAGACATGAGCAGAATTTGTTACAAAATCATCTTCGACTAAAATCAAAATTTCAATATGAATTTTGAATAAATGTGAAGTTTTTGCACCTGATTTTGTAAAAAGTTAATCCAGTATAAAACACATTTGAAGTATAAATTCTATTATTAGCTGTACTGTTTGGTATGGCATTCCTGGATATTTCAATCCAGTGTGAGACGAATAAAAATTAGATTTTTTTTGCCCATTAGCCATTTTTCCAACAACTTCTTACATTACAACTGTTATAAGTAAACTTAATCAATTAGATTGCTTTTTTCTTCAGGTAGAAAGTCAAAACTACTGATGCTAAAAGATCAAAGCAGAAATAAATTATTTAGCACAAAAGAAATGTACAAAGATCTTGAATTAAAAGTTGAAATTCATCCAGTTATGAAACAGATTAGTGCAGAGCATACGCTACGATCAAAAAGCAAAGTTCTTGGTTGGCTTGTAAGCGATTGTGCATCTATTCAAAGCATGGACACGATTCCTTATGTTGAATCATCGTTGACAAAAGCAGCGCAGAAAAAATCATTGGAATATGTGTCATATTCGAAAGGAGACAACAGGAAAAGTTATATGCAGAATTGGGAAAATAAAGCAGCCTATTTATTCTCTCAAAACGATGAAGCCTTACAACAAAAGCTTGCCATGCATCATGGTGGTCTCGTCAATTATATAATGTATAAATCGGAAACGGATCAGAATAACCTCAAAAGCAAAGTTAGTTGTCAGGAATCATTGTGTTTTAATAGTTTTTGGCATCTGTGCTGTTTGTGGTTGAGAATGTATTTTAGAATTGAATGTAAAGTAAGGTAACTTTTGAAAAGTAGGATGTTTACTCATTAGAATTTCATACATAGTGTTGTTAATTGAGCATATAGAAAGAAATAGAATAACAGATTCATGTTGATCATTTATATCTGTAACAAGCTGTAAAAATACATTAACGTCAGGATTTTATGCAGTGGAATATTTTTAATTGCTGATTGGTATAAGAGGCTTCTTCCCTCAATTCCAATCCAAGGAACATAACTGACAACTTCTTCCATGTTTAGGTATCAACTAAGAAATTATCAGGTCAAAAACAGGATGAGATTTCAAAAAGCCAGAGGTGCAAATCAGTTGAACCAAGGAGTAAAGGTTAGAATCGGTATATTTGTCTCTTTCTCAGAATTTTCAAACTGACCATTAAATTGGTTTATTTTCAGTTGGGAGTGGAAAGAAGAATAAACATTCTAATAAAAGATCTTGTGTACCTACTAAAAGTGAAGGAGATATGGCTAGTGCTGGATCACAGACTCCAAATGCTAATGTTGAAGTTTTGGAATCGCCTCTGTCCAAAAGATGGCATATTCGTGCAAGACCTAAAAGCATTCGATATGAAATTGATTTAACGTTAGAAGATTTTCCTAAAGTACCAACAGCACCTAAGTTGTTTCGTAAATCGAACAAATCAAAAATAAGGAAAAGTCCGTCAAGAGAGGATATCACTATGCCGAAAAGAGTTTTGATGAAATCGGTCTCTCCTAATTGTGATGATTCTAACATGCCGTACTCGACTGTACGAGTGGCGGATTTTTCAAACATGGCTCGGAACGCTAGAAAAAAAACTTCTAAAGGTGTTGGTCTTCAAACTCGTGAAGTTTCCAGCCCTGGTCGTGATTCTTTTAAAATTTCAAGCCCCAAAGGTCAAGAGTCGTATAAAGCTATCAGCCCAGAGCGAAGGTCCCCAAAAGTACGTAGTCCAGCAGAAAACTCGTTGAAAGCTTATATGGGGTTTTTAAAAACTGGTAATATTTCAAAAAATCGTCCAATTTTTCTCAGTAGAAAACCAAAGGTTGCAAAACAACAAAAAGTTGTTTTTGAGGAGCCAAAAGTTGCAGAGAAGAAAAGAGTAGTGGAAAGTAGTCGATCCACTTCGACTAAGAAAGAACGCAGAGAATGCAAAGTAAAAGCCAAAAAAATTCAACCTTCCGTGAGACTGAAAGTCAAAGAGAATCAAGATGCCAAACAAGCAGAAGAAATAAAAAAAGAACACAGTATACCTCGCATACCTTCTGAAAGCACGTCTGTGGGTAAAGGCCACATATTTTACGCAGATGCATGGCCAAAAGCAAAGCTTCCTGTAGGTTTGAAACAAAAGAAAAAAATTGCGAAATTAGACGCAGTCGATAATATTACAACATCACCAAGCCCAAAAAAGGATATCAGTTACACAGAAACTTCAAAAAATTACTCGAGTAATCATACATGTCGCAAATTAAGCGGAGACAAAAGTAAGCATATTTCACTTGGATCTAGAGGAAGATTAACAGACAAGAGAGGAATTTCACCGATAGAAAAGGAAATGGTTATTCGTTCGTTACTTTTTAAGTTACACCATGGAATGAAATTGAAAAACGAAGTAGGAGATTGCATGGATTCTTCTACTTCATTGAAACAACGAAAATCGTTGGAGACACAAGGTGGGGCTGATGCAACCGACTTATCGAAGCAAACACCATGGTTTAAAAAGGACACTTCGCAAGTGCGATCACCTGGAAAAAATCGTAGATCTTTTGCTACGCCTTTCGCATCCGCAAAAACTTTTCCTGTCAAATATCAAATAAAGGAATACTTGAGAAATAAATCTCCTTAGTTAGTCTCCATTTATTTTATAGTAACACATATTATAGTTTATTTATATTATTTAAGTGCAATAGCCCTTTGCTTTTAAGCAACTGTTAATATTTTTAATAAAATAAAAAAGAAATGAAAAAAAGAGTTTCTTCGGTTTTGCGATTGAAGAAGTCTCATTAGTTCAGCATAACGTATAGAAAAGATGAAAAATTGAGAAAAATTTGCAGAAGAATCAGATCAGACTAGAAAACTTCAAAAAAGCAGGCAATCTTTTACATTTTATCAATCATATCAGAACATAGACATAGAATCTTTATTTATGTAGTTATATTATTTCCATATTCTATTTTGCTGGATAAATGTAAATTGGTTTTTTAAAAATCCTTTTTGTAATGTATTTCAGCGTCATCCTCTTCAAGGCCTATGTCTCGTGCCGAAAGAGAAAGACATGTCAGTAACAGATTACATCGTGGAGCTTCAGCCAATGTGGCGCCTGAACCTAACCCAGGAAGAATGGTCGGTTTTCATTTTATCTCGAATAAGCTTTTGACATTTTATTGTTAGATTTTCCACTGATGAATGGCATTTCTTCTTTCAAAAGTATGACAATGCATGCCAAATTGATAACGGAACTCTGTAGAGAGAGAACTCTTGGATATTTGTTAGGCTTCTGAATCTTGAAAAATTTTCAGGAATTCCCTCGGTTATCTTTTTTTATGCCTTTTCCCCTAAACAAGGCTTTGTACCAGGGGTGTGTCACTGGCAGATGTTAGAAAGACCTGAATCTCTCCGCCTCACCATTCATACTCAATTTATTACACTCTGAGTGAGGAGGTGGCCATTTTATCTGCAATGCCAACATGGGTTAAGTTTATTGTTTAAACAACTTGACAATCTTGCCCACAAACCTTATTATGATGTCATTTGCTCAACTGATTACTTGAATGAATCTTACGGTAAATTTTGTTTTTGAGTAGTCCAGATTTTAATGTACAAAATTCTATTTGAACAGCATCATATGCAATCTGCAACTCCGACAGGAAGCAACATGAGAAGAGCAGATGATGGAGGAATGGTCAGTGCAAGATCCTTACACAAGAAATGAAAGTGCCAATCAAAATCGGGATTTTTGAATTTTATAGCAAACCCCGATATATTTTCCCTCAAATTCATCTCTTCCATGTTTGGTGCGCTGTCTCATAATTGAAACAACAGCCTTTACTTCTTGTGTGCACTTAACTTGAAAACTCAAGTTTTGTTTACGATTTTTTTTATTTGAAAGTCGATTTTTTAACACCAAATGTTTCATAAAGTTTGGTCTTTCAAATTTGTTTGTAAGATTATTCTGATGTGGTTAAGCAGTACAGTTATGCTAGTAGTGAAATGTGCACATTCCGCTTTAGTGTGTATAGTAGTTGCGAAATTGAATCTGAGCATCGCATTGATCAGCGGACATTTTGACTGCGTGAGATTCATTAATTGGTGCGTCACATTCTCCAGTGGCAAAATGAAACTTTGCTACATCTTTATATATTTTTTCCTCTTTAGCCTGTATTTATTCGTTATATACGTGTTTTATTATTCTTCGTCTGATTGTCCATAGATATTTGTAAAGTTTTGTACCTCTCGCTTTTAATATATACTACTATCTATTCGATGGATCTACTTCCTCATCGTAGAGTCTCGAATAGTTCAATTATGGATGGTTTTTCTGATTCACACAAATCTAAAAATTTTCGAAGAAAATGACTTAGTTATGACAATATTGTGTTGTTTCATATAAATGATTTCATTGGATTTTTTGGAAAGTTTCTGCTGCCTGTCTTAAAGCTGATTGTGAAGTTCTTCTATTTCTCCCCATAATTTCACAGAAATGCTTTCAGTAACTATCCCAATGCTTGTCTGTACATTGACATTGAAAAACAATGAGAAGCATCATGTTGTTGTTTTATCATGAATTACATTATTGTGTATACTCCATGTACAGGACCTGATAACTGTTGTTTCGTTTTGCAAGTTTTTATTTTGAATCCAGTCGTAGCCAAGATATCTCGTTCAGGAGTGTTTGAGTGGCTTATGGATATATTTATACATAACATATCACTTAACATTGAAAACCTGGTATTTATAGTTTCTTTACATTTCAGCGACTTTATCCAGAAGAATATATAGATGGGAGCATTAGTTTTTTTTTTATTGAAACGCTCCACAAAGTATGTCACAGTCTCATGAACAGTTTTATTGCAGCTGATAAATGCAGTTGTTTTTATGACTAGGTGATTGCGTTGCCGTTAATGCCAATTATGATTTACAATTGAATTTGCTAACCTATTTTTATTTTAAAGGGAAAATTTCCTACCCAAAATTCTTATATAATGTATACTATCAACTCCTACTGAAAAATGTAGAATAAATTATTTTGCAGTCTACCTAAATAGTGTACCCTGTCTAGCAATTTTTTAGTCTTCTCATGAAACCATTAAAAGGTGCTCGATGCATCCACTTCAATGCGCTAATATTGTTGAAAAATAAATTACAATTGACATGCCAGTGTCCATACCTATTTGGGAGGTTATGGGTTGTTTTTTGTATCTTTAACACCATAATTAATTTTTTTCAATAATATCTTAAACTGATAAAGAGCATGGTAGCAAAACATCACTTTAGATGTGATAGGTAGGGTAAAATTGTTGTATGAGGACATAAACTCACAAGTGTATTCTTTTGGTGTGCAGTATCGTTCTCATTTTGAATTTTAAAGTAGGCATGCAGGACTTGCTGTCTAAACTCTCTGAATTTTAGGAAATGTTCACTTCAAATTGATGAACATGTTATGTTTGTCGCAGCTTTGTGTTTTACATAGAAACCTACCACATTGCTTGTAGAAGTGTACAACTGTGAAAATTTTGTAGGTACATGTTTTTTCTTCTGTACAGTACTTTAATAAAATTGATAAAACAAAGCTTTTTACATGTTGAATTTGTATGTTGATCACCTTGACCAAGATCGGGCATCATGTCACGAATCGTTTCGACTTTGAATGAAAATGAATTTCTGAAAGTTCTTCAATGATCACCTATGCATCAACGCCTATACAAATGGTGAAGAGTGATATTTGTTATTTTCAACACTTCGGTTTTTCTAAATCAGAAATCATGTTGCATTTGGTGGGAATAAAAGCGAATAATTAGAGTATGTGATCCAGAGAAATCTTGTTGTCTTCTTAGGGTGTTCATAGTGTCCCTTTTGCAAAGTTATTCTAAACTGTAAAAGGGATTCTTGGATATGTGATTTTTATTTATTTTGCTTTATAGCCTTCCGAGTACGTGATTAAAACCCACACATTGCCTGGTCGGATTCACAAAAACATCTCAGTCACACTTGGTGTGGAAATGCCAGCCGCAAGGTCATTTTTGGGCTTTCATGTTTTTATTGTTAAAGAATTCAAAAATTTTCCTACCGCAAATGATTCTAGTCCCCATATATATATATATAGGTATATATGTAGACTTACCATACGTCCCGCTTTTTAGCGTCTTGTCCCGCTGTCCCGACATATCAGCCAAGATTCCCGCTTGGCGTTAGTATAAGTATAAGTATAAGTTTATTTCGACTCCATAATCAGCATAACAATACATTTGACAGATAAAAACAAATAAATAAAATCTGATTATGAAATCAGGGGAGCAAACAAAACCTTAGATAAGGTTTATAACGTACAAAATATAAGATGAAAGGTTTTGCCAAGAGGAAGTGGTACGTGTTTACTCACCTAAAATTATCAAGTTATTTCACACACGCTCACATGCACCCACCAGCCACACACACACACAACCACTGAGAAGTTATTTAAGTAAGAATGAAACGCGATAAATTTAGGGTATACTATACAGTAAACAAAAAAATAAATAAATAAATACTAGAAAAGAAAATTATCTGCCACACCATATTGATATTTTTGTAATGATTGCCATTGCCAAATTGATCGATCTTCTAATCGTTAATTAGGTATATAGGCCGCGAGCCGAGGACATTTATCTTTCAGTTTCGTAGCGCACATCAGGTAACTACCTGAAAATGATTTTAAAATGTTCCTTAGAAATTTAGTAACAAATATTGCCTTGTTCCCACTTCCAAAAGTTGCACGTTTTACAGAAAAGACGCTTTTACTACAATAAATATGTGTTACCATCTGTCCTATTTTCTCTGCTTTTCCGGTATCATGGGCCAATGAACGCAGACTTCTGCACGACGTAACAGTCAAGTTAGTCAGCTGTAGGTGGATCCCCAGTGGTCGGATGAATATCAGATGTACTACAACTGCTCGCTTTTTCGTTGAGTAGCCTTTCCATAGTTTTTTTCAGTTACCGGTAATATTAGTTCAGTTATTCTAAGGAGGTGTTGAAAAGTATGGGTAAGATATTAAACACTTGTATATTCTTACCATAAATAGCAATATTAGTTGAGCACTAGCTCATAAGACGTTGTTAAATAGGTACGGAGCGGTAACTCCAACCAAGGAAGGCTAGACCTAGAATAATATGTCACAAACAACGATATTTTCTGGCTTGCATGAAATGTTTATGATTAATTTAATGACTCTTCTTGACTATTCAGCAGACTTATACTACTATATAGGCCACAGCATATTTGGAAATATAAATGAATGGCTGTTTCTGTAATGCACGATTGTGTGAAAGAGAAGAAATTATTCAATTTCACTAATGTCGGTTGGTCTAAATCTAAATTCATAGAGTCGACAAGAACCTGGGAAGCAATGATAAGTTATGCCGGAGTGGAAAGAAAGGTAGCATTGGAAACGATTGAGAGGTGAGAAATCAAGTTGTAGACAAACAGTTGATGTTTTAAAATATAGTCTATAGTCCATACTCATACTGTCATAGGACATTTCAGACTGTGATATATCAAAATTTAGTGTAGATATAGTCTAGTAATGGTATGCAAACACTGCGGGACTGTAGTACATGCAATGAGCATATATACGCTCATTTAGTACATCAGATAAAATGCATTATGTATTCAAGGTATTAGTTAGTGTTTAGGGGTGTTTTTAAACTCATGCTGCTCCAAATATTATTTTCTTCCTCATTTTAGATACTGTACTACAAAAGAAAACGGCAATGTTCCACCAATCCGACCTAACGCAGGCTCTGATCCCTGCTGCTATCAGTGCTATAAAATGGATTAAACAAGAAGTCTTGAAGCTTAAAGGTATATGAGAATCATAATAGTTGCAAATAGCTTAGATGGGCTATTCATATTGAAATACTTTAGCACTTTTCTGCAATTGGAACTGCCCATCAAATTCATGTTGGAGACTTCATTGAGATTTTCAATTCATTTTTTTCCCTCGACTATGAAGATCTTTTGAGGTTAACGAGGCATTAATAAATAAAGCTGAGGAATTTGAAGAGGATATGAAGAATGTAAATGAAACCAGGGCACGTCTATTTAACACTGTCAAACCTAAGGATTATACTCTCCACCCAACAATGATTCACTGAAGAAGCATGTGGCCCTCAAATCAGTTCTTGAGTTGGCAAACTGCAAGTGTAAGAAAAATAGTCAAAATAATTTATGGAAGTGTGCCAAAATCAACTTAAAATGCACAGATTTTTGTTTTTGTATTGACTGCAAAAATCACAGTACACTTATAGAGGAAAAGTCGATTTTTGAGATAGTGGATTTCGAAAACAATTCAGAAGAAAGTGAATTAGATATTACAGTTGATTTAATAAGTATCATTTATTTGTTGTTTTTTCGGACATTTGTTAGTGTCGTAGTCCTGTTTCTAGAAATATTATTGCCTTTGTTCAAATACATAACCACATAAACTAAAAAAAGATAAATTGTAAATTGTAATATTTCTGTTCACTATTTTATGTACATATTGTACATTCTTTTAATTTTCTTGACTTTTGCTGTAAATTTCTAAGTGAGAAATAACTGATTTATTTGTGTTTTCGTGCTCACGATGTTAATTTGTGACTTCATTGCTTAAAAATAAATACGTTTGATAGCCTCTATAAAATGGATGTAGCTTTTTATGCTCTTCTTGTTGTAAACTGCTTGTGGTTATTACATAAAATTTATTCGCAAATGTGAATCAGCGTTGTTGGTGTCGTTGCTTTCGAGCTCACTCCCAACTCCTGTCACACAATTAAAGTATTTTTTGTTGTTGGTTACATGTTTGCCATATTTTTCGTAATCTACCTAATACATTATGATTGACTGAGGAAGTCCGATTTTGGTCAGGCAAAACATTACAGGAATACATTTGTGTTAGTGTGCTGTAGGGCTCTCGAATTGCATAGTTCTTATGTATGTGTTGTGAACTTATGGTTATTGAATTTCCGGGAACCTCTTATATTCAATTTCGCACCAGGATTGTGGAACAAGCTGTAATGCGTTCATTATGTTCGTTTTCACACAAAACTGAAGAATTTATTTAGTTACGGTACCAGATGTGCGCTACGAAACTCGTTTTCATGGCTTCGTCTCACGGCCCATATCCGTGGTAAGGATCTACAAGTGTTTAATAACTTACTTATACATTTTTCAACAACGTCTTAGCATAACTTAACTAAACAGGGCTATGGAAAGCCTGCCCAACTCAGCGCAAGGTCGAGCAGTAATAACTAATATTCATCCGCTCGCTAACAGCTGGTTTAATTCAATTGTTACGTCATGCAGAAGTCATTGTTCCATGCCGAAAATGTAGAGAATATAGGACAGATCGTAGCACATATTTCTTGTAGTAAAAGCGTCTTTTCCGTAAAACGTGCAACTTTTGGAAGTGGGAACAAGGCAATATTTGTTACTAAATTTTTAAGGAACATTTTAAAATCATTTTCTGGTAGTTACCTGATGTGCGCTACGAAACTCACTTTCTAGGCGTTTTTCAGGGCCTCGGCTCGCGGCCTAATATAAAAGGAAGATTCTATTGAAAACATATTGCCAAGCTGATTATAGTTGGAGTCAAATGCCAAGTTGCCCAACCAAAGTTGCCAGAATTGGGTGCATGAAGAGGTGGGCGAGACCATTTCATTCCCCAAATTAGAGCCTATTATTGCCAAATTATAGTCCAGATTGTAATAAGTAATTAAGTTACCGGTAACAGTAAAATTACTATAATTAAGTAAAGTAGGATGTGGAAATAAATTGGTTACAAAGGGTCTAAGTGAGGTTTTTCATTCTTGGGTATTGATTTCAGACAAGGATATGGGAATGAGGTTGTTATTTCACAGGATATCGGGAGTCTTTTTTTGTTTTTTTCCGTATGTGTTTTACTTCATTTAATCACTTTGAAGTAACCTGAAAAACAAAAAATAAAACTGCGAGTAGATGTTTCAATGATTGGGTGAAGGGGAACGCTCTGAACTATTTATTACAGGCAAAAAATAATTGTTTAATTAAATGGGATGTATTGTCATTATATAGCGATGGATAGATGATCTATGATGACATTCTGCTTGGGACAGAGAAAAATTTATCACACCATGCAAAAAACACACAAAATTTTACTATCTATACCTTGGCCAACAAGTCAACTCAAACACCATGCCTTAACATAAAACGCATGCATACATAAATGATATAAAAACCACATCCAATTACAATGACCCACAGCAAATTAAAATCTGAAGGGGAGAAACCAACATAGCTCTACTGCTCGCCTAGTTGCAATAATTAGTAACCTTGCAGGAACAATATTGTACTATCTACAACCCTTATACCACCACTCAAACATAAGACCAAGCGTGTATGAAAATTGCTATAACGGGAATATTTCTGTTTTTAATGAGTTTCTCACGAATTGGGCCAATTTGGTGTAGTTTTGTAGTTACATAACAACTAATTGGCTACAACTGTTGTTGCTGTGTAGCGCAACGCTGGCCTACTTACTGAAGGCGAATGCGTTATTTTGTTGGTTTCGTTGTTTTCCGCTAACATTGTTAGCGAACGTATCACATGTGCAATCAATTCTAATTGGTCCTGTTCGGACGTTCACGTGAATGTAACATTGAACAACGTCTTTTCCAAGGTATTATCTACAGAAAAGCATGCTTGGTAAACCTCGAATAAGTAAATCCCAATGCTTGAAAACGGCAGACTATTCCATTATTCTCTTTGCTGTCCTTAAATTTTTTTAAATTCGGACCATTTGTATCGTTAGCGTCTATTCCTTTCTATTTTTCGAACTGAACCCGATATTTAGACAGAGAATATGCGCATGAACTTTTGATGACAATATGGTCAATGAAGACAGCCGGGATGGCTTTAAATGTAGGCGTCCCGCTTTGAAGTCAAAAAAATATGGTAACCCTATATATATGTCAACCCGATACTGCAGAAACAAACTTTGCTAATTGTAATGTCAAGTTAAGCAGGGATTTCATTTCCCTGTATGAAGCCCCAGGTATGTGACTAACTATCCTGGAATTTCATTCATTTCAAACATTTTAATTGATGACAACAGTGAACATTTATTAATTCGAAACATTACGTTAGGTGAAAATAATTGAACAACGAATACATGAATTGGATACTACTCATAGCTAGTGTTTACAAAATATTCAGTACATGCTAAATAAAAGAGAATTGCCAAAGCAATTAATCAAATTTCTATGTCAAATTGCTGATCATGGTTAATAAAGGTCTCTAACTAAAAAAATTATTGAGGTGGACAACAATTAGAACAAACTATGTCAGGCTACAAATAGAAATGTACAAAACATTGCTCAATCACAAGAAAAATATATAACTGAAATTAGTAACCATAAAAGTTTCCCTCATTGCATCAACAACATGTATACCAAGCGAATAACGGGACACACAGTGGAACAATTCTTGGAATATGGAATTAAAATGAGCTGGAAAGAACAACTGAAGAATATCAAACGTTCTATATCACATTAGGTGCAAAATTATTTTTTAAATTATACTCTAGGTAACATCAGTGCGTACTAAAAGTTTATCATTTTTTTGAAACTAGTTTCGGAACAGCTACAGAAAAGTATGAACAGAGTTCATTTCGTATTGGGCGTAGGGTATCAACTGGACTATCCCAAACGGTTTCACTCAATATAGTCATGACTGTTTCCAAGTTGTCCATGTCAGACACCAAATCATCGTAAGTTAGTACAGATTCATAAAGTTGAGTTGCAGTTGAACGTCGGACCTTCGGATAAACATGACAAAGCATTCGTAGAAGTTGCGAAATAGTACATTTTCGAAGATCATCAGATGGTAACTGTAGAAATCCACAAAATACTTCGATACTTGTTAAAAGTCGTTGGGCATCTTTTGTCCTAGCAATCTCCTGCTTCACTAGTGAGAATATCTTGGTGGGTGTTTGCGAAAGTGGTGAATCTTTCTTCATAGGGTCTTGCATGACATCTGCGATACCAGAAAAGTATCCTCTCTGCAAAATAAGCTGTAACGTTTTCAGTAAAGGCATGCTCACTCTTGTAACTTTCAAATGATTTTCAAATATTTTTATAAATGCGTCAATAAATTTTTCCATTTGCTCTTCATTTCTGTGAATGCTATCCAAATGAGCGAAAAGAGCTTCCCCGCTTGCATCAGCTAGTGATTGGGTGAGATCCCCAACAGATACTACCAATCCGAGAAGCATGTTATACAGATACGTGTCGAACATCAATACTTTGCTTGTCATTCGGTATAAGCCTTTCATACGAGGCATGTAACCTCTGTTGATGAATATGGGTACAAGTTCATCATGATGTGGTATAAACGGAACTTTAGGATTGTTGTGAAGAAGTGAGAATAAAGCATCCCTGGCTCCATCACGAACTTTATGAATTTTTTCACCTGATTGTTGTAGCACAGAACACATCAACTTTCGAATGATTTCTTTGTTTAAAATGGATTTATCCTTTTGAACTATTTCTAGTGTTATCATCTCCAGACCACGAATTCCGGCCAGCCGTACAATGGATCCTATATCACCCCTGTTGTCTTTAGTATAATCAGATAAACAGTGAATCAAGGTTTCATAAACATCATTCACGTTTGCTACACACAGGGCCTCATCCGGATTTCCATCTTTTTTAATGTCCATTCCTTTACATATTTTTACCAATGCTTGGACTGCATGCATATGAGCTTCTGCAAATGCGGCGTCCGCACTTCCAGATTTTTTAGTTGCTGCCATCAAAGCATTCAATATCTTCATGTATCTTCCATTTACAACATGCTTAGGAAGCGCAGAAATAGCTTGAGAATAACCAATTCTCTCTTTTTCCGATGAACTTTTCAGCTTGAGTATATAACTATCAAGCACATCGTTTGCTTTGCCATCAGATTTCTGATTTAACGCTACTTCAGTGAAATCACCAGTAGGAATAGTAATGTGATTTACTTCGGCTAAAGCCTTCACTGCAGCATTACAGACTTTTTCTACATCTACATACCAATCCAAATTAGATAAAGTGTCGTGGATCACTTCCAGCCAACTTTTTGTTGCTGCGGGAGGAGGTTTAATCAGCGCTCTACATTCAGAAACTCTTGTGATTAAGTGACAAATAGCGAGTCTCATCAGTTCATTTCCAAAGCCACGAAACACCGAAGCATTCTGCAGTTCCTTGCATATACCAAAAGCTGTTTTCAGATGTTTATTTCTCGAAATCAAACCAACAGATCCTGTGCTTGTTTCCACTTCAGATAAAGAATGTATGATTTCAGCAACTGCTATGATACTGCCGTGTCGAGCAACGAGATCTATGCCAGTGCACATAGGCAGCAATTTAGCTAAAACAGCATCTGCCATATAAGTTGGACTTATAGGTACAAGATTATGAAGTGCTATTGCGGTCAATAATCTGATTTCAGGATCCCAGTGGTCAACTTTTCGTTCACATAAATGATCAATGAACGTCACAGTGTATTCTTTGAAACTGGCGATATAAGGCCCAATCACCAAATAAGAATCAGTACGACTACCAACTGCAAAATAATCTGCTTTCGTCAAGATATCGATTCCATGAGGAAATTGTCCTTGTCGACCAACATTCTCTTGAAATGCCGCTGAAGCAGCACGTCTGCAGTTTACTTCTCTATCATATGCTGTCACGATAAGCAATGATCTTGCAATCTTCTCAACATATGGTGCTATAGTTTCAGCATTATATGCTCTTGCAAAAGACCAAGCCAGATAACAAGCTGAATCTCTCACATTCGCACCTACACTAAAAGCTCCACGTTTGAGGTCAAAAACAAGGGCATGAAGCAAAATTGGAACAACCTCTTCTAATCTATGAGGCAAAAGAAGACCACGTCTCCCCAACTCCGCTAAAGTCAAACAACCTCCATGATAAGCACCATCAGCTTGGGTGTCGGAAAAGCAATCAAGCACAGACCCGACTACTTCATCTGCTAAATCCCGTGGTAAGCGACTGGTCACTCGTCCGATACCCTTTGCAGCTGACCAACGAACGATCGTATCTGAATCATATAGGGCATTCATAAGACATTCAATCACCGACTCAATTTCATCAGGAACATCGTATTCATCCTCTTCTCCATCAATATTGGTTTTGTCAGCTGCATCTTGATTTTGAGATTTCAAGGTATCTTTCAACGAACGACAACCACGTTGGTACCTCCATTTTGGCAGTATAGGCTTCAAAAACGTGATGCCCAATCTCTGAACCAGTTTTACACTCAGTTTTCTAATTTGGGAATGTTGATTATGGGGTAAATCCTCTTTTTGAATTGCTTGTAATACAATAGGTGCAAAGGGTATTATACTGCTTCGTTTACCCACTGCGAAGATGGTTGCCAGAGCGAGTAGCGGTCCTTGTAATGTTGCAATTCCAGCACTGTCTTCCTTTTTAAAATCGCATATTTTCTCAACACACCAGGTGATAAAGTTTGGCAAATGTTGCTCTTGTGCATCAGGTCTTGTCAAGATCTTAGATAAAACCAAAGCAGCGGCTTCTTGGCATTTATCCCCATAAAGCATAAGATATAACTTCGCTACATCAATTATGCGTTCGATAAGAGGTTTACTACCCTCAGAATCGAACTTATCCATATCAAATGGTATCAGGCATATCATGGAAAGCCACAGTAAAAGCATGTATTTGTTTTCCCATGTTTCTCTGTCGTATGGATTCTGTTTTGACAACATCGTCATAATAGGTTCAAGATCACTTACTTCATGAGGGAAAAGTCTCACAATAGGTTTATGTCCACGAACTTTTGTGATCAGATATAGATATTTGAAAGCATGATGAAGTAGCTTCCCTGTTTCAGTTGTACGTACAAGCTTCAGAAGTTTTGTTAGGAGCTCCTCCAGATGAGGATCCAAGAGATGGGGCTGCTCTTGATACTTATTCAAAATGAAATTAAACCCTTCATCAGATAGTTCAGATTTAGTCTGGTTGGCATAAGCGTGATGTAAATCATCTATTATTTTTATTACTTCATTGTACTCTGCAAAGTGGTCTTTCACATCCCCTTTTGCCAGGAAATCTTCCTCTTCCTGAGTTAATGCAGTGTCAGTACTAGACATAATTAACTTATTATATCTGCTACAATATGCATTAATAATGATAGCCATTTATTTTTTGTTAGTGCTATAGTTTGGTGTATGTATAAGCAAACACAGAAACATACATCTGAACATACTAACTTATTTGAGTATTTGCAGATTTTGGAAATTTTAAAATATATTTCTGTATTTATATAGTTATAAGAGACGGATGTAAATTTTTGTCTCTCTAGCTTTAACTTTTTAAATATTACTCTTGCAGTTTATTATTTCACATCCTGTTTAATATTAAAAGACATACCAATTTATAAGTTAACAGATTTACATTTAATACAGTATTATCATACCACAGCATTAGAATAAATGCAAATTATTAACATATATTGCTGTAATGGGTCTTGTGTAGTTTCCTACCTGAATAACTTCTAGTGGGCGTGGCGTGGCAATTTTTGGATATATGATTCCTGGGCCCCACCTGATGTTGTCATCATCTGATGACGTCAAAAATTGCGTCACTGGGATGTCACGATAACGAAATACAGCTTGCCAAAGTATAGCGACGGTCCCCGTAATGGCGCCTGCGAGTATGTTAACATGTTTGTGGCATCATATGTAATCTTTATGTGTTACAAGCAATAGATTAGGATTTACCTATTTATCCTGAGAGAGAGGAAAACCTAAAAGACGGCTTAACCAACAGCTTCTCATCCAGTTACCATTCCATGTCGGGTACAAGATTAGTTGATTATTTTTTTTGGTAGCATGGACTTGAATGAACGGCGGCGAGGAGTCCAGCAATCCCTGAATCCTCTCGCACATAACCATCCCCGCTCGTGTCATTCAAACCTGCGAACCCACGCAATGTAATCAGAGGTGAGGTGGCGAGCGTAAACCTAGCGCTTTATAGCACGATGAGCTGCAGGTGCGGATATTTTTGCATGGCCTGTAGCTGTATTTACAGTGTTCGCATAAGATTTCTCCGGACGTTCATTGGACTACCGGTACAGTTTTAACATTTTTTATTGAGTAAAATTGAGTTTTCTGGTAGGCAAGATTCAAAAAATAAATTAACATATTCTGCCACCGGTGCAGTACCGTACAGCCGTATCTAACTGACCGACAGATCGAAAGGTCTGTCTGTTCGGAGATGGAGACGAGGGGCCATGTTCACAAGTCACAACCCGCCCCTGCACTGCACTCGTGTCAACCACCGTCAGTTCGTTAATTATTAACAGGTACGGTACCGTACCGCCGTATGACGAGTGGCCCCGCATTTTTCTAGGCATTAGGACGCAGGTGATACCGCAATTCGTAACGCCCATTGCTCCCAATCTGGGCAGCCCAGACCGAAACGCCATCCATAAAATAAAAGACCCATTTGCTGAATTCTTCAAATACGCGATGCGAAAACAACGTTAAAATGAAAGTGCTACTTGGAGTCAAAATTCCAATTCGATCTATTTATTTTTATTTTTTTTAATAATATAATAAGTTAATTAGCCATGCATTTTCATCATAATAAGAATATTAATTTGATTAATGAATCATTCACCAATTTCATGTATAATTTTTTCATTCAACATGTATTCCATTTGAAGATCCAAGCCATTGGTTGTCATATTCCAACAAATTTTTCACATATTCATAATTAATTTAGATAACTGTATTATTACAGTTAATATATATACATGTAAAAAATATGTATATTGTTGTACAATACAATAGTAGATTTAGTCCATTAAAGCCTTTACAACGTTCTAAATAAAATGTTATACAGTTTTTGCATAACATTTTCGTACTTAGAGTCATTCCTTTGATTCTCTATATTTTAACAATCGACATTTTAACCTTTTTGACAACTCTGTCCACATTAGGCATTACGTTTTGAAATACAGCTTCATTTCTTTCGAGCCATATCTTATGTCTGGTGATTGACATTACAAGGATTATACACTCCAACTCTTCAGCATTTTGATGAAATGCATATTCACTGAAATCGAGCATTAAACAAGTTTTGAAATCTTTCTTTAGTTTGTATTTTTTCAAATTTCCGAATAATTTATTGAGCACTGATTGAGCAAATGTACATTTCCAAAATAAATAAGTTTCTTAATAAGTTTCTAAATAAATTCTGATTCTTTCTTGCATAATACACATATTTCATCTCCTGCTATGTTTCTAATTCTTGGCAATGTCTTTAAGAGCAAAATATTCCACATAACTTTATAATTAAATTCTTTCATACTATTCGGTAGTATCTTGTGGTGTATACTCGCATATGCACTCTTTAGGTTAACAGGATATATTATCCTCAATTCCTGGGCACATTTATTGCGTACAATCAAGTCATATAATACTTTGTGTTCACCATGCTTCACATCTATAGGAACCAGTTAATATTTGTTAACCCCAAGCACACGATTCTCTCTGTTTCTGTTAGGGCAGAGCTTAACCCAGCAGACAACGAATATAATACAAGGTCACCAACCTTATAATTCTTGTATTCGACGACACAGAGCAGAACATAGATAAACGATCAAAACCAGTGAGTTAATTTAAAGACTTATTGTCGGTTTATATACAATAGTCGAGACGCCTGTTATGCCTTTAGGGTTTAGCTTTTACGTGGATATCGTTTATAATAAATAAAGTAAGAATGCCGTAATTAAGTCTCGGCAATTCTTGTAAAACGATTTAGAAGGATGTCTGTAGCCAATTAAATAGTTAGCTATAAGTGGTCGAGTGATCAAAAACAGGATTTTACAAGTTTATTTTGCTTAAGGGCAAGATATCGTGTTTTTAACTGAAGGGTTATTCTTATGAAAGCCAATTAAGTATTTAACGTAAATATCTTTAAGAAGAAATCTTGTCCTACTGGGAATTACTTTTTTTCTTACTGTTAAAAATATGGTCTAAATAACTAATATCCCTATATAATTCGGCCCTAAAGAACGGAGTTCGGGGTTTCGGCATAACAAACGTGTCAAAAATTGTACAGATTACTACAAAATAATAACGAAAAAAATAATGATTGTAAGATTACACTGAAATTATAACAAAATAACTCGAGTGAAATTAAGGTTATCCCGGCTAATTTGTAAATAATAATTTGATTTGTAATAATATGGAAAGTTTTATGATAATTTTCAACTTATTTCCGAATTAGCTAGATTTAAAATTGAGTTATTTTTTTCAATGTCATTAATACTTCAAGTAATAAACAAAATATTCATGATTATACGGATACACATTAATATATATACTGAAATTGAAAAATTGAATGGGACAGAGAAGAGGCATGAAGAACAGGTAATTAGAAAAGTGGAAAGAAGCTTTTAGAAAAGATCGGCGTATTATTGTTTTAAATTTGATATTGACAGTCAAAACAGTGATTTCAATTTAACATATTTCATCACACCTTAACCTTACAACTCGCAAGTAATGGCTTAGCTAGCCTTGATATCCCTTGTTGGGTTTGAAGCGCTTTGAAAAAAAATTAGCCTTCTGTGTGCGTTGAGAAAAAAATGCGCTTAGTTTATGTATTTGATCAATATATTCGTATTAGACGAATATATTGGCGAGATTAAAGTATGATTATATTTAAATCATCTTTTTAAAAGGTTGCCAGTGATTTAGAAACATATTCTATCGAAAATGGGGTTGTTTATGACCGTCAAATTTACATTCTTTATGAATTTTATGAAAACGATTCGTAACTAAACATTTACTTATGTTGGACAATCATTTGGCCTAACGATTTTATGCCACTTAAATAAACATCCGAATTACCCTACCTTCAATGAATTCATAAAAATTGGAAGCCGAATTTTAAAACGCCAGAGAGAAATAGAAGAATTTTACCTTAAGAATAGGAGAAGTATGAAGCGTGTCCCAACAAGATGAAAAATCTACACTGATAAAATAAAACAAAATTATGAGCATGAAAATAACATATTGTTACGTTTGTCATTCTTTTCGTCATTTGTCGCGTTAAATGATTTGTTTGGGCGCGTTTTATGTACCGTATTTCTTTGAAAAGTCCCTTCGTCTGTAGTTGATTCATTATTTCATCATTTTGATTATTTTTCGTTGATTTTTCACCTCATAATTTTTTTAAAAGTTCGTTTCGTTTGTCCGTTAGCCATCGTCAGGATTCATCGTTTTGTCGTTCCATAGCCGTCTACCATTGTTCAACTGTTGTTTATCTTTAATGCATTGTCATCTCGTTCTTTAGCGTCCGCACTGGGAAGAAAAATTGGCGATTATTTTTAGCTAATGGCCCCTATACGCTTAGGTTAGTAGGAATCGTGAATATTACTTAACTTTTGTTCCTCCGTAGATGTTGTTGATCTCCGTTGGCACAACAGCAGCGAATCTGACTCCTCTCAGATAGGCACAATTCTCAGTCGGGGTCACCAATTTTATAGGAACCAGTTAATATTTGTTAACCCCAAGCACACAAGATATCGTGTTTTTAACTGAAGGGTTATTCTTATGAAAGCCAATTAAGTATTTAACGTAAATATCTTTGAGAAGAAATCTTGTCCTACTGGGAATTACTTTTTTTCTTACTGTTAAAAATATGGTCTAAATAACTAATATCCCTATACATCTTCAGGTTTTATGCTGTATTTTTTTAGAAATTCCATAATGCATTTGTAGTTTTCGTGAGGAATGCATCTATGTGCTATATTGTTTTTCATATTCATTTTGAAATAATTGCTCATCTGGTGTCCAATATTATACTCCATATAAGCATTATATATGCTTTGGTCCTCTTCAGTTCTATAATTAAAATATTCAAATGCCTTCATGACGTACATGCATTTCATAAATGCATTTCACATGCAAATTCAAAAATTTATTTATTCTACCAAGTGTTAGAAGTTCACTTACCTAAAATATGTCAACAGTTAATAATTAACCAAATAAAAAGTAAATAAATAACAGGAACAAAAGTTAGAAATTTGGGGAAATATATATTGTCCAATAATACACTTCAATAATCAGAGTGGAACAATAAATTAAACTATTTAATTTAAACTATTGATGTTTATATTTAAATGAAGGAAAATGTGACATGATTTAACGTGGTTCAGGATTTTGTTTATAGAAGCTTTATTAAATATCTCTTCCAAAAGTTCTTACAGAAACATGATATTGTAACCTGCTCATCTTACCTGAAAATTAATCTAAGCGGAAAAATGTATGAGCGGCCGCTAAGAAACCAATGGTGTCTTGCTGAGCCGAATTTGGTTGGATTTTAATGGAAACCTTATAAGGCATAACAGTGGAATTTTTCCGATGTGTAAAATATGACATCATATTTCGGCATCATAAAATATAAATTATGAAATGCCCAATTCCCCTTGCAACCAAATCATGGGTACTGAGAATATGTATAGTAAGATGAAAATGACAATAAATGTCGTAGTCAATGTCGGATTTAATATTATGCAAGGAAGGTCGAAGCCTAGGTGCTTCAACGTACAATTTTGAACTATTCTTCGCTTTGAAATTTCAAAAACTCATATTTGTTTAATTTATCGTTCAGGTCATTAGTTATTGTCCCAAATATTAAATCGTTTTGAAAGACTGACGACTTAACAGGGTTAAATAAGCGAATTTGTCTAAATTTGTAAAAGGGTACCCCTTCAATCTTAAAAATAAAATATGCTAATTTAGATTGATTAAATAGCCTAATTTCTTTTTAAAAAAGATAAGAAAATATCGATATACTAATTTATTTAAGCAACAACGAATCTAAGAATTATTATATTTTGTGCTATTTCGAATATTTTTCATAATACATCTCTTTTAATTTAATCAATGGAATGATCATTTCATTTAACAGTAATGTTTAATTTATCAGTAATCCATGCCCGCCTTTATTCCAGTCGCGACTAGAAATTGATGAAATGACGTTTTATAACAGCATTGAGTTTCCTAATTTAATTTACTACCCCATCTCCATGAACGTTCGTATCTTTACTTTACCTAAAAATTCGTATTTTAGACTTATTTTAGTTTTTATTCATGTCGTCATAATATTTTCTCAAATTTTTATACACATATTTTGACGTCATATTATGCGCCATTGTTAAGAAGGGCTCACAAACGTCATAGCCTAGCGCCCTAGCAGCTAGCTAGAGGCCTCGCGTTGTCTTAATCCGGTCCTGGTTACAGTTGATATAAATATGCATGATAGGTAATGCGATAAACAACAATAAAAATGAGTTTATAGCTTTTTAGAGATTTTAAGCTAAGTAAACTTTGCACAGAACTGCATTAAAAAACATTGGGTAGCGATAGTTCGAAAACCATATTTTTGAGTCGCGACCCAAAATAATTGAGCGATGGACCCCTGACGATAACAAAAATGCGACAGCCAGGATCCCTGTCAGCTATTTAATCGAAAATCCGCAAAATGCTAAACGAAGGTATTTTTTTGCGCCGCGCCACCCAATTTGATCAGCGGATTCTTGGAACTTGAAGAGGATTCAAAGCGTACCATGAAATAGGGCGCTGTGTCATTGCTAGTATAGTTGTACACATGTATATTTTTCAATTGGAATATGCTGACGAGTCGCGTTCTGGGACCGAATCAACCTATCGCGCAAATGGATGTTATTGAACTGTAATATGCAGACGAGCAATATTTTACACATCGATTGAATATATATATATACAGTATATTGGTTTCTGCATTGAGTCATCGCTATTATAACTGCTCGTATACACACCGTCGTTCAATATTTAAACCATAATATTTATACTCATTATAATTTATATTCAAATTCCGCACAGAAGTCACCCAAATTTTATGCACTATGCTGCATGACATGAGGGAGCACAAATTCACTTGCCTTGCTTTTGTTATTCTGATTGCTGCAACACTGTCTGATTGTTGTAATTGGCGGCATCACGCCAACCAAAACATTTTGTCAACTTTCATAATTTGTACTTCACGTTGTACATGCTGTATTGGCCCGATAGCATGGGCGTATAGGATAGGATTTACATATTTATCCCTGGGGAGAAGAAGGCCGATAAGACGCTTTAATCCTATGAAGAACCGCGGCATCTCGCCCGGTTACCAGTTCATGTCGGGTATGGAATTAGCTAGCCAGTTATTTGTTTTCGCAGGCATGGACTTGATGGTAGAGGAAGCCGTAACCGACCAGCGGTTACGTGAACCACCTTACGGCGGCGAGGAGTCCAGCAATCCTCTCGCACGTGATCATCTCCGCATGGGATTCGAACCTGCGATCCCACGAAGGGTAATCAGAGATGCGTTGGCAAGCGTATTCCTAACGCTCAGCACGATGCGCCACACCGCCGAGCCGAGCGCAAATACTTTACTTGAAATTACTTAAAATGCGCATCTAGTCGAGGGCATTGCTTTTGTTATTATAGATGAGAGACGCGTGCTTTGTGGGTCTTAAAACCTTGCTTCAAGTTTCATTTTTTTTTTGTATTTTGCCCTCGCGTCATTGTTAAGTTTTAATGGAAGATCAAAATAAACATAAAACTTTAAACACCTGAAAATAATTGCCGGGAATATTGAAATTCGACAACGCTCGCAAAACTCTTCCCTTCGCACTTTTAGAACCCCATGCCAGAAGCCATGATACACGTCTTTGGTGCGTGAGTTCCTAGCACAGTCGACCACAATGCTAAACGTCACCTTGGCCAGGCGCGAATTTACTATTCAAATTCACTCAAGCCGGATAGCTTGTCAACTACGCCGATCGGATGTTCGAGCAGGAACTACCAGATGGGAGATATAAACTAAATTCTGCGTTTCTAATGTGACTTGGAAAATGATATCAAATTGGGTATCTTCCACTTCAGGACGGTCATTCAGGATATTTGAACTACTTCACAAATTCTATTTCTATAATCGATTTGGGACAATCAGATTATGAAAATATGCGAAACCTGGTTCCATTACACTTGAACCCACGACAATGGCACCTGTGTACCATTGCACCGAATATTTGAACCCATACTAACCCTAACCCATGGATTTTAGCACCCTCATATAGATTGAACCCTCGGATATACGAGTGCAAATGTATGGGTTCAAATATATGTGGGTTCAAATGTACAGTCACCGCCAAACCTATTCCAAGGGTTTTATTCCCTGAAACACACAAGATGGGGGCATACCAACTTTCGACACACAAATGTAAATGTTCAGGAAAGGGTTTTTTAACTTTCCCAAAACAAATTCATTGATTGAAATTAGCTCTGCGAATGAAAGCATAACCAAGACACGGGTGTTCTGTTTATTCCATCACATTGTACATAACTTAGACCTAACATATGGGTTTTTAGAAAAGGGACAAGTACCAGATGGGTGGTGGTTATAGCATTTTAATTGCTTCAAAAAACGACTTATATTTTTGAATAAAAGGGTCATACTGCAATACCATACCCATATATAAGAGTGTGTCATTGATAGTAATACACAATACTATTCATTGCAGTAATGGTTACGGTAAGTGCCTGTGCATAGAAAGACCCATATCTTACTAGCACTGCCAATTTGTAAGCTGAGGGAGACAAAATATTATTATGGAAGCTCCCTGTCTTCCAGGTATCTGTACTCAAATGTGAAACCTTCCTTTTTGCGCTGTCCCCATTTCTCGTAGTCAAAATAAATATATGTCCCTTGTTCATATTCATCAGTGATCGTTTTTGGCTCCTCGTGCCTTTGAAACCACATCATGTACTTGGTGTGAAACCTCCATGATTGTTTTTTCAAAGCTTTAGCAGCCATGTACTGAGCTTTCGTCGCCTCCATGTAGTAAAATATAAAGAATAATGTTTCCGTCGAAAGTCGAAGATAAAAATCTATGGAATCGTGATGAGGAAGTGGAGTCTGGTGGTAGTATGCCGGTGTGGGGCACGGATTTCTTGGCAAGTAATGGCGAAGCCTTTCGGAATCAGATGGGTGCGGCATATGTCTCCAAGAAGCCTCGAGCATTGCTTGCTGGTACATGTTATCTTTATTAAGCGGAACAGGGCCGAGAGGTGCAACACCAAGTAAAGGAGCCATTCTGGTTTCCCCGGAGCCATTAGGGATTTGTCGTATCAAGTTGGACTGCTGTTGTTGCATTGAGCTGCTCAAAGACGTCAAATCTGCTTTTGATGGGGCAGAAGTGTTTATTGATAGATTAGAATCCTGAGAAAAGGGTGAAGATGTCTGTTCCGGCTGTCCTAAACCTGCCTCCACGACTGCTTGTTCTGCAATGCTTTTTAAATTAAAATTATTATTCAAGAAGGCAGATGTAACCAGATTATCATGTGGAGAGGGTTGTACTTCAGGTAATGATATTGGAGTTGGTACCTTACTTGGTTGTGTTGTTGACAAATCGTTTGTCAGTTTTGATACCAAAACAATGTCCAACGGTGAAGGCGCGGACTTCTCTTCAGGAACTGCAGTAACAACACCATTAATACCTAATCCACTTGAAGCCACAGATGTCAACAAACTATTCACTGTGCTTTGCACATCTAAATTTGTTATCGAAATTGATGAAGAAACAACATTATTTGGTGTTTGCCAAGTTGTTGATTTTTCTACTGATTTTTGAAGGGACTTATTGAGATTTTTAACTGCTCCTAATCCACTATGTTCAACCGCATTGGAATGTGTATCTGATATCGTTTGCGAATGGTGAACTTGATTTTGCGTCGGTTGTCCACTTGCTGCAGCTGCATATGCCTGTACGTGCGTACTCTTCTGATTGAGCTTGTTAGGTGTTGTGCTCGTGGAATGACTTCTAGATGCAGGTTTCGATGAATTGGCAGTAGATGAATACGACGTCAAAGAACCCTTCCTAGGTGATAAAATATCATCAGATGCTCCAGATCTATTCCTACTCCTTGAATCAGTATCATCTTTACTGTTATGACTTGATGAAGATGAATGACCATTATTGGGAACGGGTGATGTTGACAAAGTTGGATCAATAAGAGATTTCACATCTTCATCCCCCTTCGAACTGTTGCTATTAGTCAGACTATTATTCATATGCTTTTCAACTGGAGATGTTGCAGGAACAACGGTAGCTGTAAGTGCTTCATCCAAATTGAGATCTTCATACAAAAATTCATTTTCTTCATAATCTGGATCTTCACAAGCTTCCAAATAAAATTCCAAATCATCTTGCAATTCCATAATCCTCTCTGATGTGATGGTTTGATTATCTAACATTCTCATTAATGTTTCCAACTTGTTTATATGAAACTTGTGCCTTTCCACATGAGCTTTCATTTCATCATTTTGTTTTTGCTTCTCGCCATCAATTTTCTTCTTACGAGAATGTGATGAATTACTTTCAATTCTACTTTCGAAAATTTCAACTTGTAGACCGAGTTTATCAATCGTATGTTGTAACCACTGCATCGTCTCTTCTCTCTCTTTTTGTGCAGGGTCAATTTTCGCCGCGAGACCTAAGCCTTCTTTTGAATAGGCTTTTGTTTTTGTTTCCCTTTCGACAACTTTAAACCGCTCCATTTGGGTTTCAATTAACTTTCTATTGTCCAGTAAATTCTTTTTATCCTTAATTTCATTCGAAGCGGCCCACGTTTTGATTTGGTCCCGTAATCTTTGAAGTTTTTTAATCTCTTTTTTGAGATCACTTTCATATTTATCTTTTTGATTTGTGTTGGCCGCATTATGAAGTTTTTGCCAAATATCTTCAAATGTATCAACACCTTCTTGCACCTTTTTTAGACATCGATCAATCTCTCCTTGCAATCGTCGTTTGTCGGCCATGATGTTATTAAAGCCAAAAATAGCTGAAATTATGGAGAATTAAAACATATACACGGATTAATTGCATTTAAAAATAGCCTATATCAAATGCTTTTATATACCATACTCAATGCCAGTATCTAAGATGAAGCTGAAAGGTTGCATATATCTATGTTCGTTATCATATTTCTAGAATCTCTTTTTCACATGTCTCGTAATTAATGACATCGTCTTTTCAATGATTTTTGATATGAAAATGGTACAATTGAACTATCATAAGTTTTGTACCAATGCTTTTAACTAATTCAGCACAGGATTTGAAATCTTCCTTTCTAATTACATTACTCCCTTAAACTTTATATACCAAGAGTATAGATGCTGTCGAATTGCTGTTAATATCGATATACAGTAGTTTATACTGTTATATTTTCACATCACACTGATGTGTAAGAAGGTCCTTAAAAACTGCATTATTCTAACTGAGCAAGTTATTATAAATATCATAACAGTCAGACAGCGGCAACAAAGAGTTTAATTGCTATATACTTATAAGCTTGTAACCTGATAGTTGTACAAGAACACTGCGGTATTGGATAATTCCATAATTCGTATAGTCTACGACTTTATTAAACTCTGAAGTATGGTTTGTGATATCCACAATTAATGGCCCTGCATCAAACCTGATACGTGCATAAACTATGGATATACAAAAGACAACAAGAAAACTTTTTTGTAAGTATACAGCAAGTTCCAAATGCAAAAGAACTTATAGCACAGTAGCAGTTAGAAACATGTACATTAACACTGTAAACACAGTAACAGCAGACATCTACTTTGATGAAAAGGTGATATACTAGCTAACGTTTCAATAATATGCCCAACATTAATTAAATAGGATTTAAAATAAGAGAAGCAGCAACTAGGCATATACTGGTAACTCAATACAATTCATTCCAATCACAATCTGAAAAGTTTATCGCTACAAACACATTCAGCAAAAATATTCGATTCCAAAGCTGCATTTGCTTCAACAAGAGGATGAGAGGCCAGAAAGTTAAAGACTGGAAGAAATTTCGCCTATAGCAATAGTGACTACTCCAAAAATAAACAGATGAAAAGCCAGCCAGGTCACAAACAAAAAAAAAAACAATCTTTCTGTATTTCAGTTGATAATTTCATAAAACAGTAATACTATTTTTGTTTTAGTTTGTCGAACGTTATAGACTACTTAGGCCACGCACTGCGTTATAGCCCATTCATCATTTTCAGTCTCATGACTAGTAATTTTATTTTCTCTGCAACCATCCCCTAAAACGCCTGTTCGCCAAGCATCCAAGGCAAGATAGAGAATGAGTTAAATGAAAACAGCAAAATATTGTTTCGAACAGAAGAACTGTCTCGATGCTGTGATTAAACGCTTCCAAAACCATAAATGCAGAATGTATTAGGAAATAATCGTCAATTTAACAACAATAATTTCAATAAACAAAAACAACATTATTCGGAAGCGCCAAGATTATATACAGTTAGCCTACGACAGAAAATATGAACCAAATGCCCGAAAGGCGTCAGTACTTCACAAAAATAAATTTCCGGTTTGGTCGAAGATAGATGCATGACACATAGCGCCATCTCGAGTTTGCCACTGTTTGAGTGCCCGCACCAGAGCCATTATATAACGGCTCTGCTCGCACAGTCCGAGAAGAATGTTCGTCATTTTAATCTATGTCAATAAAGAAATTGCATAAAAACTGAAATAAATAAACTTGCGTCCTGCATGAGATATTGATCACAATTTCAATATTTCCGACAACATATTTCCTTATCTTGACTTCTCGTTGGCTTAAAACTGCGACTAACATTTCCGATTCCAATGTGTTGTTTGCTTGGCAAAATTGGCACGTCTCAATTCTCTTTCAAGTTTTTAGCTACATTCCCGATTTTCAGTTTATATGTTTGTTTGTTTTGTCTCAAATCACACATTTTCAAATGAGAAAGTATTACACAACGCAAACCAGTGTTGATATACGACAATAGTTACAACCATGATAAGTATTGCCATCAAACATCCTTCCATTACCAGCGTATAATAAATGAAAATGATGAGAAGGTGAGATGTATTATGGCACCCGCTTTTTCGACTGAATCAGAAGCAAAAGGTCGACGAAGACATTCACCCCATTTACCCAACGCTGTCGTTGCTATATGCCATAAATCTTCGTATGTAATTTATTTACTCGTGTGAATTTTGTAAATTACATATTGAAACCTTTTTGCATTTATTTTATTATTGTGAGATAACCAGTAAATTTTGGTCTGAGATAGACCAGTGGATTGTTTTTAAGACAGAAAACTTGAATTTTGATATTTCCATCAAAGAATGTTTCATTGGCTTTGATAACATTCTCTATATTTAGTGCACGGTTATTTATATATAGATGCCGGATCCAGAAACGTAAACCAATTTTTGACGTTTTTTATAACTTTATCTGTGACATTCGTGACAACGAGAAATATATATATATACAGCAATAAAAAATGATAAAATTCTTATACACAAAAAAAAATGGCATTTATTTTTATACCTTCGGATTATTTAATTTATGCTTTAAACTGACAACTGTGTTATTGTTTTTTTTATACTGTTTGTTTATTTATTGTCCCTAAATGCTGTATATATATATAAAATGTGAGATTTCCATGTATCATAATTAGAATAAAACTGCAATATGCAATTGCAAGCATTATTGCTAAATAATATGATTCGATGCAATATTATTTTATTTGGTGCTCCTGAAGTATGCGCATCAAGATGTCGCATAACCTGAACCCTAACCTGGTACATAATCTGAGTTCAGATTGTGCGCCATCTTGGTGCGCATACTTCAGGAGGTCCTTTTATTTTATAAAAATCTAATAAAAAGACTAGTTACAACAATTTATGTATATGTATATAATCGTTTGGTCTGGTCTTTATTAATTAATATTGTTTACTGTAATAATGTTTTATATCCAAAAATGGCATGTATAGAGTGATCTGAAATGATTGATTTTTATCAATATTGTTTATTGCAATATTGTTTTATTTAAAACATATGTATATATATATTTACTGGCTCCAATATATCGTTGCCTTTTAAGTAAGAGTCGATTAGCATCATTTTGATGCACGTTGGCACAAGTCACACTGATGTATCATATGATACATCGCTTCCTTTCTTTGTCGAGATTGCACCACATTTAAACACGAAATGATTTGCAGTATATACATTAATTAATTTGTGTTTGCAGCGTATTGAAGTGGTGGTTGAAGGGTATTTATTCCATAGATCGTTATACCATGCTTTGGGCTCTTTTACATGTTATGTCGATATACAAACCTCGGTCCCGCGTGAACAGATACGTGCTTTTGTTTAGCAAATTGAATTTTTTTGGTTTCAGGCTCTTTCATAGTGGTGATCTTGAATTTCGTACGACTCGTCAAGATGTTTTACCCAATGGTAGTATGTGACAGAGGACAGACTATAATATCAAATTTGATGTTCTCTACCAATAAAAATGTATTTCTGAATATCACATGCAACTAAATTTTTATTGGTAAAATAAAACTATAAAAAAACCTATACTTTTAGTTGACATATAGGGAGATTTGCATGCTATGCCAAATATTAAAAAACCACGACACTAGATATTGAATGATTACAAGATTCCGAATCTTGCTTTGTTCTCTTATTTCAATAGAAGTAGAATTCTTCTAAATTCATTGTTTCGTTCCCGTTCGATTTGTATATTGATTTGATTTTTTTTTCAGCAATGACTTTAAATTTAGAGTTTAATTCGTTTTCTTTCTTTTTCAAACCCGATCTCAATTTTGCTTGTATGGTTTTCCGAATCCATCGAAATAGATTTTCCGACTTGCAATGATATTTTTTGAGTGAAAAAATTTTGCCTGAAATTCTTCTTCTTTGTGTTTTTTCTAATTCGGATGTGAATAAAATTAAAAAAATGAGTAGTTTACCTGTAATTTAATTGAACTGAACTAGTATTTTGGCAAAATAACCTATTTATTTATGTATTTTTTTTACTTCTAGTCCAATATTTAACACAATATTTTTCACACCTCGTATGAGTCAACTTCACTTTAGAATACAAACTCCTTTCCCTGTTTTTGACTTATCTTTGATAATTTATAATTAAAGCCGTCGACATCTTTCCATTCGTGAAGACATTGTTGCCCTAATCATAAATACAATATTAAATTTTGAATAGTCGACTCAACATTTGACAAGAGGTCTAATTTATTTTCCGAGCTTGCTCGCCTATTTTTATCATTTAGAATTGTTAACTTAATGGGTGAATGATATCAAATATTCAAGGAAGCAACTATTTGCATTGTCAATTTTTTATCATCAATTCACAAAAATTTATATCAATATTCAAAATATTTGTTCGCCTACTTTACATCAAGTTGTGTAAATGGACGGAAGCCTATGGGCAGGGGGTATATTCAATTGGCTAACACAAACAGTCCCCGAAGTCGTCATTGTCATTGCTTTTCTTTAATTACAAACCTCAACAATAGCAGATGCATCAAATGTTCTGTTTGTCTTCACTATTTTCCTATTGGAGCATACTTGCGCGCTATATTCATCACATGTCTAATAGACTGTCCATGAAAGCTTTTCGAAACTCATCTAAATATCACAAGTTGAAAAAGAAATATCTCGGATACTATTCATCTTTTCATTTGTCAAATATGTCCTAAGCCGATTCAATCTTATATTTTCAAACCTATGTTCAAAAACACCAAACGATAGAAAAAAAATTTTTGGAACAGCCTCCCGATTTCCGAATGAATTGAAGGTCTTCTGAATGGAAAGAACAAGTCTCCAAACTCACGTTTATAATGGTTCTTTCGTATTTTGCAGGCACCACACGATTTCTGGAATCATTTTTTGGGTCATCATGACTGACTAAACAAGAAGCAGTATCATATTTATCTTCGTCTATACTCTAGCCTAGCGCATCATCGTGAATTTCGGTATTGTTTGCTAAGTTTCCATGGTTCATCGAGGCAAAAGCAGCTTACTTTCATCCTCAATGGTGTTTGATTTTGTCAGATATTCCAAAATAGTTGAATTTCCAGCTTCTGAAACAGGATCATTCTTACCCATATTATTTGAGCTTTATTTTTGCTTCTCAATGAAGAATTTTTCTGACTGTTGATGATCGGATGTTCTGATTGGTTTGATGGGTGATAATATGGGTCACACAGTCTCATTCTTCTCCTATCATTTAAGGAGATGGCGAGGTACCCCGTTTTTCTTTTTGCCGGAGTTTTTTGAATCGCCATCAGCATTGACTTCATATTCATAAATCAGCTGTTTAGTCTGAATTGATGACTTGTCATTAACAAAGTTCGGTAAATGACCACTTTCGTCGACAACACTCGCATATTTACCAGCAATTTTATGACTGACTTGGTTACGTTTTAAATATTTTTGGTCGATTATAAATCTATTTATCTCCATAGAAACCTCTCCATCTTCCGTTAGACTGGGGGTTCTTTCATTTCTAGGAAGTCGTCGAAAATACTCGGTAGAGCTTTCGTGAGACGGAGTTGGGTTACTGATTTCAGGTACGTCTACAGTGTCATTATGTCCCGGTTCGACCACATTTTCCAAAGTCGCTGACCTTAATTCTATATTGCCAGTAAGAATATCGGATTCTGTTTCAAAAAGTTATGTTTCACCAGCTTTCTCACAGATTCCCAGATTTGCGTTTGATTTATCTATTTGTGGTAACTTTTCCGCTGTGGGTTCACAGCGTCGGGCTCTCTTTCTCCTTTGCTGTCCTAGAGTAAGCATCGTATTTTGTCGCTCTTGTTTTATCTGCTTTAAGCGTGGATTTTACACTATTTAATAAAGTTTCGGGGCTCCCGAAGTATGCGAACCAAGATGGCGGACATCGGAATGTAATATGTGTACTAGGTTAGAGTTAGGCCATAATTTTAGGTATAAATACTACGGGAGGCTCTTGGCTAGTCTTCGAACTGATAATAGGACTAAAATAAGGAAACTTGTAAAAAAATTATCGCCTAACCCTAACCTGTTACCCATGTTACGTTCCGATGTCCGCCATCTTGGTTCGCATACTTCGGGAGCACCAAAATTTCTTCGTTTGCATCGTGAACTTCGAACCTATTTGTGTGGCTTTGCAGCATACGGGATCTTCTGAACTAATTATTACTGTATATATTAGAGGCGAGCACATATTTCGGTAAAGCCTTACCGCTGCACGAGATCGAGAATTTATCATGTCAAAGAAGTGCAGTTAAAAGCATCGCCATCTGTTTAGGTAAAGGAAACGTGTATATCATCCAAAAGAACTAATTCCTGGGCTCTTCGAACAGATGATGCAAAAATCCAACGATGTCCTTACCCAGTGGTGGGATTCAAATTTTTTGTAAGCCAGTTCCATCACAAAAGTCATATTTTTCAGCCGGTTCTGTTACAAAAATTCATATTTTTTAGCAAATAAATCATTAATGCTAACCGGTTCGCTGATCTCATAAAATTCCGTGGGACGGTTCTCCAGAACCGGTGCGAACCGGCTGAATCCTACCACTGTTCTCACCATGTACAGGATTCTCCAGTGGGTAAACTTCATGAGGAATTCCGATGCTGCTCGGCAATAATTCCGCCCGAACATTAAGATTGTCTTCCTTTCTCTGATAATTAACATCGGTGAATATTAATACTCCAGATACAACATTAACAAATAACAGCAAAACATGTGAAGCAATAATCAATTGCTTGATTCGCTCACGAGCGCGCGTAAAAACGCCAGCAATGGCAACATTTTGACCTGTTGATGGGGTTGATGCAAGTCACAGTCGCAAAATAATAAATTGTGAATTTGCAAATTTATTATATGCCGTAATACGATTATTGGTCAATAATATAATTACTGTGACGTCACAAATGAAGTTGTTTTATGCCGTAGCTAACCGTGCCTAAATAAAATAGGTTATTCCAATATGATCGAATAGAAAAAGCTGAACTAAAATGAATTTGCGCAAATATTAAAAAATGTTTTGCTCAAGATATCATCAAAATTTAAAGATACTAGTAACTTTATAGAATTATAGGCCGTGAGACGAGGCCCTGAAAAAGAACGAGAGAATGAGTCTTTACCTATATCCATGGTAAGGATCTGAAATTGTTACTTATCGATTTTTATCCGTAAGTATGTTGATAGGTATTTGTTTGTCTGTTGGATGAGAAAGCGAGATTGAATCTGCTCCAGATTTTGTATGTGCATTCATCTTATCTCGCACCAGGAGCCTATTGATTTTGGGCGAATTATGTCGTATAATTAGCGAGCTATTAATTAATTAGTGATGGGACACAAGGTGTCACTATGGAGTAAGAGCGCTGTTTTGGGGGATCCCCTAACTTTCGATCGATAAGTCTTCGGTCTCTGACCGATATTCTCGTTTAATATCTTACTTATATTTTTCAACACTTTCTCAGCATAACTCAACTAATAAAACTAAAAAAGACGACGGAAGGCTACAAACTGAGATTCATCCACCCGCTAACAGCTGATCAAATTTTAATTGTTACGTAATACAGAAGTATCGCGTTCATTGGCCAATGTTGCCTTGTAGTAAAAGCGTCTTTTTCGTAATCGCTGATAGCAGCAGCGATTAGAGCCTGCGTTAGGTTGGATTGGTGAAACATTGATGTTTTCTTTTGTAGTACAATATCTAAAATGAGGAAGAAAATCTTATTTGGTACAGCATGAGTGTTTTTTGACGAATAAAAATACCATTAAATACTGACTCATACATAATGCATTCATAATTATCTAATAGACTACAGACTTGCAGTGTTTGCATACTAGATTTATATCTACACTGATTTCGATTAATCACACAGTCTGAAATGCCCTGTATATTTTAAAACATCAAATGTCTGCTTATAACTTGATACATAATTTCTCACCTCTCAGTCGCTTCATTTCTCTCAACTTCTGCATGACTCATCATTGCTGCCCGGGTTCTTGATCACTTTATCAATTTAGACAAACTGACTTCAGTAGAATCGGTTACTTACCCTATTTTCCACGAACGTGCATTACACAAACGGTCATTATTTTCTATATCAATTATATTGTAGCCAGTGGTGAGATTCAATTTTTTTGTCAGCCGATTCCATCACAACAGTCATATTTTTCACCCGGTTCTGTTACAAAAAGTCATTGACAGTAACCAGTAATGCTAACCGGTTCGCTGATTTCATAAAATTCCATGAGACGGTTCTATAGAACCGGTGCGAACCCCTGGTTGTAGCCTATAGAGTAGTATAAGTCTGCTGAATAATCAAGAATTGTCAATAAATTAACGTTATATGAGGTAGTGCTCAACAAAGATTAGGTCTAGCCAACGACTAACATACCGGTCTAGCCTTCCTTGAAGTCATCGCACCGTACCTAATTAACAACGTTATATATGGGCTAGTGCTCAAAATTGGTATCTATGGTAAGGATCTACAAGTGTTTAATAGCTTTCTTATACCTCTTAACACCGTCTTAGCATAACTTAATAACCAATAAATACTAAAATAGACGATGGAAAGGCTACCCAACTCAAGGCAAGATCGAGCGTTACTAACTGAGATTCATCCGCCCGCCGACACATGATAATATTTTAGTTGTTACGTCATGCAGAAGTCTGCGTTCATTGGCTAATGTTGCCGGAAAAACAGAGATATAGGACAAAGGGTAGCACATATTTCTTGTAGTAAAAGAGCCTTTTTCGTAAAACGTGCAACTTTTGGAAATGGGAACAAGGTATTATTTGTTACTAAATTTCTAAGGAACATTTTTAAAATTATTTCCAAGGAGTTCCCTTATGTGCGCTACGGTCTGTGTGCAACATGAATTATTGCGGGGGGCTCTACTGACTATAGTACCCATGTAAAATACGGATTACTGGACGATTTATCCAATTGTAATAAAAAATTATTATGTACGCTAGTCAGCGCTTTCAAGCTGGCTATAGCACAGTGAAGCAAAGTTGAACTTACTCGGGGTTTCCATGGTCCTAAATTCCTAAGTACAATTCGTATCAATATGTAATAGCATAAAGTTATTGGATTTTATGCTGAACGTTTTGTTAAGTTATTGTTTTTGGTAATTTTCTTGTTGTTATTGTGAAAAAACTCTTTTCTCCTAACTACTGGACCAATTGGAATCTATAGTGACCGAAGATTGTTGTAATCTGTAGATATTTATATATATTATTTGTTTCAAAAATTTCTGTGAGGATTTCTTTTTCACTTTGAAGTGTTGTTTGGTGACGCCATCGAAAGGAAAATTGCGCACCGTTTGGCGGTTCCGCAATCGCATTTCAGTAACGTCGTAGTCAGCGAAGTCGGGGAGTTTTTTTGGCGAGGTAGACTACCGGTTCTGCGGAGGATTTTATATCGCCTCGTGTCCATATATTTGAGCATTGCTCCCTTGTTTAAACATAATTGACCTAGTAGTTATCACGATATGGTATGTTTAAGATACTTTCGAAGTCCTCAAATTAGTAATTTCACTTCCTTCAAATAGACAAAGTGTTTTAAGCATCTGGTTCATCACCAGACTACCTCGGTCAAGCAAACTGTGTTTTTGTTGTTGTCTAACGCTTGCTATACGGCGGTAAACGAGAGCAGTACATTGAGCAATAACTAAGACCTACCTCCATTATTCTAATTGATTGAGTTCAGGACTGACCGCACTCAGCGCAGGTTCTACTTAATTCCTAGTCTTCTCTACGACTACGATAAAAACTGTTCCGCCAAATAATATCCTTTACTGTAAATAAATAATTGCAAAAAGCTAAGATTTTTATTTCTGTGAAGCCAAAGTTTTCGTGCAATTGCAAAACACAGTCAGAAAAAAAAGCATAATATAATATTATTATAAAACATTCCTAAAACCATAATAATACCAACAATTCATTGCATACGAAATTTCATTAGCGTTTGGAACAAATGCCAATTGATAAGATTATCTGAAATTTGCGGAATACAGTTCCCAAATACTAGTATTAATATCGTTGACATTCTATAAATAGTTGTGAGAAATGACAGAAATTTAATATATATATCGGAGATATTCCATCAAAATTTTTAATTTTATATCTACATTCCTCGCCTAAATGTTACACAGTTACGCATTATCTTTACTTGTTTTAATGTGAATAAAATATTATAGAATTACATTGAAATGTACGCGTCCTAACAATTAATAAATGCATAGAAATTACATATTTCTTGAAGAATTAAGCGATAAAATAGTTGAAACATTTTTTAACAACATAATTTTGTTTATCTCAAATATATTTGTAGAAATTGTTGCTTTAAACCAAATAAATTTATCCAACGCATGAACTTTAGTTTGATATTCAAATTGACGACATTGGAATTTCCCGGAATAAGTTGTATTTTCAGTTTTTTTCTTCTTTCTGTTCCTATCTGATATGATGAAAACTGGTCATCTCAAATCGATTAATTTTGAATTGAGCACACGCGAAAATTATGAATAAAATAACAAAGCGGGCAGGGTTTTTTCCACACAACATACTCAATTCAAATAAATTTCGTTTTCTGTTAGTTATGGTTAATGTTACATTGTAGAGCTGTTGTAATTTTGAAGCATCTGGGATCAATATGGAAAGAAAATTAAAATATGAAACAATAATAAGCTAAATAAAACCTTCTCTACACAAACATAAAACCAAACAAACAAAATTAAAGTAGGCATTGATTACAGTGTTGTCATGGCAATGGAGTGGTCACTATGACGTGCTATGCTGTCAGAAGAAATAAGAAAAGTACTGGTTTTTTTAGATTAAAAAAAAAGGCTGAGCGATGTGTTTGCTTCAGACGTTTGAAATAATTTATAATTTCAAATATATAACTATTTCAAGTATATTCGTCAATACCAGTACTTTAACTTATCATCGAACAGTTAGCGTGATTGCATTAAAAGCTTAATAGTGGACTACGAAAGCATAAACATTGGTCAACGCCCGCCAGCACTTTTTATGAGACCAAGATGTCACGCAACGTATCTTTAATGACGTCATTATATGATGTCACACACTTTCAACCGTAGTGTCACTGCTCAAACTGTCCAAACTAACCACACTTGTTAATCGTTTTATCGGTGCTTCATTAGAATCATGTTTCTTCTCACGTCCATGAGATTCTAACAATGCGAGTCTTCTTTTCCTTTCTTCAAATGTTTCTTCTTCTGTACAACACATGAAAGCTACTTTTGCTCTTCTTATTCCAAGAACCCAGAACTCCGCTAAACTTAGAATGCATGCAATACCACCTGGAAATATTAATGATTATATCACATTTATAAGATTTTTGAACAAGTATCTTTATGAATAGCGACTTGGTGTCTAAACGATTTCTTTGTTTTGGAAAATTCAACAGTAGGTTACACTACATTAGATGATGCATGTATTAAGTATAAATCAACACATGAAAGATTGTAATTTGTTGATTTATAGTAATTCTTCCAAACATTACATACTTTAGAGTAGGTGAGCGCTTCAAATACTGATAATTAAGAATGATATAATAATACTAAAGACATTATAAAAATCGACCTATTAATTAATGACTTTTCAGTTTCTAAATCATATGTGCGCTCAGGACTCACACAGAATGAATTTGAATGAAAGTTTTGAATGCCGATGATCTGTACTCAGTCTTATGAGATTGAGTTAACATCTTCTACTTTGTTAAATAGTTCTTGAAAGAATTAGTAGCGTTCTTACCTAATACATACATAAGCCATAGCAGGCATGTTTTCTCCTGTGGCCTTGAGACGAAGCAGTCAACAGTCTTTGGACAAGGCCAGGTAGGACATTCATACAACTCATGTACTGTAAGTCCATATAAATAGTACTGACCGACAATTGACGCGGCCTGAAAACATTTTCTAATTTAGGCGACGAGAGAGTTTTTTTATATTATTTATTTTACTTAAAAAAAACAAAAAAAATGGCAGTATTAAAAATAAAGTAACGACTAGTGAAAGTTGAGTAGGCATCATTCTGTAATGCAAAAATTGTTTAACGATTAGCTATATAGTACAGCTGTCATTATTATTGACAGCAATGTTGGGCAAAAGTAACATGTTGAAAATGATTTCAATCTGAATTCACGTGAGTGGTGGAGTAGTGAAACTGCCATTCCAACCCCCCATAATTCTATGTCTTCAATAAATTGAGAATATTGGACTAACAAATATACCTCTAACAATGTGCGCAAGAATACATGCCACCAATAAGCTCTGTATAATTCTGGATGTTCTAACATCTTCCTCTTCATTTTTCTTTCATCAATTGCGGCTTTCTCTGGTCCCGGCAGACGAGAATCTTTCATATATTCTATCCGACGACCTCGAGTATCAACGTAGATTGGATATTTTCCCCTTGATAAATACAATGTAATTTTTGTCATTCCAGTCGATTTATTAAAGAAGTATAGTCTTTTTTTATATCTTGACAAGTTTTCCTATTTTTGACAACATTTTTTTGTCATGAAGGTCCAGAATGGTGATATAAAACTTCAAAATGAATTTAGAAGTATACCGACTTCTTGGTACCGTTTTGTTATTTCGTTAGATCAGTTAAATGTAAAAGTATAGAAGTTAATAAAAGTAGTAGAGGTAAATATTTAACAAGCTGATTTCATAATTATATATTATACCTGTAATCAACGATAACATCTTCATTTACGTATTCGTTGTTGTCGGTAACAGATAACGGCTTTCTTTGTCCTTCTGGACCTTTCACGTCACTTGCGTCATCTCGATTGTTACGTCGCCTATGTCGGTGCCTAACATCTTTCGATAATCTCGACGTTTTATACCTCCCATCTGTATTAATTTTTTTGACTTCGTAAAGCGGAGCAGTAACACCCCCGTTCGGCATATTACCAGAGTCCCTTCGTCTCTTTAAGCTTGGTGGATGAATGTATGAAGCTTCAGAACTCATACGTGATGGTGCGATCTTATTATCTTCGCCATCAGCGGGGTATTTGACGTCAGCATGATAGATTATGTGCATGGCATAAAGATAGAACAAAATGGCTGAAATGAAAATGCACAGTTGAGAAACACGGAAGATAGTTCTTTATCTCTACAATTAGCACATGCATTCACGCGTGTATCAGCCAATATTACGAATTATTTGTCGTTTTAAAAAATATTTGCGGAAGTTGAAAAATACACATATACGTTGGAGTTGTACGAGCAAATTTGCTAATTTGGCATATGTTGTTATAGCGTTTTCGAGTCAATAGTTTAGAATTCGATTTCTCAAATTGCGCTGGAACTGATTGAGCAAGTGAGGTACACTAAACTGCCAATGTTTAGTGTTGAAACATAGGATAAGAGTGATATTTAATAGATAGGTTTGGGGATGTATAAATATATGCATCCATGTCAGTGTTTCAGAAAATGTCTGACAGTTTTCAATTGTCTCGAATTGTTTTTTAAAAATGTGTTTTATAATTGACTTGGAAATATTCACTCTACTTGTAAAATTTACTTACATGGTGTTGAAACTACCAAAACCATCAATGACCAATATCTTAGCTGTGATATTGGACTGAATCTGTTGAAACAAACGTTCTCACAACCAGGCGTCAGTGTGTTGCATACAAAACTGGACTGTAAAAATAAAAAACAAACAAAAAATAAGTATTTATACACCCTCCAACTTTTCAGTGAGAAGAGCTGTTGTTAACTAGGTATATTTCATTGTAAATAGTATTTGTAATCGATCAATGTTTGAGTAGTGTCTTGTTTAGAGGACACATGTGGACCACGCAATGCAAGAAAATATATTTGAATACAACATACCTGTTCATCGTGATATACCATGTCACCTATTCTTGCTACGACAACTATCCGAAATATGAACATGATGACGATCCAAAGCTTCCCGGGAAATGTGGATTGAACTCTGACCTGCTCCAATAAACCGTGCAAAATATGCCACGCCATGATGAAGGTAGTTCGTACTTATTAATTAAATGTAAGTGTTCATGGACACTGTAAAATATGAAATAAGAGATATATATATTTATTAAATTTGTATGTTTTATATATATTATAACTGAACTGAAGACATAACATTGCATGTCCATGTTAGGTATATGGGCTCTAAAGTCTTGGCAACAATTTTGAACAGTAGTGACCAAAAGTAATGAAATTATTTATTACTTAAATACAGCTGACGCAAAGTATAGCATACGAGCTCTTAAGTCATTCATGAAGAGTAACCCTTGGTAAATGTAAATGAACAAATTTAAACTGTGAACGCTACTCAAATCTTATTGTATTGTATTTGGTTATGATATTATTATTCGACAGCAGTTAAAATGAAGCGAATTCTCCCATGTTGTCAAATACAATTCTAATTAATGAACTTGAGCACGCCTCCACAAATTGGATTCTATCTCTATCTCTACGGTAACGTTTCTGAATATCTATACTGGATGGTATATTGGCTGACCTTTGCATTCTCGTACTGACATAGCATTTGTCTGATAAATAAACCTTGACCTCGCGATTCTAAGGGACACAAGGTTAAAACACATAATGTGTCGATCGATGCTACTTAATTTTGTGAGATAATGAGCACTTGAGACATTCGATCGGTCTTAGTAACAAAATTCAGAATTCTCAAAAATAATTTTTATAGTAGATTAAGAAATTTTGTTAAAGTAACTGTTTTCTAAAAACAGTCATTTTAATATTCGATTCCAACATAAAAAATTCTTTTGGCTAGGAATAGAAAAAAATAAATTTAATTTAAAATTTACATCAAATGTAAACATATAGCAATTTAATCGCAGTTTGACTTAATCTGTCTTCTTCTTTCTTTTCATCCTGGAAACCTTATTATGCTATGACAATAAACATTGGGTTTATACATGGAATGTTCTATAGTCCCAAAATACTATTTCCAACAAATGCTTCCTTCACGCAGAATGATTCCCATTCCCTCTGCATTCACTATAAAATCGGAATTACTGTTTATATAATAGCTAACATCTATCTATTTAATGCAAATATCCCTGGACGTTCTTCGAATTATATATAAACCTCTCTGTTGATGACGTCATTATCACATTTTGTATATCAATAGGCAGCTGATGATAATAATTCGTTTGTTGACGGGTTACGTAAAGTTTACAAATGTGGGAAAGTTATTGCTATTCTATTTCCTTCGTTAAAGTGTCGTAATCCTTGGATTAGCGAATAGGAAAAGATCACAATATAGGTGTTATAGTTATGATAAGGATTATGTTAAAAATTTGATTTTTGTCACTAGTTCTATGTGGCAAAGAGTCATCTATTTTCAGTTCCATAAATCTGATTTTGACAGACAGCCGCACTTTGCATATCAGCTTGGATTCTAAAAGCCGTTTAGTTTGGGTTTGAGATTTGAAACCAGTGAGACTTGAACCAGGTTTTAAAGTTGTCAGTTTTGCAAATTAGAATCGTGTCGGAAGATAAATGTTTTTAACTTTAGTGGAAGCGTTTTGGGCCTACTCCTACTACAATTTCATCGGTTCGAGATTGTAAATTCATGTTTGAATAAGTTGTTTGATGGAGATTTAAATAAACACAGAATTAGTAGGACTATAGTAGATAATTGTATAAAAAAAAGACAATTAACAGATTTTACGTTTAGGTGATTTCTGATCACCATTAGGCAGTCTAATCCTTACAGAGCCGAAATTACATGAACTTGCATAATGCATAACTTTTCTAGTTCGAGATTTTTATTGTTTAAAAAGCCCATTTTATGATAACGCGCACACGGTGGTAATTTAATCATCTGATGCCAAACATATTCCTCGATCCACCTACGATGATTTTAGAGCTAAATTACAAACTTTTTTGATTAAGAGATCTGACTAACTATCAAAATATTGTTAATTTCAGACAAATTCGATTTGCCAACCTTAACCGTACAAAATGAACTGAACTAATGAAAATATAATGCGCTTTGTGTATTCACTACCAGTATTATTGAAGATAAAATCTATCAATTGCCTATATAAGCATGAACCGGTTTCAGGTAGTAAGCATTTGGATTACAAATAATTAACGATTCAGAAAAACAGTTTATCCACTATTTCACAGAATGCAAGTATGCTAATATTGTCACCTTTCTGACGAATGATCATTGGAAAGTAATCCATCGAAATTCCTCGCGTTATTTTGGAATGGATCAGCATTTATATACTAGAACACATGGCAAATAACGTTAAAATTCAGGATACATCACTAATTAATCAATAGCAAGAAGTCAAATTAATCTTTAATGGCGCAGCATTATCGAATACTCAAACACGTTTAGCTTTGGAATACTAATGCGTTCAATCTTTCCATTTTATGTATCGAATTAATGAATAAAATACAGTGAAATACCGTTAATTTTTCAAATAATATTAAAAGCATTTAATGTTTTAACTAAAAATATATAAATAAACATATTGTATTTCCCCATTTCGTGTGATATGTTGACATGTGCTCCATTGGGAATGGAATTCGAATATGGTAATGGATATTTTGTGTTAAGGCGAGATGTCCACACCACTGACCCTTCTATTTAGGTAATCTATTTTGAATTAGCATTTATTTCTAATTACAGAATGCATGAAACGTACACATGGTTCGCGCCACGTGAGGGGTGCAATTAGGAGGCGATCGCACATGATCCAATTCTAATTAATAATGTTGCTGTCAATTTCTAAATATTACACGATTTGTCCAGAAATTATGTCTATCACTTGACGTATAATTTTAGCTCGAAGTATTTCATGAGACTGGCTAAGTATCAGATTGGCTTGTCTAACAAAAATTGCAATTATTTATTGACTATCTGTTTCTCAATGAATTTTCCGTTATTTTCTTTTACTGCTAACTGGCAATGAAGATCGTTTCTAAGAGAATTGGCTTCTATTTTTGTCCAAGTAACTAAAATTCATTCTAGTAAATTCATTAATAGTTTGAGTGCATCATTTCTCATTCTCAATGCGAATTTAAAATGTAACTTCAAATTGAATTATTATATTATGCTTTGAAATATATTGCTTAAATTCTGTACTACTAAGAAATAAGAATATCTTTCCTACAAAATCCAATCCAATGATGCTGCATCGATCTCGAAGCCAACCCAGGCCCAGTCTTGTACTGACATGAAAACTTGAAACCAAATTTATAACAGTCAAAGGATTAAATTTCCTCATTATCTCGTGATGATGGGAACTAAGAGTTAAGCTCTCTTTAGCAACCTTCAAGTTAAGAAAAACATGCTGTAACTTTACAAGAAAATTATCTGACATCTTTTTCAGGACTCTGACGGGGTCGCAATTAAAAGGCATCAAGACAATAGTGTTTACTTGGTGTATCGGCAACTTTATATTCTAGGAAAGAAATTCATAAAACATCGAGAAATCTCATTGAATTGGTTTGAAACGAAACAATGATGCTACGTTGTTCTTTTGTCCCGTTACAAGGACCTGTACATCTAATCCGGTGAAGCTTATTCAAAAACGTGTACAGTTACTCTATAATAAAAAAAAATCGTAAAACATAAGCTATATTCATGTGTAAGCTCATGTCAATATAAGAAACCCCATAATTCAACCTATAGTTCAAGTTAGATATCTGATGTATTTGTAATGAAATTGGTAAGCTCATTTATCTGATTATCTTACATATTTAAAGTAAATGAATCATAATTAAAATTTAAATTTTGACAATAAATCATTTCATGTTCTTGACAGATTTCTACATTTGATATAATTTTTATGAGGTTTTAATTTAAAAAAAAAATGATGTCCCTGTGATCTTTATCCTTTCAATATTCTTTATAATCTGACTGAAAGTCAATCAAGTTTGGATCTCAACTGGAATTCTTTCAATATAATAAACACATAAAACTACCTTTATGTTATCGTTGCACAAATTTTCTGTGGCATTTTCACTATTGTGTATTAGCTAATAACATGATAATAGCGACGTCAAATGTATGCTTGGAATTATAATCACAGGTTCACGCAACTAATAAGATACGGTATTTAACAATATATTTCCTATGTCAAACATCGAAATGAGCAAGATTTCATTTTGTTTATAGAATGCTAAGCATTGCGACATAAAATATTTTGTTGTTTCACAATATCTAGAATCTAAATTCTAGATCAACAAGGCTTATTTTGTCAAGTTTGAAGTGAAAATAGTCACATTTTTCAGGTTACCTATTCTACCTTGTTGATATTCCACAAGGCTTACACAAATCCTCATTCTTTCTATCTATCTATTTCTCCTGACTAACGCATCACGCTAACAATTTAAAACTCATTTTTAGATCCCGGCCACCTCTGGTAAACATGGTATATATATATATATATACATATTTAAGAGGGAATTTAATCAGCTCAACATACCGTAGCTAAATATATATTTCACAATATATGACATATCTGAGATTGTTGATTCCTGAAATAAGATCACCCACCCACACCGAAATCATTTTTGTTCCTGGTTACCTAAAGAATCTACTTCACAACCTTATCTTTGATAAATATCCTCCTACACGTCTCGCATTGACAATGTATCGCGAATCACTACAGGCCTATTTTGGAAGACAATATGTTTGTTTCTCAAGTCGTTAATTGTCTTGTCTTTCATCGCCTCCCATATCGCTTTGTGCTTTGAAAATAATTTAATTTCATCGAAGAACATAACAATGTAATATCGAATCAAATGAAATCGACGTGAGGAAAGAAGGGAGGTCAAATTCTTCGGTATTGTGTTCCTTGGCCTAAAATTGCTTTAATTTTAATATATCTTGATTTGGTGAATAAATCTAAAAAATCTTGTCAAAATTCAATTCTTTGATCTAAAACTTAACTGGTCTGTAAGTGCGAGGTCAACCTTCCACCGACAGTTGGTGTTAATGGTCGACGACATAAAACTGACAATTGATTTGCTTCAACAACTGCTGTGACGTCACAATTTGAATAGCCATA